GTTGAGAGCTTGTAGAGACGCTCGACGTGCGTGCACAGATTCTCATGTAGTCTGAGACATCGGTTTTTGGCATCTCTGTCATCTGAGAACTTCACCACCATGGTATCCTCTCGACTCGGTCCTCTTGACCCTACCGTAGTGGTATTTCTCCTGGCAACAACTGTCGCGAAAGTCTCGGGTATTGTGCAACCACTCGTTATCAACCCGAGTGAAACCTGGTAAGCGGCCTTTATAGTTGAACATGCAACGTCTTACTGACAATTCTTAGGNGATGGTCTTGATGGCACATGGGCTTCGTTCAATCTGAGTGTAGGAGTTCCAGCGCAAATCGTCCGCGTCCTTCCATCATGGCAGTCTTTTCAAACTTTAGTCGTGGGTCCTGAAGGCTGTTCGATGTACTCTAATTATAACGACTGCGTCAACTCCAGAGGACAAGTCTTCAATTTGAGTCAATCATCAGACTGGAACAATATCGGAATCTTCGAGTTTCAAACAGAGAAAGACCTAGGTTTTCCCGGAAACGCATACTACGGATACGACAAAATCGTTCTGGATGATACGAATAATACAGTTGTCGAAGGCTCGACAGTAGGCGCCTTTGCTGTATCAGATTTTTGGCTTGGAAGCCTAGGATTGAATCCAAAGCCATCCAACTGGTCAGAGACTTCTCATGGGCTTAGTCTCATGACGAAGCTAAAGGAGCAGAGTTCAATTTCCAGCATCTCGTTTGGCTACACCGCAGGTGCCNNTCCTTACCGCTTCTCGGGTGTAGCAGGATCTCTGACTCTAGGTGGATATGATCAGAGTCGCTTTGAGGTCAATAACGTCGAATTTGACTTTGCTTCCGATCCCACCAAAGACACTATCGTCGCGATACAATCCATCAACACGCAAGCACTTAACTCATCAGCCAGTGTTGAACTGCTCCCAGCACCGATATATGCCTCAATTGACTCTACCGTCAGCCAAATCTGGCTTCCNCTCGATGCCTGCCAGGCGTTTGAACGAGAGTTCGGCCTGACCTGGGATTCCACGTATAATCTCTACCTCGTGAACTCGACACTTCACGCCTCTCTCTTGGCTCGTAATGCCCATGTCAATTTCACGATTGGAACCACAGCTTCGGGTCTCCAGAAAACAACTATTTCACTGCCCTACGCTGCATTCGATATGACGGCACAGTCTCCGTATCAAGGCCTGGCTGATAGGTCGAGTTACTTTCCACTCCGACGAGCAGCAAACAGTACACAGTACACGCTTGGTCGGACTTTCATGCAAGAAGCATATATCACTGTGGACTATGAACGTGCAAAGTTCAACGTCTCGCAATGTGTCTGGCCACAGGATATTGGCGATGCCACCGAGATCATCACCATCGAGCCAGCTCCATCGTCTGAGAATAGCGGATACAGTGGAGCATCTTCTGGAGGAAATGCATTATCGACATCAGGAAAGTCTTCAAAAGCAGCAGGCTTGAGTGGCGGTGCAATTGGAGGAATCGTGGCAGGCAGCGTAATCGGCGTGGCAACACTCATTGGTCTTGCCACATGGTTCATTCGTCGTGACAGGGGGAAGAAGACACGATCGGCAGAAGAGGAGACGGGCGACGAATCTTCACCCTCCAGAGACTCAATCTCGCGCACGACAATCGGGATCGGAGAAAAGGGAACGACGGTCTTCCCCAAAGCAGAATTGGAAGGGTCGACGGTCCACGATGACCCCAAGCCATTGCTACGCCCAGAGTCGAGTCTAGCAAGTCCTACCACTCTCGGATATGGAGGCAGCACATGGTCTTCGACGCAGACAGATTCAACATCACCTGGTTTAGCATCGCCAGGGGCTGCAAGCGAAGCAGGAGGATTGGAGATTTACGAAATGCCTGGCGACATGCCTGAATTAGCACAAGCAGACGGAAGAACTATCACAGAAAAGGAGATGATGAGGCGGCGAGAAGAGTTGTACAACGGAGTTGATCGAAGCAACCCAGCAACACCAACGACAGCAGGACCGGCGGATAGAAGAAGTGTTCAGCCCGAAGAGGTGGTGCTACTGGATGAGGGCCGAGATGGAGAATCAAGCTCACGACCAAATAGCAGGTTTAGCTTTGAGTAAGTTAGGAATGACTAGACTGTCTTGGCTGGATACCTGGAGTTTATGGGTGGATGTGTTGATACAAAACATATGGCAGTCAAAGACTTGATGCACATAATATGAAAGACATGAAGACTTGCACAAATCAATCATGCTTGGCACAATTGCATCACCGTCTCGAGCTTCCATCCAGAAATTATTCAGTCCATTTCTTATGCGCAACACCAACACACCACAAACACATCCACAATGCCGATTCAAATATTCGCACCTTCACCAGCAGCGCCCGCCGTCGTCCGGCCGCGCGACGACTCGGACGATGAAATGGACCTCGACACGTCCGACCACGCCGCCCGCTCCTCCACACGATCAAAAAACATCATCACGCCCGGCGAAGTCATCACCTCAGACCCGCAATGGATGCGCGGCCACGGCACCTACATAAACGACAACGGTGACCTCGCACCCATCATCCGCTCCACCCTTGCCGGCACACTACAAAAGACGAACAAGCTACTCTCGGTGGTACCTTTGCGCGCACGCTACACGCCAGAAATTGGAGACTTGGTTATTGGTCGCATCATCGAGGTGCAGAGCAGGAGGTGGAAGGTTGATGTTGCCGGTGCCTTGACAGCTGCCTTGCCGCTGAGCAGTATCAACTTGCCTGGTGGTATTTTGCGCAAGAGAACCAGTGTGGATGAATTGAACATTCGCACTTTCTTTGAAGAGGGCGAGTTGTTGGTAGCCGAAGTACAGAGTTTGTTTCAGGATGGCTCTGCTTCGCTGCACACGCGCAGTCTGAAGTATGGCAAGCTGCGCAATGGATACTTTATGGCTGTGAGTGGTGTTGGAGGCGGCGCTGGTGTCGTCAGAGCAAAGAGACAGATCTTTACGCTCCAAACCTCGAGCAGAGGTGGCGAGGTCGACGTTATTCTCGGTGTCAATGGCTACATCTGGATCTCCAAGCACATCGAGGCAGACAAGAACAAGGACGTCAGCATCACCAGGATTGAAGAGCAAGTGAGCACTACCATGTACTCGAGCCAGAACGACGACATCAGCCCGGATACGAGGAAAGAGATTGCCAGAGTTGCTGGATGTATCAGAGCGCTGGCTGAAAACGGTGTCAAGGTCGATGAAGAGATGGTCCGCAGAGCGTACGATGCCAGTCTCGACCTTGAACAAGACGAGGAAGAAGATGGCGCTGGCTTCTTGGGAGGAGAAAGAGGAAGACTCATCGTCGACATGGCACTGAGAGGCTCGGGATGAACGCATCTGTCATTCAACTAGATGCTGTCGCCAAACTGACTGACCTCAGTCCATACCCCCAGAGCAAGGAGCTTTGCAGACCCCGTCGCATGGTTTTATGACCTACACGAACTGTGTATGCGCTGCCATACAAGTCATGATCATGCGCGCGGCTGTAATTCAATATCACAGCGCCCCATGGACGAGTAAACAAGAGACTCGTCAACATTGATTACGAGGACTATGTGAAATACGTTCGAAGCTAAATGCCAAGTCCTGGCTAAAAGAGGAGGTCGTCACTTCCTTGATATGATATCTATACCTTTTTGCCCATACCACACTCTTCACTCGCGTACTCCAGTGTCCAGTCTCAACCTGTGCCCCTTTTCAACGTCACTCGCTACTACACCCCTTCCTTGTGTCCTGAAGTGTTTGACCAGCTAGAAATGCACAATACTTTCCCAGCCAGAGTTGTGGCCATAGAAACGCCTTGATGTGACCTCTCTATGGAAACTACTGGACACTATCCCCTGTTCGTGCACCTTTGTAGCCACGGCTGACACGCTCATTCCAGATCCACTGACGCCGACTTGTTAATTGTCGAACACTATCCAATGCTCCAAGCATCTCCTCCGGAGTATGACGAAACGCTCTTGGAACGGGGGTGAGTGATCTGGGCATAACCTTTGCTCACGAGACTGAAAAATCGATCTATATTCACCAGACTCACAATGGCTGCATATAAAGGTCCCCGATCACGAGGCCATCGAGGTGTTTCACCACTTGTTTCTCAAGCTTCTAGATGCGGCCAAGGCTCGAGTTATAGTCCTCGCAGGCCGAACAGCGGCAGACTTCGGCCAGCAAATTCACGGCCTTTCAAATTCTGGTTCAACAACAGCTGACAACCATGTAGCTCAAAGAAGTGTACAGATGCGACACTTAGTCAATTGACACCATTGCCAAAAAAAAATCCAGCCATTCTGACTGGCAGTCCGTCCAAGTACCATCCAACATCTCCTGAAGAGCGAGACTAGTCAACTTCAAGACTTGTTCCTTGACTATCTTGGCCTCAATTACGGCCATGTCATTGTCAACAGCATGATCCCGTGGAAACCAGCAACATTGTCTGAACGATTCTACGGTCCTGAGGAATGCCGACATAACCCTAGCAAGTAAAGCTACGTCTCCCGCAACTGCCAGTTGTGTTCAACAACGTGATCGTATCATGACCCCGGTCAAGACTTTGTCGGCTGCGGTATCTGCTGGAGACCACGAGGAGGTGTGCCAACCTCTGACCCTTGTCTCTGCTCCCCTGAAAGTCGTTGAGGCGACACAGGGCACTGTCAAGATACCCGATATCCTCTGGTAAACAAGCAGCCTCCCACTGAGATTCCTCAACTCATCGACCCTCACTGGACGTCTCTCGGTTGAGGACTAGTTTGTGCAGTTTGATAGCTGTTTGTGTGGGAGACATTTTGGTACGGGAGAACAAAGTCATCTCGTAAATTCAGGTGCTAAACATATGCAATATGATGAATCAAAACTCCGATTATAACATGATGTAATGATCTAATTCTAGATGCCCCCGAACCAATCCGCTATGCTTCAAAACAAGATGTATACGATAAAAGAAGTTCCTCAAAGCTCTCGTGGATATCCACTTAGTAAGTAGTGGGAGCAGGAGCAGGAGTAACGAGGCTCAAAGCGCCGTTGGTAGAAACACACTTTGCTCCGTTAGGGTAGCTGTGAGCAGGGTTGCAGGCATAGGTAGTCTGAGGAGCGGGTGTGACGAGAGAAAGAGCTCCATTGGTGGAAACACACTTGACGCCCTCCGGATATTGATGAGCAGGGTTACAAGCATAAGTAACCTGGGGAGTAGGAGTAACCAAGCTCAATCCACCGTTGGTAGACACACACTTGACACCCTCAGGGTATTGGTGAGCAGGGTTGCAGGCATAGCTCGTTGCAGACGGAGAAGCAGTGACGAGGGTCAATGAACCAGCAACCTCAGTGCACACGGCGCCGGCAGGGTAGCTGTGTGCAGGGTTGCAGGCATAAGTTTGCTTTGCAGAAGGAGTGGGAGTGACGAGGCTCAATCCACCGTTGGTAGACACACACTTGACACCTTCAGGGTATTGGTGTGCAGGGTTGCAAGCATAAGTGGCTTGAGGAGTGGGCGTGACAAGGCTCAAGCCACCGTTGGTCGAGACACACTTGACACCTTCAGGGTACTGGTGTGCAGGGTTACACTGGTAGGCAGGAAGAGCCAGGGCCTGAGAAGCGGCGAGGAAAGAGAAGATGGCGGCAGTCTTGAAGGAGTTCATGTTGCTGGTATCGTAGCGTTCGAAGTGTGGTGCAAAAGTTGATGTTGGTAGACAAAAGTGTAGATGAATTGATGATGAGGAGGTATGAAGATGTAGTTGTTTGATGAATAGAAAAGACTTACCTCCCTCATCTCTCACCTTCTTATATATATCTGCTCCTCTGGCCAACTGCGAGAAAGATGAATTGATGATATGACGTCGCTGTGTTCTAAAGAAAGAAAGAGTTTGTCCGTTCGACTTGCTCTGTGCACTGAAACCATATTTGACACGAGCACCCCGTTGATGAAGACCCAGATTGATGGTAGTAGCGTATGGTGAAAGGTCGTCTCTCAGGGCGACAGCATGTGTACCTAAGGCCAGAAACCGCCTTAACCGTCACATTACCCGTCGGTGACGGTCATGTTTCTGAGATAGAGTTCGAGGCTCGTGGTTTTAAGCACAAAAGCGTTGACATTCTTTGCTCAGGCATCCAAGATGTGGCATGCCTTCAAGATTGCTCGTGAGATGATGAACATTGCAGGGCCGACTAGAGATGATTCTCCGGAAAAAATTGCTCATATGACCATGCCTGCACCTTGGGAGAGAATTGCTGCTGCTCGCATCATTGTCAAAATGTTTGTCGGCAAAGGAGAACGAGAACAAAAATAGCCAAAGGAAAAAAGGTTGACAGATTGACGTGCAACGGTTCTCAGGGTCTTGCTTCTAAAATTGGACTTTTGTGCTCAGCGGCGACCGAGGCTCTTTGGCTCTACGAAAGTCTACTCCATTCATCCGTAGAGACAAGGAGAGCTTGAAGATGTGGTGAAGTGGACTTGCCCTGATGACATCGAAGAGAGAAGCACGAAAGGACATGACATATCTCATACTATATTAACATCTCAACATTTTACATCCAAGGAACGGCGTGACCATCGGCTCGTGGATCACTGCCTGCGCTCCAGACACCACGATCTTCGACAGGGTCGACATGCCATCTAATAATCTGACCTCTACCGAACAGACCTCGGCCATGGCCCTTGATAATCTCAACGTTGTGGCCCATGGCGCGCAGCTTGTCGGCAGTCTCTTCTGAGATACCGTCTTCCAGGTAAACAGTCTTGTCAAAGACATCACCACTGTCGGGCATACCGGCGCCGATGCAGACACGAGGTGCATCAAGAGCTGCTTGTGGAGTCATCTTGAAGACGAGCATGTTCAACAACACTTGGACGTGTCCTTGAGGCTGCATGAAGCCACCCATAACACCATAGACAGAGTGCAAGCTCTGATCGGCCTTGTTGGTGATCAGGGCAGGAATAATGGTGTGGTAAGGGCGCTTGTTGGGGGCGTAGACATTGGGATGGTTAGCTGGTTGCAGCATGAAGTTGCAGGCACGGTTCTGCAGAGTGAAGCCGCATCCCTTGGGAATGATAGCCGTGCCGAAACCAGCATAGTTGGAGTTAATGAATGAGATACCATTGCCTTCGCTGTCAGTCGCAGCGAAGTAGACAGTATCAGAGTGGTTGTGTGCAGGGGAGCCATGGTCAGGAATATCACCAGCCTTCTTGGGATCGAAGAGCTTAGCACGCTCGGCCAGGTACTTTTCCGAGATGAGCTCTTGAGAAGGAACCTTGACCACGTTGGGATCGGCCACCCACCAGTTGGCATCAGCAAAGGCGATACGGAGAGTCTCGACGACAGCGTGGATATGCTCTGCAGAGTTGTGGTCCTTGTCGGAGAAGGTGGAAATCTTGCCGTTCTTCTCCAACTCTTGCAACATGCCCAAAGCCATCAGAGCGACAATGCCCTGTCCGTTTGGAGGATGCTCCCATACATCGACACCCTCTGAGCTCTTGTCATGCATTGTCTCTCCGTGAGACTTTGCAATGCCTTGTCCGCGGTAGTTGAGTCTAATGGGGTCGACCTCCTCGCTGCCCTTGTCCATGTGGTTCTTCAGGTCATCCAAGGAGATGAAGCCTCCCAAATCTTGTACAACCTTGACCAACTCTTCTGCGATTCTTCCAGTGTAGTAGCCAGCCTTTCCGTGTTTGGCAACCTCGCGGAAGGTCTGAGCCAGAGTAGGATTGCGCATGATCTCGCCAGGCTTTGGAGCGCGGCAACCGTCCTTTGCATCGGGATCCTTCTTTAGCATTTCGGCGAAGTTGGGCGAGGCATCGCGGATTGACTTCTCGGCTTTCGACCNACTAGACGACGTGTTAGCAGAGTGTCGTGCTGGTTATAGAAAGTGAGTTCTCACATAGTAACCCATGATCTCCGAGACAGGGAAACCATCCTCTCCCAGCTCAATGGCAGGTGTCAAGATTTGTTCCATGCTCAACTTTCCACTGCCAAACTTCTCAACCACGTCAACCCAGCCAGCGGCCGCTCCGGGGACAGTGACTCCGTGTGCACTGTGCATGGGGATTGTGCCACTGTCGCCCTCTTTCAGACCGAGAGATTGTCGTACTTTTTCGCATGTTGCGTTTCCAGGAGCGCGGCCAGAACCATTCAAGGCGTGAACCTGCTTGGTCTTTGCATCGTAGAACAGGCAGAACATATCACCACCGATACCCGTGCTACCGGGCTCGGTCATGTTCAGACCTGCTGCGACTGCGACGGCGGCATNCCTATGCATCTTGTCAGTATGTGGATTATGCAAGTAGCTGTGTCCACTTACTGCACAGTTTCCACCTTGTTGCAAGACTCGTAGACCACAGTTTGAAGCCAAAGGCTGTGAACTTGACACAATACCCTTGGTACTGTGTACTACACTTCTGCGGCTGGGGAATGCGACAAACTCTGGGTCCGCCGCAGGATAGATGGCTTGAGCATTAAGAGGCATGTTTGTGGTTCAAGACTGGGGAAAGCTCAAGAGTTGTGGGGTCGTCGAGGCTCAGTGAACAAGGGGAGTCAAGTACAAGGAGCAACGGAGCAACGACAAGTAATAAAGACAACTTTTTGTCTCGCAGATAGGATACAGAGCCGGCAGAGACACATGGGATAATTGTTCCTGCTCGGCAGTCACGACGTGCAGGAGGCGGGGCATCGCAGCTGTCTCGTTGGCCGATTCGGCCATCCCACCTTCCATATTCGTCATAGAACGGCCGTCTACCCCAACTCCTACCTCGGCCGGCTATCAAGAGTTGGGGTTATCGTGAATGCTCGCCTGTATAAGCAGCGGGTACACATCCGATCTCGGTGCTGTCGAGAGTCGTGTTATACAGTAGTAGTGGTTATGGTACAGTAGTTCGTCAGTCTTTCTTCGCAGCCAGCTCTTCCTCGGCAGCCAGGCCTAGCACCTCTTGCTCGCTGAGCCATCCTCGGACACTTTCCATGACACGCTCGAGTTCAATGCCCCNCTCCAGAACATCATCGAGATCGTGCACACTAATGCCGCTGCGGTGATCCGTCACTCTCTGCTGACCCCAGTTGTATGTCCTGATCTTGTTCTCTCTGCCCATTTTTGCGATACCAACAACGCTTCGGCGCATGGCAAGCATCTCTTCTTCTCTTTGTTCGCGCCTTGACTGGGCTAGTCTACTTCTGAGCAGCCTCCATGCTTTTTCCCTGTTCTTGGGTTGTGAACGTGAGTCCTGAATCGCGACGACGGTTCCGGTTGGCAAATGGGTCAATCTGACAGCACTGTCGGTAGTATTGACGTGCTGTCCACCTGCTCCTCTTGCGCGCATGACATCGGTTCGGACGTCCTTGGGGTCAACATAGTAGTCGCTGTTAGGGTCGTCGAAACTATCTTCTCCTAGATCCTGCGAGGGTTCTGCGGGAAAGGATGGGAGCACCAGAACGGATGCAGCGCTAGTATGTGTGCGTCCTTTGCTCTCGGTCGCTGGCACACGCTGTACTCGGTGAACTCCCGCTTCGCATCTCAGAATGCCATATGCGCCTGGAGACTCGACCTCGAGCACTGCTTCTTGTAGTGGTGCGTCTGAGCCTGCGCCTTGGCCATCGGCGTCTTCGTATTTGAGCAGAGATGTCCGTAGACCCAGGCGATTGCAGTATGAGGTGTACATTCGTAGCATGTCACCAGCAAAGATAGCGGCTTCTCCACCACCTGCTCCAGGTCTGATTTCGATCAAACATGGTAGATCGGCGAATGGATGGCGAGGCACGAGCGCAAGCTTGAGCGCGTCCGACGCTTGAGAGAAGTCGGTCTGCGAGGATGCTAGATCCTCCTCTGCCAATTCTACAAGATCCTTATCTGTCTTGGGGTCTGACAGAAGTGTTCGCAACTCTGACAGAGAGTCGTTTGCCTTTTCCCACTCTTTCAATGCATTGTTGACGGACGACAGCTGACCCAATTTCTTGGCTGCTTTTGTGTCGAAGTTTTCGGCGAGTTTGGCAGTAATATCGTTGTGCTCTCTTGCCATCGAGCGAGCTCGTGAGAGCAAGGCAGGAGAAATGGCTCCATCAGCCGCCGCTGCTGCAAGAGGTTAGAGTGTGCTTTTCGAGAACAGCCTGTGCACATGAATCTTACCTGTGGTTTGCAAGCGAATGCCGCGAAGCGACAAAGGTCGCGGCAACTGTCGCAGGCATGTCGACAATGTCCATATGCTTTGGCGCATGTCGAGCAAAACTTGTCGACCACCTGCCTTCGTCCTCCGGACATTTCACATGCTTCTCCGATTTTCTTGGCAATGTCACGACTATCACCCTGCTCCATGTTTATCATTTTCTTAATATCTTGTCGATTCGACTTGAGGATTATCAAGGACTGAGTTCTATCCATGGTAAAGGTTTGCGGAATATATCACGCTCGCGACATTCCAGCAGTTCCTGTATCGAGTGTCTCACGAAAGTGTCCGATATGTTACTAAGCACATCAACATGAGTCGACCATTGCCTTGCTGATCGCTTAGACGACAGCGGATCGTGAGCACCATGAGGATCTGCTTTGAAGAGATCCAGAGTCTGCTTCTCTAACCTTTTTACATCCCGCAATTCCGAGATGGGGAAGGGTGGATTGATTCCCTGCACGCGTATCTTCTCGCCAGGCCAGCAGATCGCTTCAGCGTGACATTNCCTGTCCTCGTCAGCACTCACACTCAAGAGACCGATTCATACATCACGCACAAGAAACCTAGCCTCTTTGAAACTATGCGTGATGACAGTGACCATCTGCGGCCATTCCCCTTTGACCTCGTAATACTCGAGGAGGGAGAAGAGCAAGTTCTGATAGCTGTCTGTTGCAGCGTCTTCGCACAAGATTCTGCCATCTGCCATGGCTTGTTGCACAACGTTAGAGTCTCCGAAGCATTGCATGAGGACGTTTCGATAGCTGTCAGCTTCGCTGAAGGGCGCATCCCGTTCTGTCTTTGCACCTGAGAAGAGGAGAATAGTGCCCTTTCGGCGGAGAGCGTTCACTCCTGCTTGAATATGCAGCAGGAAGGTCTCGTGTTCACCTGGCTTCCCAACGGTAGGATCGGATCGCTGAAAAGGCTTCAGCAGCCAACTCGACTCTTCATACGGTTTACTGTAGAAGGGACGAAGAGCATGAACAACTGAGAAGGTAGAGACAAACGGATGGGAGCCTTACGAAGAATTTGTGCAAATGGCATGGCAGCACACTACGACCAATTCACCCATGACGACGTCCTGAGGCTTGTACAAATGACAACGACGAGTAGGAGATGAGGCGCAGGTAGCTGAGGATGCACAGCGTAAAGTGAATACGGTCAAAGCGCAACGCGAACGCGAATCAATCGAAATACCTGGGTGAGGTACTTCTCCTGGTGTGTCAAGAGACCTGATGGCTGCGATGCCGCTGACGTCGGGAAGAGACACAGTCCTCTGCAAGAATGGTGAAAGTGCTGCAGGAGGTGGGATGGCAGTGGGCAGCATGCAAGTCTGAGTGGTTCGAAGGTTGTCTCATGTTCACACCGTCTCCGTGGTTGCCAAGTCAAGGGGACCACAGCTTCAAAGTTCAGCGGTGGGCGCGTCAACAACAGAGAGCTATATTTGGATCACGACTCGCCGCCGAGTGTTACTGGGGGAATGCAGAGATTGAGATGGAGGCAGAAGGGCGATGGACATGTAGGAAATGAGGACAGATGATACAGATAATAATCAGAGAAGAGTTGATGAAGGAAAGATGAGGTCTGTTGCTAGATAGTAGCGTGTGTTTCGAAGCGCTGTGCTGTTTCAAGTGTCTCCGCAATTTGGACTGCGTACGAGGCTCAGGGACCAGCAACAGTACAGGTTCCTTGGTTTCTTTGTCCGAGTGGCATCTGCAGCGGCCGCCCTGACGGTGAGAGTTTTGTCGTCGTTTCGACTTCTTCTTCTTTGTCTTCCATCATCATTCCCGCGCGTCACGGACTTGACATTTCACGTCGCAGCCTTTGTTTCATTGCATTCCTCAAAGGATACCGTACCAAGCTTGACACCTCAGTAAGGGGTAATTGTCCAAGACTTTGCCGAGCATGGCCTACCATGGAGTCCCAGGTGGCTACGACCACGATGCCATAAACCACGACGTGCGCAGACTCTCCCAAACATGTCAAAGATGAACAAGGACAAGAAGATGGCTGACCGGCGGCAACCGCAANCAGTACCACGAGAGGCAAGAGTCGGACGAGGAGGTCGAGCGCTCGCTGCTCCATACCAATCCCACCGGCGCCTACCAGGGCCCCTTTGACGACACACACTCGCATCCCACTCAGGACCACGGCTACAGCTTGACGGAGTCCTATGCCGACAACAACACCCACCACGTGCCGCCCTACGAGTACGACGAGTACAAAGGAGCTAGTCTGCAGGACCCAGGATACCANCCCTCTGCTTCTCCAGTCTCCCGCGCACAAACAACGTCGACGGCGGCGTGGGAAGAAAGAGCACAGATTGGCGGTCCCGCTGCTGGCGGCGGTGGTCTCAAGCGCAATGCCACACGTAAGGTCAAGCTGGTCCAGGGCAACGTCCTGAGTGCCGACTACCCCGTACCCAGTGCTATCCAGAACGCCGTCCAGGCCAAATACAGAAACGACCTCGAGAGCGGCAGCGAGGAGTTTACCCACATGCGCNNTGTAAGTTTTGGTACGGTCAGAAGACAAGGCCATTTCAGTCCTGACCCCTGAACAGACACCGCGGCCACATGCGATCCCAACGACTTCACACTCAAGAACGGCTACAATCTTCGTCCAGCCATGTACAATCGCCATACCGAGCTTCTGATTGCAGTCACGTACTACAACGAAGACAAGGTCCTCACCGCTCGCACCCTGCACGGTGTCATGCAAAACATTCGAGAAATCGTCAACCTTAAGAAGTCCGAATTCTGGAACAAGGGAGGCCCGGCATGGCAGAAGATTGTCGTCTGCTTGGTTTTCGACGGCATCGACCCCTGCGACAAGGGCACCTTGGACGTCCTGGCTACGATCGGTATCTACCAGGACGGAATCATGAAGAAGGACATTGACGGCAAGGAGACGGTTGCTCACATTGTGCGTTGGACTCCTGACTGAATTGTCAAGAGACGATTACTGACGTTCTGCAGNTTCGAGTACACGACTCAGCTTTCGGTCACGGCCAACCAGCAGCTCATTCGCCCGCTCGACGACGGCCCGACGACGCTGCCTCCGGTGCAGATGATGTTCTGTCTCAAGCAAAAGAACAGCAAGAAGATCAACTCTCACAGATGGCTGTTCACTGCCTTTGGCCGCATCTTGAACCCCGAAGTCTGCATCCTGCTCGACGCTGGAACCAAGCCCGGCTCCAAGTCTCTGCTCGCTCTGTGGGAGGCTTTCTACAACGACAAGGATCTCGGCGGTGCTTGTGGTGAGATCCACGCCATGTTGGGTCCTCGCTGGAAGTACCTCACAAATCCTCTGGTCGCCGCACAAAACTTCGAGTACAAGATCTCCAACATCCTCGACAAGCCCCTCGAGAGTTCGTTTGGATACGTCAGTGTCTTGCCCGGTGCCTTCTCCGCTTACCGCTTCCGCGCCATCATGGGCCGTCCTCTGGAGCAATACTTCCACGGTGATCACACCCTCTCCAAACAGCTCGGCAAGAAGGGTATCGAAGGCATGAACATTTTCAAGAAGAACATGTTCCTGGCCGAGGATCGTATTCTTTGTTTCGAGCTGGTCGCAAAGGCTGGCTCCAAGTGGCATCTCACCTACGTCAAGGCCTCCAAGGGCGAGACCGATGTGCCTGACAGCGCTCCCGAGTTCATCGGTCAGCGTCGTCGCTGGCTGAACGGTTCCTTCGCCGCCTCCATCTATTCTCTTATGCACTTCGGCCGCATGTACAAGAGTGGTCACAACATTGTCCGCATGTTTTTCTTGCACTTGCAGCTCATCTACAACATAGCCCAACAGATTCTGACATGGTTCGCTCTCGCTTCTTTCTGGTTGACTACTACCGTCATCATGGACCTTGTCGGCACCCCTAGCTCATCAAACAACCAAAAAGCTTTCCCCTTCGGTAACGACGCTACTCCCATCATCAACACCATCGTCAAGTACATCTACCTCGCATTCGTTCTACTGCAATTCATACTTGCTCTCGGAAACAGACCCAAAGGATCAAAGTTCACTTACATCGTCTCGTTCTGCTGGTTCGGTCTTGTCCAACTATACATTACCGTTGATGCGCTGTATCTGGTCGTTCATGCCTTTACGGGCGGTCCAGGTTTCAATACAGACAGTCCGAGCGATTTCGTGCAGTCTTTCTTCTCTTCGACAGGTCCTGGTATCATCGTCATCGCCTTGGCTGCAACCTTTGGTCTCTACTTCGTCGCTTCCTTCATGTATCTCGACCCCTGGCACATGTTCACCTCATTCCCCCAGTATCTCCTGATCATGAGTTCGTACATCAACATCCTCAACGTCTACGCCTTCAGCAACTGGCATGATGTGTCTTGGGGAACCAAGGGTGCCGACAAGGCTGATGCACTGCCATCGGCTAAGACAGAAAAGGCTCAAGACGGCAAAGCGACGGTCATAGAGGAAGTCGATCTAGCGCAAGCAGATATCGACTCGCAATTCGAGACCACTGTGAAGCGTGCTCTTACACCGTATGTTGCCCCCAAGGAGAAGGAGACCAAGTCACTCGAGGACTCGTACAAAAGTTTCCGTACCCGTCTGGTCGTCTTCTGGATCTTCAGTAACGCATTGCTTGCTGTCGCCATCACCAGCGACAATGTCGACAAGTTCGGCTTCACTAGTGGAGCTAGCAAGCGTACTGCAAGATTCTTCCAGGCCTTGTTGTGGGCGAACGCTGTCGTTGCGCTTGTTCGCTTCTGCGGCTGCTGTTGGTTCCTTGCCAAATCTGGTCTGTTGTGCTGTTTCGCACGCAGATAAGCATCTCATCTCCCCACCTCCCCTAACGATTTTGCATTGCACAAAAAGATTGTACCTTGGAGAACATGACATCTCTTGTTGCTGTACGGAGTTTGGATTCTTGCATGCTGCCTTGTATTTTTTCTGTGCTCACCTCGCATTTGCATATCCTAGCTTATATACCACTGGTTGGTCTTGAAAGCCACAGAACGTTTCTACCATGTTTCAATTTCTTCTCATGATGCGATTTCAGAATGCCATGGTGACATCTGATGAAGCCGTCTTCGGACATGGCTGATCTTACGTTTGTGCCTCATGTTCTTCATACATCATGACTTTTTCGAGTCCTCGCATCATGCTGACTCTTACTGTTCATGGGGGTAGTCTCGTGATGCGAATGATGATGGCGGGTTTTGAATGAAGAAGACCACTCGGCTCCAGACAAAGCCCGCATACCGAACGCCACGGTGGGGCAATTGGTGACGCAGCATATTTACCCCCCGACTGTGGAGTAATAGTCGACCCGAAACATGCGAATGTTGCTGTGATGCGTAGAAGGTGGATGATTTCACCTATTCGACGAATGATGAGTTGATCTTTAGTGGCGGATTTCCCGAGAGCCAGAAGCCGAGCCTCATCATATGCACCACGATATCGATATACCGTCATACTAGCCAAGCTGTCACGTTGTCGTTGACGAGACCTTACATGCTGGCCTGTGAACGCCATGCGGTCGAGGAATATGGTCGGCTCATCATTACATCGTAGTCTCAGGCACCAGGATTGCGAGCTGTAGCCCGAGCTCCCAAGTACAAAGGTATATAAGTGTACTTCTCTACCTCAGTAAGCTCTTCTTTTTCATCCATCAACTACTTCATACTTCAATCAATCAACCAACAAACAAATCAAACCACAATCATCATGTCTGGAACTGATCAGTCTCACGCTACCGGTGCCTCCAAGGGTAGGCTTCATTTTGCCCTTCATCTTACCATCACCTCTAACACTGGATTTAGTCCCAGAATCGGTTCAGCAAAACGCTCCCAAGGAGGTTGAGAACGCTCTCCCCAACCAGGTCCACAACACTGGCTCCCAAAGCCAGTCTCACGCCACTGGGCCCTCCATGGTCCCCGAGGCCATCCAGGTAAGCAGCCAACAACAGCATTCTCTTCCTGAGCTATACTGACAAGCAAACAGAACCTTGCTCCCAAGGGTCTTGAAGAGGCTCTACCTGAGAGTGTGCATCCTACTAACCCCAAGTAAGGGGTTTAAGAATGACTGTTATGTACTTTATGAAAACAGAATAGCCGCAGCCGGCTCACCAATATGATAGTTCACCTACCTCACTTCTTCATTCTTCTTTCTTACAATATCGTGTAAATTTTCGTTGGCATTGTGTGATGTTCAAATCCCGATGACGAGATGTTGACAAGTTCATTTGGCAACATGGGATGGAACAATGACCAGGTACGTTGAAGTGGTGTGTATAGGGAACACAACATATCTAATTAGCGAACAAATTGTTCTGGTACTCACATGCTGGAAATGACACCACCCTTCTGAAAAAGCGACCAGAGAAACTAGGACAGTACCCATGACAAGAGTGACAACTTGTCCCATATATACACTTCCATCACCGAATTGTGGTGCAACTTCATCGGCTCTTCAAACCCCTCGGCGTTGAACGCGAACGCCCTATAGTGGCACCCGCCCTTGGCATCATGGCAGGCATCCAGAGACCGAGTTGAAGACAACGCGACAAGATTTCCATCACATGGTAATTGCATCAACGATCAGAAAGCAATATAAGGTGAATCTATGTGCTGCCACTTCATCAACAGTCCGATGAACGAGAGATGCATCGCTCAACGCCAGCAAGTTCGGAAGGACCAAGAGATGCCCAGCATTTTGCACAGCCCGCGTTCGGGTTGATAGGCAGACGTCCGCCTGGTTCATGACTGGTCGACATTATTCAGAGATGGCCTTCATTATCAAGTGTGCTCAAGCCTCTTGATACTTGAAGCTGAGACGGCAGCCGCGACTATGTAATTCGTTACTGCCAGCTGGTTCTGCACGCTTATCTCTCCGAAGATCGGGACCGCATGCATATCATTGATATCTCGCCTATCTCCATTTGCAAGCTCCACAACGATTATACCGTGGAGTATGGTTGCGGTTGAGTTGAAAGTTGGGGTCAAATGGAAAGAGCTATGGGTGACTAACCGTTATCCTCATGGTTGCCATGTTCGGTGAGTCTTTTTGAATGGCTCGACAAGCCTAGTCATATAAAAACCAGGAAAGTCGCTATCACGCTTTGGCACGTCTTTCTCTCTTCTTCTTCATTTCTCAACATGACACCATATTGCTACCGGTCTGTCGCTGCTGCACTGCTATTACTGTCTCACAGTATCAGCACATCCTTCGCTTTTAAATTCACTCCTACTGGTCAGACTGTTCAATTGGATGGAGCATCCTATTATATCCCTCCTGATGTCATATCAACAATCAGCATCTCGAGGCCCATGAGAAAAGCTCTGGACAGCGCTGGCGGTCTACTTCCCTTTACTGTTGTCCACGCCCCCTCGCTTGAATATGGCGAACAGGACTTTAGCCACGACATTGCTTCTTATCTTTCTACAGACGACGTCTTCAGCAAAGGATTTTTGGAAGCAGTCTATGTCCAATATTCAAATGGATCAGGCAGCAGGTATCCAGGATTCTCGGCACCAAAACTATCTGGGAACAACAGTGTGAACGTCGTGTCTACTGGTTTTGCCTCTAACACCTCATCCATCCCCGTTGGTCCCTACTTTGTGACTTCTACTGGTACTGTTCACGAAGCATGGAAACTATTCAGCGATGTTCAAGGAGCGTTCTTGGAGACCACGGTCGCCAACAAAGACGGAACTCTTTCCGTGCTACCTGCCAATGTCGAAGGTCAGTCTTTGGCGATTGCAGTGCCTTCTCGTCTGTACTTCACCAAGACCGATGCAAAACCACTTGCAGGTGTCCGTCTGGGCATCAAGGACATCTACGATATTGCTGGATTGAGAACATCCAACGGCAACAGGGCATGGTACCACTTTTACCCGCCAGCAAACAGAACAGCTCTCAGTGTTCAGCGCCTAATGGATGCTGGTGCTATCATTGTCGGCAAGATGAAGACCTCACAATTTGCAAACGGAGAAGTCGCAACAGCAGATTGGGTTGATTATCACGAGCCCTTCAACCCTCGTGGTGATGGTTACCAAGACACCTCGTCATCTTCCAGCGGACCTGGGGCAGGTGCTGCTGCATACGACTGGTTGGACCTAACGCTGGGCTCCGATACTGGCGGCAGCATCAGAAACCCTTCTCAAGTGCAAGGACTTTTCGGTAACAGACCTTCTTGGGGAATGGTTTCTCTCGAAGGAGTCATGCCTATGGCTCCTCAGCTCGATACTGCTGGCTTCTTGACCAGGCACCCTGATATCTGGGTCGCTGCTTCTAAAGTGATGTATGGCGACAATGTCACCCTTTCGCACAGCTATCCGTCGAAAATTCAGACAATAGGCTGGCCTACGACCAACAGTTCGGAAGCAAACGGCTTGCTTCTTTCTTTCTTGGACAAGCTCACTACCCACCTCAATGCCACCACCACAAGTCTTAACCTGACCCAGCAATGGATGAAGCAACATCCCGCAAACGTGACATCCTCACTAGTTGACCTAATGAACCTCACGTATCCTATTCTCATCGGCCAACAAACAACCTCAGTCCGCGACCCCTTCTACGCCGACTACTCGGCCGCAAATTCAGGGCGGCTCCCCTTCGTAAACCCCGTACCACTAGCACGCTGGGGTTGGGCTACTTCTTTCCCTCCATCCACTATCGACGACGCAATAACCAACAAAACAACCTTTGGCAACTGGATCGAGGACAACATCTTCATCGCTAATGAGAAGACCTGTAGCGACAGCCTTGGCATCTACGTGGGCAATTCGGGAACTACAAACTACAGAAATGCCTATCGTAGCCCTCCAGGCATACCCACTGGTTTCTCCACCAGCAGAATTTCTATCTTCTCTGGCGTACCTGATTTTGTATTGCCTATTGGACAAGCTTCGTATAAGTCGAATATCACACAGCAAATTGAGTATTTGCCAGTCAGTGTCGATATCCTGGCGGCNAAGGGTTGTGATGGCATGATCTTTGGTCTTGTCCAAGACTTGATCAAGGCTGGGATAATAAACGCGACAAAGGCTGGGTATAGCGGTGTTACTGGCGAGAAGATTCTTTTCTAGATTCTCTGAAATTATGATGCATAGCATACATTTGTAATGATCAACGCCTTTTGAGCATATCTGCATGGCATGACTATGTGTGATGACTTTGCACTCTACCGTACCTTCCTACTCACATGCATCCATCAGTTTTTCTTGTCTCATCAACTGCGCCGCCCTTCTTTCCTCAGGGCAAATTGCCCCACAAGTTGTGCCTTATGCCTTCCTTTTCGAGACAGCGAAATGATTGGCATTTGCTGATCGTCACTGACTTCTCTGCTCAAAGCCCTCTCGTCTAGGGCAAGGTCGTGTCCCGAGACAACTTGTTTCCAGGAGCGCGTAACTGGTTGCCGCCGGCTCATCGATCTCAATCGCGGATCGAAGTCAGAGCTCTGCGTAGGATTCGAGCTCTATAAGGCGAGCACAACATCGCAAATACCGCAGTATCAGCTGTCATTCATCGATGTTCATCTAGTCAAATCAGCGATGCCAATCACCTATACAGCATAACACTCACCTCGCATGATTCTGTCCGACCGGTCGCGGCCCAAATATCACAACAAGTATAGATGCCAAAACCATACAACAACCAACTGTCGTGAATCCCATGATCCAGTACATCTTCAGTCGCTTGTGTTTTTTGATGAGTGATTGCGAATCCACAAAGGTCTCACTGGTGTTGGATGATGATGTTGTAGCCACTAGTTCTGGCGATTCGAGTAGAGTCTGCAGTGCTATAAAGTCGTGATTGTTCTTGGTGGTGGATCGTGCGGCGAAGTCTGTTGTTGCGATGCCGGCGAGGGTGCTTGTTTGGGATAGTGTGTCACTGTCTTTGGTTTTTGTCAAGGTCATTTTTTTCTGTTGAGAATGTTCTTTGGGAAGATTGAATGGAGAAAATGAGGAAAGGTCAACTTTGGTAATCAACTATCTATTGTCAGTGTTGCATGCATCTCATCTCCGCACTTCCATGTCTCTATTTTCGTGGTCGTTACACAGCGTTCACCCCTCGACAGCTTGCATGATCGGGTTACACGAAACTTGCTCGCTTGAGTCGGACTTGCCGGTCTACTAAGGCTAGGAAAGTCGGTATCTGTGGTTGTGACACCTTGGCCGCGTGGCTCTGACCGTTGTTATGGCGATTTTCCTGGTTTGATGGCTGTCGATACAAGAGACTTTTGTAATCATTTCATGGAGACTAAAAGCAGGAGTGTAGCAAAAGAGAACATCGCGAGTCCTTGGCATGATGGATTCGATCATACGCCTTGATAGTTTTCAGAGACATGTGAAAGGTCGACTTTCTGCACTGGAGATTATTGTGGATTGTTAATGTTGAGAGATGAGTAAGGAAGGAAGGAGTGCTGGTGGCAGTCGATCATGACGCGCATCCTTGGCTTCCTTCCCGGCCATCTTCCACTTTTAGAACATGTGTGTGACCACGGTCGCACCTTCAATATATCCTCCAGGGTACAAATTCAATCAGTTCTTTCGAGAATATCGAGTTTGAATCTCTAATCATGACGAATACCACACAACCGACTATAGCTACTAGCTTCTCAATTTCGCCTCAGCCTTACATCCTAGGCAATGAGCCACTCACCCTGACCATNAACCTTGAACCTTTCTGCTCCCGCTCCTATAACTATCTTTACCTTCTTGGGATATTCAACCCTCGACTAGCCCTCAGACGACGCAACTTTACACTCCATGACATGACTACCGACCCTCCTTCACCTATCAACCTAGAGATTACAAAAGGCCCAAAACGTCCTGGATTTTCGAGAAGGAAGGATCATCCAGATGAACAGTATTACATTACTTTGTATCCTGGAGTGGATTTTAAGATACAGCATTCGATAGAGAGGACGGCGCGTGAATCGGAGTTGTCAATCTTCCAAGCTGGACACAAGTATCGGCTTGGTATATCAGGCGAGGAGAAAATCCCACGATGGTGGTGGGGCACTAGAGACGAGGTCCTGAGTGATAGCGAACATATCAAGGAGGGGGTTGGGCCGGCCCAAGGGGAAGTGGCCATTGTCATATATGCTGATCCTGTCGACTTCGATGTCATGAATGCATGAGACGATGGTAAGATCCACTAGTATTGACAGATCTTCTGCTGCAGATCGCTTCTCGCAGTTTTGCTCGTTAAAAATCGGACTTTGCATGGGGGGTCCCTATGTTTGCAGATCCCAGATGTTTGTTATTGCAGTTTCAATCTATTAAAGTAAGTAAGGAAGTCATGAGTAAAGCTTGCTGTGATACTGCAGTATGTTGTGGACGATCTACCAATAACAGCCACAGCCCTTGATTTGCTCTTCTAATTCAGCCACCCGAGCTCTCAGAGCCGCGATATCATCCATGCTGGCAGTAGTACTGGGGTACCAGGTGTCAAGAGTGCAAGAGCTCGAAGACTCATATGAGTTTGTCTGTGATGGAGTCAAAGAAGACTTGCTCGTCGTTGGAGCATTAGCTACAGTACGAGTAGATAACCCATCTAGGCTAGAAGAAGTTTTCGAAGCACTTGAACCAGCCGGGCTGCTTGTCCTTGAGCTAAAGGTTGCAGACTTGAGTGTAATAGATCCGGAATTGCCGAGGCTGACAGCAGTGGAGCCAGTAGCAACGCCGATGGTAGAACTGATTGTGAAAACAGAAGCTTTACGTGAGAGGTCGGTGGCGAAAGGTACAGGCGGGTTTGTTTGCGCAGTCTGAGCATAACGAGGTTGGTTTATGGCATTCGCCAGGCCATGGGGACCAGCCTGGACGGCAACAATATTGCTCTCGTCGCTGTATCTGGCTTGACCCACAGACACCTGATTGTTGTCAAGATCGTAGACAAAGTAACCAGCGCGCATTATGGCATCGCCCCATGCGTTGCCAGAATTGGTGGGTGATGGAGAGACCAAGAGCGCACAGTATTGTTTACCGGATGGATCTATATATTAGCAGATTAGCATGACTTTTCGACACAAGCCATGGTTGTACCATTGCGAGGCTGTATTGATCCAACGCTTCACACTCACCAGTGATAGGCTNNGTCCTCCGGTTGACACCAACGGCGTTACCATTTGTGACAAAAGCACTCGCAAAGGAGCTTGAGTAGAATTTATCCCTTGAAAGCCTCTAAATTGGAAATTAAAGGCAGCGATCTTTGATACATCGACACATGGCCGTACTGCAAGTCCCGATTGAGGCGATGGAACGAACCCACTGACGTCGACGATTCTGATGTAAGTGGCCTCCGCTACATTCCATGCGGTAGCACCAGAATCGAAAAAGCCGGTTTGTGTGTTATTCCTGCTGATAAGTTGTATTGTAGTCCCGTTTCCATCGACCATCGTGACATTGGACATTGTCAATTGGAAACTGCTGGTGAAGTTACGCGCGGGATAGCAATTCAGGGTGACAAGGTTGCCCTCGAATTTCTGTGTGTCGACACCACCGAATATTATGCTGCCATATTGACCCAGATTCGACAGGTACAGGCTGTAAAATCGTGAAGCAATCGCTCCCGCGTTGACCAAAGTCTCGACGAAGTTTGGATATTGGATTCCGTTGGTCAGAACACTGCTCTCCCTAAGAGAATAGCCAAGGCCTAGAAGTCCCTCTTGAATACCATTGCTTGGATTCACGTTATAAGCTAATCCTCTAAAACACAGTCAGTATGCTTCCTTCGGAGTATGCAGAATTTGTCATTATCTCCTCTAATAGAATGGCATCAGAGCTTGGCACATCTCCCTGACACCTTTGTCCCGAGAGATTAGAATGCCTTTGCCATTCGCCGCAGAATATGATCAAGGCTCGCACCCAAGCTTGTTCTATCTGTACTAATGAAATTGGACTTACAGAGTAACATTGGTGATGACCCGATCTCGAATCTGAACCACATCAGAGACCAAATCTCCATCATCGGTGGTCCCATCTCCGAATGTAATGTCAAAAGCTCCCGGTGTAACGACTTGAAATGTAGACGACTTGGAAGCGTCGAACGTACCACCCACGCAGGTATTGTTTTGGCAGAATGGGGCGGTCGAACTTGTAACGAAAAGATCGCTAGATCCTGTATCGAGCGAAACTGTTTGCAATTGACCGGGTGATCCGACAGAGATGTTCAGGTAGTAAGCAGATCCATCGTCCGTAAAGACCGAAGTGTCGAAGGCGTCTCGGCGATCGAATCGAGGTTTGAGTTGTGGTTTAACCTGCTTGCGGATAGCAAAATCCAAGGTGCCGGCCGCCAGAGCGGAAGATGCAAGACTCAGCAATGTCAAGCTTCTTATGTTCAACATAGCTGAAGACGACATGTTTTGGATCCAAGAAAATCAAGTGATGACCATCCGCACAGTATATGTATGTGTGTGCTCTCTCAGCCGACCACTCTCAGCGCGCGGCATGATAGCTGAGGTGTACAGCGTAGTCGTGCATTAGTGAAAGGCATACTAGCCAGCTCGAGCCGGGTGAGCGACAGCGCGGGATCAGCTGCGATACAAAAAACCGTTCATGATGGTGGTTGAGGCGCGAATTGATGGTTTGCAACTCGGCCTTCAGCCCTGAGTGTGGCTGGCTGTTGCTGTGTTGAGCTCAGCTCCGGCGACGGTCATGCAGGGACAGAATTTGCCGCGGCTCGAACAGGGCGATGGCATGGGAAGGTTTGCAAAAAGATCGATGTCCGGCACCTTATTATTCCAGCGTAACCAAGTCCTCTCTTGAGAGGGAAATGACAACATTGTTGTGATCGATCAATCCAAGTGTAAGTGTACGAAAATCGAAAGAGTACTGGTTGGACGTCGCAACAGGCTGCCGGACAGTATGAAAAGGAATATATTGTAACAGTTTCGAGATCCCAGTACGTACGGCCACAGTCAGCTGAAAACTGGGCATCCCGTCCGCTCTGCCATACATAAGCAGTTGAACGGCAGATTAGTACTACGGTGGGTGACCACGTGGGAATCCCCTGCTGCTGTACGTTTTGGAGCACATCTTCCTTTTTGCTTCCAGGACCCAGGACACGCCGCTCTGTCAGGAAAGGTCTGTCAAAGAGGGTTGGCCAGAGCGTTCTAGAATCTGGATATTTTGCTGTTGATGGTTTCTTCTACGAAATTTTGCTGTACGACCACGGGCAACGACACGGACAGATACGAGCACACATCTCAACATCACACCCTGCCTAGAAAAGAGTGACATTACTGGAACACTGAAGAAGCAATACACGGAATAAAATTTGATCGAGTAGTGATATCGAACCTACCTATCTACTAATTTAGGTCTACTACAGGATCATGCCATCACGCTCTCAAGCGCATTCATCAATCATATCCGTGCCAACCCGGAATCTAGAAAGCAGGCTGCTCAATGATCAACGCTGGGCCAGCAACAACGCTGTCTAAAGTCGGAGCACCGACTTCATTCGCGATCACCGCAACAATAATTCCTTCCCCGGCATCAAAATCCATCGGGTAAGCCGAAGTGTTAGTCTTGGTATCAAATGGCATGGTGATGTTATGGACGCCATGGAAATAAACGGCGTAGTATTGTCTGTCTCTTTGCTCCGAGTACCAGTCAGGTTGGTTGTGAGGATCCGTAAACTGAATTTGAATGAGTCCTTCTGCCTTTTCAATAATAGCGGTCGCTGCGGGCAATTTCTGCGTGGGTGATGGATACGATGGGTTGGCGGCAGGGCAGCTGCCAGGCACAATATACTGGCGCGTAAGGTCAAGGATCTCGTTCGCATAAGGGAAGACGGTATCAGCGGGGCCAGAGAACGGGTTCGTGTTCCAAACGTCTATAAGAGCCCAAGTGTTGTGTCGTGACTCTACTTCGCTGATAGCAACTAGGGCACTCATGGTGCCTGTGGTCGTCGCTTCTCTAACGAGACCAGTCAGGAAGGCCATGCTGATCACTTCAAGGCTGACTTGCAGAGCCAACCACACACTTGCGTTGCCATTGAAACCATAGTCGTATGTGCAAGAGCCAGGTTTGACGCTGGTGGGACTAATGCTATCCTGGAAGATACGCAGATGGCCCGCTTCATTGTCGCGAATCTGCATCACGCGATCGTACGTGGTGTTGGGCAATCGAAACTCCGTAAAAGAGGAGCTGTTGAAGGTCTCAACACCTTGTTGGTAGAAGTCGAAGATTGCCCATTCTGCGCTCAACAGATTCTGGAAAAGAAGGTCGTCTGGTCCTGCAGGTCCGCTCTCAGTTGGCAGTATAGCACCGGTGATGTTTCCTGGGAATGGAGCAGCGGTCTTGTTGTAATCGACATAAGTTCTCGACTCTCCAGGGATCGGACCGTAATTCGGGTCGGCGAGAGAGGCGTTCAGATTGTTCTGAGGAGCTGGCAGTGCAGCAGCAGCAGTCGTGAGCAAGCTGACAATGAGGCTGCTGGAGGTGTGCATTGTGATAACGTGTTATGTTCTCGATAAAGAAGTAGATTGGCTCTCGATTCTGATCAGAGAAGAATCGAGGGAGCATTCTGCTCTTCTTATATCATCGTCAATCAATCCTTGCTCTCAGGGTGTCGTCAGCACCGCGAAAGTCAATGTCTGCCAACAGCACATCAGTTTCCAGATCAAGGCCATTTCGCGCGCGAGACTGTGTTCCTGCGATGTTCTGTGATGGAGTTTGACGAATCATCTGTCGAAGAGCGCGAAGTGTACCAAATTAGGAATGGTATGGAGAATCCTTCCGCCAAGGATTTTCAACGTTGCTTCCCAGAGCTTGACTTGAGCCACGCGAATGTCACAGCAAGTATCCGGATTACCGCAAAGGGTAACCACGGCGCGGGCATCATCATGTACTCTCCAAGTGGTTCGTTCTGGCTGCTGGCAGTATCCAAGGGGTTCCTTACCTAAAATCTGGCTGATCAGCACGAGGAGACCCTCATCAGCGTACATAGATTCGAGCTCTGTATGATCAGGAAGATCTTACCACTCGAATTTGCCAGCCGGAACTCTCTGGACAGATCTCGTATGGCTATCGCTAATCTTAGACTGTATGAACGTACTATGGAAGCTGGACGCACACGTCGCAACTTACCTGTTTGTTTACTTCCTTCCTTCCTCCCCCATCCTTCCTTCCCATGTGCTAAAGTATGTAATGCGTACGCTATAAAAATTGCACAATGGTAAGGAGAAACAAGGTCGTACCCACCGAGAGCTAGCATCCTAGCGGCGCTCTATGGCTCGCTCTCTGCTTTTGAAAAAATTGTGCTTTTTTGTAGCATACACTTCGCTCTATGCTCATATGGGAGAAGAATCGAGTTACAGACTTTAGCACGCAGGGAGGTCATGTCAGGTTCTCACTATTAATCTGACCTTTTTTTCTAGAAGAAAAAGGAAGAGACCAGACTAGCATCGTAAGGGTCTGACTTCCCTACTCACGTCAGCTCCGTTAAATCAGCAATATCCGCATCCTATTCGCAATCTATCTGCATCCTGTACATACCCCGTATCTCGTCTGTCAGATTATACTCGCTGGCTTCTCAGATGACAAGGATGAGCGACTCTGCTCCATTCTCATTGACACATACCAATGGTTCTGAAAACGTCAACTATCAGTATGTGCTGGGGGAGGGTAGTACACTTTCATCACTCACAACGACATCACCTCGTTTGATGCTGCGGGCATATGTACAGTGGAACTCAGTTCTGTACCGGGATGCGCTGGCCAATACAAGTTTGGTCACCCATCTTGGGAGTGGTGAGGATCGTAGCGATTCCCATCTGGCTTGAATCCGAGAAACTATTCGGTGTTTATTATGCCTCTAGGGTCACCGGATCAACTACATGGTGTACCTTTCCACCGGAGTACACTAGAGAAGTATACATGACCAGCCACAACGGAAATAACATGATATTGCGGCAAGCCTTACCATCGACAGTCGGCTAGATCAATGTCGGGAGGGTGACCCGGCCAGAACGCTTCCGACGAGGGGTTGGATGCTCTCGACTGGTTGACATCAATAAGTATCAGACGATGTCATCGTTCGGAACATTTTACTGCCTGATGACAACGCGATCGAAGGTGCCATACCATGCCTCACACCCAGCGCTTCACACTCGAGATGGTGTGGCTACAAGCCGTAGTCAGTCCTCTTCACCGCAACGTGAGGGCCTGGTGACTGAGTAGGTATGGTGTCGGATAGAGTGGGAGGTGTAGGACCAGCAACAATGAAACACGGATGCGGTGAGTTCGGCAAAGGGAGAGAGTGATAGATGCCGATGTGGTCTGTCCGTACCGAAGTTCGGCCTCCATATCCAGGACTACGATTTCGCCAGGCTTTCTTGCTTGTTGATGTTGGTCAGCAGATGGTTTCTATCAGCTTCAGATAACAGAGCGATTTCGGTGGGTATACATGTTGGCATTTGAATCACATAAAAGCATGCATTCGGTCGGCCCGTACGCTGCACCCCTTATCTCTATTCCCGACGATGCCGAATTGAAGCGTCGAGCCCAGCAAACGGTCCGCTTCAGTAGCGGCTCTGTCATTTGACTTTCTGTTTTGTTCAGCTAATGCAATGGAATTGATTGAGATTGAGAAGACACCAGGCGCCCAACTCGAGTGTGCTGTCTGGCGACAAAGAGGTTGATGATTGAAGAGAATTCGAATGATCAACAAGCCGATCGGATCACTGGCCAAGTTGCCAGGAAATCCCACCAAGAAAGATGAGACAGGGACGCCGCACGAAGCAAATGGCCAAGGCGTTCCTTCCACAAGAATGCGCGCGAGTGCGTCACTGCTTCTCTTCGGTATTTCGAAAAGGCTTCCTTTATCCACAATCCCACATGGCGCGCCCTTGACTTTTAGGCTGTTTACCCACTGTCTCTTGATGCTACACTCTCAACCATTCCCAGATGCAGACGAGCCGCACGCGGTTTCGGCCATGCAGAACTCCGTCTGGGCATTTCCTTCTCTAGTTAGCAACGGACAACGAAGGGCGAAATGATGGACTGACGTGAGATGAGGGTTCCTCCCGGTTTTGCTACGAACAAGGGCCGACATCGTCATATGCTGATGAGACGACCAATTCGGAAGCGTCCTCCAGCGACCAAGAATATACATGTCGTCGGCACATCATTGCCATGTTTAAGGTCAATTCAGCTGATCGAACTGTTTCTAGGCATGAGCTGAGTGCAACCATCAGCACATTCTGAATCGTCTGTGAGGTAGGGCGCAGAGCGCAGGCCTCCTGCGGTGGAGCAAATTACATATCGAAGAAACATGGGGAAAACTTGGTGCAACCTCAACCGAGATGTTTTTTTTTCAGGCTCGCCAGGCACGAGTCCGAATCGCACATCAAACCTTTTTCGGCTTTCCTACCGACGAGCTTGTTGCAGACATCACTTCACGTTCTTCTACAACATCTGCTCCACATATTCTCGTCCATGCTCCGCAACTTCTCGTCCACGCTCCGCATCTTTTTCGTGCTCGGAACCCAAACACATCACCTCAAGATCGTGCTCCGTGGGGATATCGCTGGATCTCCAGACGTCCCCAGCTTGCCCCGGCCCATGGCTGTTGCAAATTGACTGCAGCGGCTGCTTGGCTAGGCTGATATGACCTAGAGCGCCTTGCTGGTCCACGAGAAGGACCGTGAAAGGGCCGGAAGACATGCTTGTTGACCTCGGAATTGCCCAATCTTGTCGACGTTGACCACCACATCGGCTGTCCGAGAAGAACCAAAATTGGAGGGCACACCGGCTTGGCTTTGGTGCCGCAGCCGGCCGAAACATTTGCTGACCATGCTATCATATCCCCATGCCCCAATGGACCCACTGCAAATATGGAGTATGTGGAGTTGATGAGAAAAGCGCGAACCCAGAATTGAAATTGGCAGCCAGTATAAAGACCGAGCGATCTGCCCTCTGCAGTTTGAACTACTGTCCGACTACAGCGCTCATCACACGCCATATCTTCACCAAAGGCTTGACCGTTCTTGGCCTTTCGAAGAGAGTTCGACGCCCGGTCTTGTCTCTACTTGGCTCCTTTGCAACATAAGCGTACACAACTCGTCGCCTACAGCTCCCAATCCCGACAAAATGGTCGGTTTCCTTGGAATGACTGGCAAGGCCCTGTCCATTGCTCAGGTCGCATTGGTCGTCGCTCCATCTTTCATCCTGTTCGGTTACAACCAGTCCGGTCTCGGCCCTTTGTTGTCCGAGGAGAACTGGAGACACCAATTCCCCCAAATCAACACTGTCGACTATAAGGGTGAGGTCAAGGCCCACCACGCTACACTCCAAGGTCTCGTTATCGCGACATTCACACTCGGTGCGCTGGTTGGCGCTCTGAGTTGTAGTTACACTGGTACCCTTCTCGGAAGACGTTGGGTTATCTTCATTGGCGCTCTTTGCACACTCATTGGTGAAGCCATTGAGTGCTCTGCTTTCGAACTCGCTCAACTCATTGTCGGCCGTATCATCATTGGTCTTGGTGTTGGTCAACTGTCAGCTACTGTCCCCGTTTGGCAATCAGAATGTTCCTCCGCCAAGAACCGTGGTAAGCACGTTGTACTTGACGGCATGTTCATCTCGTTCGGTTACACTCTCGAGTCCTGGATCGATTTCGGATTCTTCACGCTCAAGACCGGATCCGTTACCTGGCGCCCTCCAATTGCCATCGCTCTCCTCTTCTCACTCATCGTTCTGTTCTCCGTCTGGTTCTTCCCCGAGTCACCCCGTTGGCTTCTTGCCCAGAACCGCGGCCAGGAAGCTCGTGAGAACTTGGCTGCTCTCAAGGGTCTCCCAATCGATTCTCCTGAGATTGAGGCAGAATGTGTTGGCATTGAGCTCTCCCTTGAGGACTCTGCGACCAAAGCTGCCTCTTTCAAGGATCTGTTCAGCATGGGCGAAGACAAGCTCGCATACCGTTTCGGTCTCTGTATCTTGCTTCAATTCTTCCAGCAGATGTCCGGAACTAACCTCATCTCCGTCTATGCCTCTACCATCTTCCAACAGGGTCTCGGTATGAGTGCTTACAACTCCAAGCTTTTGTCTGCTGGTACTCTGACCTGGAAGTTCTTGTCCTGCTTCGTTGCCTTCTTTTGCATCGATCGTTTCGGTCGTCGCCTTTGTTTCATGGTTTCTGGAGGTGGTATGGCGTTGTGCATGGTCGCTCTTGCCGTCGCAACCTCGTTCCCTCACGACAACTACGGTGCATCTGTCGCAGCCGCCTTCTTCGTCTACCTTTTCTGCTTCTTCACTCCCATCGGTTTCCTTGGTGCCAACTTTCTGTACTGCACAGAAGTCGCTCCCACGCGTCTTCGCGTGGCCATGGCGTCAATTTCGACCGCCAACCATTGGTTGTGGAACTTCGCCGTGGCCATGATCACACCAGTAGCCATCAACAACATTGGCTACCAGTACTACATTGTCTACGCTTGCATTGGTTCATGCATTCCCGTCACAGTCTACTTCCTNCTGTAAGTCACATATATTCAGTGTTCTCTCTGTACTCGTACTAATCTCCTCATTTCAGACCCCGAGACCAAGGGACGTTCATTGGAAGAGCTCGACACTATTTTCAAGGACAGTCCTTCAGTGTTGGGTACTGTCAAGTACGCCAAGTACAAGCCCATGATGACTGCAGACGAAGTGCCCTACTCCAAGACCTCAGAACACGTACACGAGGAGAAGGTGTAATGGGTGCTGGCCGCTCTTGTTTTGTTGAAAATCTTTTATACGAACGATATATGCATGATTTTGATGACACGAAGACGTGTCACTTTCTACTTCTTGAACCCACTGTTCAGGTCCCATCAACCGTGATCGTGTCTCTCTGTTCTTGATAACCATACAAAGACCTGGCGACTCGTTGTCGCCGGAGGCTTAGTGAGTCTGAGACGTGCCTGCTGCTCCTTGGCAGAGATTTGGATACTTTCAGATTTTGGCAATTTCTCCTCTTCGAACGCCAGAACTTTTTTGCAAGCTTTTGAAAAAAAGGAGGGGAAAAAAAGCTTTGCGACGAAAATCCAGACTACCAGTGCTGCAAGGTCTTGATATTGGGAGGCAACGATTTCGCGTGCTGGGCGTCTGGGCTGCTCGTTTGCAAATCTGATAAGATCTTGGTGCGAGATCGCCTATGTGTCCCACTATATTTGCACGCCAAGAATATCTGGGCACCTGATTCTCCTTCCAAGAGTCAACATTCGGCAAGGTGAACGATTTGCACAGCGTATTGGAGCCACCCGCAGCCCATAGCGCCAGAGTTACCATCGAAGCATCTGATAAGATGAAAATTTCATCAGACCATCACGGTAGTTCTTCTCGGCCTGTACGTTGCCGATGTCAGTTCATGTTGAGAAGACCGCATCTTTGCATGAAAAATCATGCCACAACATGAGCGTAAGCAAAGACGGAGTCATCAGGAAGGACGTCGCTGAGCTCTAGATCATTGATGATCTGCAAATGACATGGTGATTAACACAGCGCCTTGAAGGCCAAGGAAGTACTCTCTTGTAGAGAAACACGGGACTCCGTGCAGCTCAACTGGACAACGGCCTTCCAGCAAACGAGCCAATAGTCGGTATCATATCGCTAGACCCTGCACGATCTGATAAAATTAAGCTCTGGACCCTACAGACTATCTAATCCATCACCCAATCTTGCCTGGCTCCTGGCTCGGGTTCCATTCTTTTGCTGTGAGGCGGTTTTCAGCTGCGCCGACCGCTCCTTCCCAATGCCTTGGCGGTATCTACATAAAATGGCGTGTCCTTCTGTCAATGTTATCCTGCTCCGTCGATCACTTTCGCTACCCCGCCTGAAAATTGACCCTCGACTTGACGCGCCATCTTAGGTCCGCTACAATGTCGCTGAACGAATCTTATGCCCCTTCGGCCACCAAGGCTGAGGCCGAGACCGAAATCAGAGCCCAGTCATCAGAAGACGCTCTCAGCGAGCAGGTAGCAATTCTCGGAAAGAAGAGTCCTGGTGTTGCCCGCATTGAAGCAATCAATGCCCACCTCACTTCCTTTGATCGCTGGTTTCTCGGAATTGGTGTGTTTTTGATCGCATATGCCTATGGTCTCGATGGAACCGTCAGATACACTTATCAGGTGATTAATCCGAGTCTTAATTACGATAAGTTATAAGACTAACTCGGGCAGAGTACTGCTCTTTCTTCTATCGGTGAGCACTCGTTGCTTTCGACCGTCAACATTGTCCGCACCGTTATTGCCGCTGCCGCTCAGCCTACAGCAGCAAAGATTGCCGACGTCTTTGGCCGTGTAGAGCTTGTCTACCTCTCCATCTTCTTCTATCTTCTCGGCACGGTGATTGAGGCCGCTGCCCACAACGTCAGTGCTTTCGCAGCTGGAGCCATCTTCTACCAGATTGGTTACACTATCGTTACACTTCTGGTCGAAATCATCGTCGGAGACATTTCTTCATTGAAGGGAAGATTGGCTTGGAGTTACATTCCGGCTTTGCCCTTCCTGATTAACACTTGGGTCTCGGGAGACGTCGCATCTGCTGTATTGAAGACCACCACCTGGCGCTGGGGAATTGGCATGTGGGCCATTATTTACCCCGTCTGCGCCATGCCCCTCATTGTCGCTCTGTTCATTGCATCCAGTCGCGCGAAGAATGCTGGCGCCCTGGCCAACTACCAGTCTGCTTTCCAGCGTAACGGTATGGGTAACACTCTTGTTGCTCTGTTCTGGCAACTAGATGTGCCTGGCATCATCCTGATGATTGCTATGTTTGCCCTCATCCTTGTACCCTTCACCATTGCTGGAGGACTCGCCGAGACATGGGGCACAGCTCACGTCATTGCTCCTCTGGTCATTGGTATCTGCCTCATTCCCGTCTTCGTCCTCTATGAACGTCGCGCTCCCCACCCTCTGGTACCGTTCCATCTCCTGAAGGACCGCAGTGTCTGGGCTGCTCTTGGTGTTGCTTGTCTGCTCAACAGCATCTGGTACATGCAAGGAGGCTACCTTTACACTGTCGTTGTCGTTGCTTTCGATCAGAGCGTCAAGTCTGCTACCCGCATCACTTCGCTCTACAGCTTCGTTTCGGTTCTGACGGGTGTCTCGCTTGGTCTTCTTGTCCGATTCGTGAAGCAGATCAGACACTTGAAGCCTTTCATTGTATTCGGCACTCTGATGTTCATGGTTGCATTCGGTATCTTGCTCCGTTTCAGAGGTGGACTCACCCAAAGCTCCTACGCTGGAATCATCGCAGGAGAGGTCATTCTGGGTTTCGCTGGTGGTCTCTTCCCCTACCCGGTTCAGACCCTTATCCAAGCAGCAACTCAGCACGAGCATCTTGCCTTGGTCACCGGTCTGTACCTCGCACTCTACAACATTGGATCCGCCATTGGCTCAACCATATCCGGTGCCTTGTGGACCCAGATTCTTCCTGGAGAGCTTGAGCGCAACCTGGCTGCAGTTACCAACAATGCTACTGTTGCTGTCTATGCTTACAGCAACCCTCTTTTCTTCATTCTCGACTACCCTGTTGGCACCNNCCCCGAGCGCGATGCCGTCATTGTCTCATACAGACACATCCAACGTCTGCTCTGCATCACTGGTATCTGCCTTTGCATTCCATTGATCGCTTTCTCGCTATGCTTGCGCAACCCTCGCCTTGGCAAGGAACAATCTCTGCCCGATGCCGAAAAGAGCGTGTCCGAGACCTCCAGCGAGGCTGACGTTGAACAAACCCCAAGGCCGGGCGGCTTCCTCCGCAAGCTGTTCTAGACAGATTGTCAGAAGAGGATTGATCACATCTAGATCACTGGATTTCCTACACAAAGAACGATAAAAGTTGCATGTTTTTAGATTATAGCTCGTAATGTCTCTCATATCGTTGATACCAATATCTTCTTCCATACCAATATTTCCCTATCCGTTCCTTCCATTCGGATTGCCTATTAGAAGCTTTCCACTAAGATTGGGTTCAAGGTGTATCTGTCCTAGCCGCCTTTTGTTTTGTACATCTCTTCTGCTTCTTTACTCGCATCGGTCTCCTCGGGTGCCAACTTCTTCTACTACACCTTGGTGGCACTAATTAGACTGCGAAAAAGAAAAAACCAATCGTGCCAAAAGCTTTTCTTTCTCGTGTTGTCATCTTGTGGAGCGGATCACACCTCCATATTGTAGAACACCAACCTTCCTCAATGCTGCGTAACAATGATCCGAATCCTCTTCGCAGCCATCTTCCAAAGACAATTATCGGAGATATCGGCAAAGATCCTCGCAGCATCCAAAGGTCGATAAGCCAGATCGTCAGGCAGATGACGCAACGAATTCTCCTTTCTCGTGACATTGTGAGTATGGAACTGATTCTCCGGAGTTTTGGAGACACCGTATCTGACGAAGCCGGCAAAAGAGTTGTCTGCAGCGACTTCCTTGTCTTTGACTTCGTNACTTGTATTGTTGTTTGATGTGGTAGAACTTTTGGGACCAGGTGTATTCGCCGTTATGGCTAGGTGGGCGAAGTGTTCGTTTTTTCTGATCGGCGTGATAGTGGTGGGATTGCTGGAGTTGTCCTCGTTGCAAGAGTCTTTGCTGGGTAGATGGGGCGGCGAGGCATCCTTGAAAACATCATCTTCGTCAAGCTCTTTGATGTCGACTGCTTCGAGTTCCTCGGTCTCTTCCTTGAGTCTTTGAAAAGACTTTAGTCTTTTCTCCTCGGGTGTCTTGTCAAATTCGTCGAGATAGCGCCATGGTTCTTGTAGGGTTTCTTCCAGCTTTTGACTCATCTCTGCAGCACTTCCAGGATCGACCATTTGGACAGCTTCGATCATCTCTTCCTCTCGAAGAAGATGGACAATGTAGTTATCCAAAGTGATTTCGTTGGGAGGGACGGACTCATGAGTTCGATATTTCTTACGCATTATGAGTAAAACCAAGCGTTCTCGTAGATACGGAATACTGAATGGCGACGAAAATCGGTTATTATGTGTGCTTGAGATCAAAGTTGAGACATGTCTGTAGCGGTGTGGAGGGATGTTTCTGCGCATAGTCAAGAGTGTTTCTAGTTATTAGAGAAAAACTGTCTCATATTTATTGACTCTCTTCATTGTCCCTATTGTCTCGGGCGAGTCGCGAAGTTCAACAATGCAGATTCATATATTGTTGTTGTATCCAATTGTCATGTGGCTCACCCGAATGGAGCGTGGGTCTATTGCCTAGGGATGCCAATTGCCTCCAAGATTCCGTCGAGTTGTAGTTCGTCGTTTCGTAAAGCATTCCATTCATCTTCGAGCTTGACCATCAAAGTGCCGGCTAACAATGTACCGTTCAAGGCGACACTTCCGACTTCAACACCTTGGTCGTTCTTGATCGGGGCGCCTTCGTTCCTGCGTGGGACTATAGCCATTGCCGAAGTCGTCATGGCGAGGTTGTAGCTGATGGGCGATGATCCTCCCTCGGAAGGGTGAAGTTCGAGCCCAGAGTCCTGGTTGGACGAGATGTAGGATCTGACTGCGGCGGCAGCAGCTTCGTATAATTTGTTGTAGGACGAGTAGAGTGTCTCCTGACTAGGCTCCTGCGGAAGCTGGAGAGCGTAGTGAGTGAAGGGTAGATCAGGATTGGCCCTTAGTTCTACAAGAAGGCATGTGAGCACTCATCCGTCCTGGCCATTCGTAGATCAGAGCATACCTTGTGCTTCCTTGGCAGGAGCTTCTAGCATTCGTCCGATCAGAGGATCCCAGCTCGAGCTGTCTTGTTGATCTCGCTTCATCTCATCAACGCTCAGAAACTGCAGGTGTCGATGTGCCTGGCTAGCCCCACTGTGCTCGCCAGAGTTGAAGAAGGCGAACAACTTTCCGTTTTGCTTGTTCTCCTCCCAAGCTCTCAGGCAAGCGTGTGTGGCAGCTAGATCATCCTGCTCAAGCATGTGTGTTTGTTGCTTATTAAGCTTTGTCGCAATGATGAAGTGCTGAGGGATGACGGGATACTTGTTCAACACGAGCAAATGACTGGCATTGGCAGTGGGAATGGGCGCAATTAGCAGGTCCTCAGAAGGGTTGTCGAAAGGATCTGGCTTTGGGCCTTTGGCTTTGACTTTGTCATTGTTGTTGGTGGGCTTTTNTGCTAATGCTGGACAGTAGCGGAGTTGAANACTGGCGTATCGATCAGAAAATACATACTCCTGACGACTCTAGTGCTCAATTGCACTTCGGTACTTTTGCAAGAGCGATTGATAACTTACAGGTGCACCGGCTCCGGTTCGTAAGATGGAGAGCTCAGTGGACGAAAAGATCAAAGCCTGACTGGCTCTCGCGGTAGCAAATTTGGCCTTCACCAAACATGGCAATGCTTCCTCCAGGCCTAACTGCATATTGGGTGAACCAATTTGTGATGCCGAGTAGTCGATCTGGCAGGAAAGACCGAGGGACGTAGTTGTCGCGTGATTGCGATGTCATTGCTGTCCGACGCGAGAGTCTCGGTCCGAGATGGCAGAATGCGAACCGTTCGAGGACAACAGCAGGAGAACCAACTCCATCACAACAATCATCAGACATCAGTAAGAGCATTCAAAAGAACGTGCTTTCATCCAGGCTGTGAGCCGCTATCTGCTTTACGAGACAAAGGTAACGAGCTTATGGCCAGGGAGCCAGCCGACGTCAAAGCAAATTCCTCTGGCCCGTAAGAAGAAAAAAACACTACTTTACTCACAACATGACAAGGAGAAAGAAAGGCCACACAGCCGAAGTACCAACAAAGGAAAGCATTATGATCTTGACCACTCTTCAAGTCGTCCATGACGATGACCTAGAAGGACATCTCACGAATCTGCTCCCACTTCTTGGCACAGGTTGCACCAGCGAACGGATACGAGGCACCGTGTGCGAACATCCACTCGGCGACCTTCTTCCAAGGCAACTTGCTGGAATTGCTTCTCTGGCGAACGTTGGTCCTGCGAGACGTCGAGCCCTGTGACGCTTCGGAGAAGTGCTCGACTGCGTCGATAAGGAGCGTGATCTATCATTGTTGTGTCAGGCAAGAAATAACGAGGCTGAAGATGAGGACNNTTACGTCTGAGCGGTTCCACTGCGGCTTTCTGACACGCATCTCTTTAGGCTTGGATAGGATGCGGATGCGACCGCGCAGAGTAGACTCGGCTTCAGTGAAGCCACCACGACGTTTGATTTCCTTGTAGGACAGGCCACGTCGACGGGCTTCCTGAAGATACTCGTCCCTGGTGTTGCGAGCATATTCCGGAATGTATCTGACTGCTTGCTCGGCCGGCTCGGATGGTAGTTCGAGTTCGTTAGTACTGGAAAGAGGACCAAGTTCCAGAGGGTCTTCGGTCATAGCTTGTGTGGAAAAGAGCACGGGACTTGGGTCCGCGAAAGCGAACCTGTCCAATGTGGTGTTGAAGAGGTGTCCGGGAACGACCAGTCCGTCCGCTCCGTAGCCTACAAAGCCAGCCGGCATGTTCTGCTCAAGCGATGGAGCAGTGTTTGGCTGGAGGTGTGACAAAGTCATGGGGATCACCCNCTGGAATGACGAAGGAGCGAACAATCCATCAGATTGAGACTGAATAGGTATGGTTGGGATACGGCCAGTGACATCGAAGAGTGGCTGAGCCGAAGCGTACTGAGAGCATGACCACATACCGGAGTTGTACTGAGGCAATGTGTCACAGAAGGCTGCAGGCTGTTCAGGCCAGGAAGAATCGACTTTGAGGCAGTTGTCACCGAAGGACGACAGTGACGACAGGTCAGACAAAGGTGAGTACGCGGGCATTGCATTGTCACCTAAAGTTAGGTCCTTTGCGTCCCGGTGTGGAGAGGGTGGTGTGAAGGAGCCCCCACTGGTGAAGCACGAATCAGTAGGGCTGTCCGAAGATTCGCTGCCGGTGAGCTCAGGACACTCCATGTCGAAGAAGTACTCCTTTGCATCTTGATCAAAGAGGGTTGACATGTTGTTGGAGAGTGCAACGGCTTGTTGATAGTTGTAGTAGTTGGCGATTGGGTACTGCGACCTGGTCAGCGATGCTCACACAATTCTGCATTGACTGTCAAGACCCACGTTTGCGTGTGGATATACTGCAAAATCAGGCTGCGGTACCTGACGAGATGATGCGCGGTAGATGGGCAGAGATCGTTGAAAGAACTCTGCGTGGTTTGTCAGCGATCAAGAGCTCTTGGGCGCAGACGAAAGACGAGACTGACCTCCAAAGTAATACTTATTCACGTCCTGCTCACCACCATCTCTCACCGCTATCATGTTCATTGAAGCGGTATGTTGATATGCGTTGTAGCAAAGTCTTTCTTTCCCAGATGGTGTCGTAGCCACAGATGTCGTCGCGGATTCGTGCAGATACTTGCAGCCCTGCAGAGAGACAGCGAATTATATCAGGCTGACGGGGCGAGCACTCGGCGATGAATGTTCCGGAGGCTCGAAGATATCGTGAAAGCAGATGACGAAGAGATTAGAGCGAATGTATCATGAACACAAGATGCTGAGAAGCGAAGGTACAATTCGAGCTCTGCATCGTTAGCAAAGAAGAAATGGGGTTTGTTGAAGATATACCCACTCGAAGAATCTAGACAGAAGCAAAACGCTTCAATAGATTATTACTATTACTGAACGGAAAGCAGTGTTGAATGGTAGAATCAATGGAGGAGCAGAGGTGCTGTCCAGATGGTGGGAAGATCGCTGGCTAAATGTATGAGTATGTAAGACTTGGCCAACCAGACGGCCACCCAGCTATTAACGAGCATTGGTATCAAGATTCTGCCCTGATGACTACGGCCCGTCATTTCTGCAAGAGATCCTNNCCATGTCGTTTGAGTGTATGGAGGATATTAGCGACGGGAAGCTCCCGAACATAACCTGCTTCCCGTCACCCTTGAAGAGACGATCAGGCGAATGAGGTTGGCAATACCCTCTGGTCCTTCCAGAACCAGTTGCACTGCTGTCTGAGTCAAAGACGTCCCAGATGAGATGGTGACAGTCGTAAAACATACTCAGTCACACTCGACTTGAATAGAGCTGTTCCACTGTCTGATCTCAATATCCAGATCTCACCCATGGCAGGTGTCTAGACTCACGCTGCAGGTTCATGAAGACGTTCTCCACTTGAAGATCGGGATTTGCGTTGCAGCGACGTTTGATGGCTGTCATNNTGCGGATAACCGGGCACTCAAACATGTCAACTGCGGTACACTGCCGTAGTTCGACCTTCATGTCAAGCAGGTACCGTCCAATCACGCCATGGCAGAGCAAGCACGCAGCCGACAGTTAACTATCCCTCACAAGACCCACAGTCTTCACAAAATGTGACGTACAATAGTACTCAAGCCGTCGACCAAGCACTAAAGTCAGTACCATGGCTTGCAAGAAGACAGACAGAGCTCAGGGAGCCGTACTACTTACCTGTCAAAAACTTCAAGGTGGCTCTGCATCATGAACATACTGTCAGAAGCCTGTACTTGCCGTGCAAGACTGATGGAAGAGTTCATACATTAAGAAATCTGAAGTGTGCGGCTCAGGTGCACAGTGGTCTGTTGATTTCTGTAGCCGTCCGTTACACAGCAGCATGGCCACTGCCGCTGCAAGCCCTCCGACAAGCGGCGGGCACTTGCATGAGAGTGTGGTTTGCAGACTTCTTCATCTCTTGGGTGCACACACAAGAAACGATCCCCTGCATCTCATGAGTTTGATGGAGAATTAATCTCCATTTTCGGGTAGATTTTCCGACGCTGTAGATTGGAGGCCGTTCCAAAAGTTTGCACAAATCCTTGTGAATTACCGAACTTTGGAATGTGGTGTCGCATTCCATTTTGAGAGAGCCTTGCTTCCAGGACGGACTATATCTTCTGGACAGGGATGATATGGAGAACAGTCAAATGAAAGAAGGATCACGGCGCGCTGTCCACTGTGCGAAGCATTCAGCTCCATGGAAATTCTGCTCTCGTGAAAATGCAGGAACAACCCTCCTGGTTGGGCAATTCGGCGACAGCTGCTGCGCTATTTGGGCATGGACGTCTCAAGCTCTTGCTCATAGCGCTTGCCACGATGTTTCTTGGTTATCTCGTGACTTCCACATTCAATCCTGCGGACCAATACGATATTACAGATTACCGAGGCGACTACAGCATCTCAGGCGATATCTTGAACGGGCCAGATATATACCCAGGAGCGACTCGCCCGCCAGATGGTCCTCCTAAAGGCGACAATTCTGGACAGCGTATCAAAGCTTACCATGGCGAAAATGGAGTCGTTAATGAGCCTGATCGAAGGCCATCAATCAAAGGCGCACTGAAAGATCTACACCATGCGGTCTCGAGTAAGGTCTCATACTGGAAGACATGGGGCTCAGAACTGGAACTTGACGTCGAGCTAGAAGCAAATGTGACTGCTGCACATACTGCGACCGCGGCCCAAACAGCGAGACCAACTTCGTCGCCACTTAAATCCGAGGAAGTCTCCGAGCCAGAATCAGAGCTATGGGGCCATAAGACCCGAGTGGGGAAATGTACCATTGTGTTTGGGGGATCGACCATATACGAGCGGACCGTCAAAACACATGCGCTCCACGACCGAATCCATGGCTATCCTCTCTACGTGCTTCGACAGTCTATCATGGACGACGTGTGGTCAAAGCCCGCATACATACTCTCCCTTCTGCTGCGGGAGTTGGCCAAACCTGCAGAAGAACGACTCGAATGGCTTCTCTGGGTTGACGCAGATACCATCATGTTGAATCCGTATGTGCCCTTGGAAATCTTCTTACCACCATCGCCTCAATTCGACGACGTTCATCTTTTGGTGACCAATGACTGGAATGGTCTAAATAATGGGGTGTTTCCAGTGCGAGTCAATCAATGGGCCGTCGAGCTTTTTTCGGCCATCATCTCTTCTAGATACTACAAACCAGACCAAGACCTGACATTCCGAGATCAAAGTGCTATGGATACACTCTTGAAAGATAAAAAGTTTGCTGCACACACAGTCGAAGCTCCTCAAAGATGGTTCAATGCCTACCAGGGCGAGCATAACGAGACTTTGGCTCCTTACCAAGTCCGACGAGGAGATTTTCTGGTCCACTTTGCTGGTGTCATTAATCGAGATGAGAGGATTCTGTTCTGGCTTGAGCGTGCTGAGCAGCATTTGCCGGACTGGGAGATGGAGGTTCAGCACACATCTTACCCCGCAGAAGTCAAAGATTTCTGGAACCAGAAGGCCGGTGAACGAGCAGCGAAACAGGCAGAACTAGCCGAGGTGAGAAGAAAGGCAAATGAGTTGCTCACGCAAACGGAGTCGAGACTGTCAGAGTATCAAGAGCGCCTTGTGCAAAGCGACGCGACCTTTATCCGGGATCGGATGACTGAGCTCAGGAAGGTGCTTGAACGAGGGGATGCCGTAGAATTGACTTCTGTGGAGTCCGTGTTAGGGGTGCTGGAACAGGTCAGTATGGAATAGCTTATATCTGATCATCATGCTAACATGCTGCTGTTTAGNAGCCTCAAACCTCTCAAAGACGTCATGGAGACTGCCAATAAGCTTCTCATGAAGGAGGCACACGATGCCATCTTCGCTGCGGAAAAGGACGTGGACGGACACGACGCCGCCTCGACACCAGAAGTTTCAGCTGTTGAAGAGAAGGCTACAAACTTGAAGAGCTTGATTGTGCAGCCAAACTGGAAGAAGGAAGATCTGAACGCCATGATCGAAGCAGTCAAGCAGGCTAGGACAATCTTGCAGCAGAAGCTGCAGGAACAAGAAGCCCAGCACGAAAAGACAAAGGCACTCAAGGACAAGGCCGAGGAAGAGCGTAAGAAGCAGGAAGAGCAAAAGGCAAAATTCGGAGACACATAGCTGTTGAGCCCATGCTCATCGTTTTCTTCTGGCAAGAAATGTATGCAAGCTTCCGTCGTATCAAGGCAGACATCAGATAAAGACGTTCCTCGACACGGCCGAGGGATCCTCGGTCCTCGAGATTCAGAAGGGGTGCGCATTCGTGGTATGCGCGACCAACATGGACAAGGTAGGACAATGCATGGTGTGCTGTGGATCCGCGTCATCACCGAGTGGAGACATAAGGCCAGGGATGCACATCATGCGATCGTCGGAATAGATACCAATTGAAATTGATCGTCTTGCTCATTCCTCATCAGCAAGTGGATCGGTTCTCCTATCTGCAAGATACAGTCTGCAGATGGCGTTGATCTTGGAGGCAGGGTCCTTGTGAAGGGGAGCTATTTGGCCGGCGCGGAGGTTCCGAAAAGGAAAAAGAGAGGAGAGCAACTCCTCCTGCTCGTTCACGTCGGCGATTCAAGGCAGGCGGGGCAGCTCAGATGGCAACGGTTTTTTCGGGCCGTCGCGCGAGCTGGGCTACAAAGGAAGTCGGCAGGTGCAATTGATGGCACGCTCCCAATAAGAAAGATCAACACGTAAGACTGCAAGCGCACGATAACCAAATCGCAGATCTGAAGCACCTCGCACAGCTTTAAAGGTGTGGTGGAGCAAAGTTTGGGAGAAGAGGGTTACGCAGAGGGTGGTCGACCTCGGAGAAAGCGAGGGTGATGACCAGGGCGAAGTCCGGAGGCGGCGTCATGAATTTCAGTCTTTTTGTCACAACAGACGGTACTGCCAGAACTATACCATCGTTCCTGTCGCGAACTGAGACACTCCAGACACCTAAGCTGAAGCTGAATTACAGCTGAAAAGACAGGGAGGGGGAAAGCTGGCATCGCTTACATTAATACGACTGTTCAGCAGTCAGCTGGGGTCTGGGCGGGTGCTGTCTAGGCTTTCGAGCTGACCCTCTCAGCTTTTAGGTCGGGTCTGGCGAAGTCCGGGCAGCGCGATGCAGCCATGTGCTTCCCGTGCCGCCTCATCTTTGCATCCATCGCTTCCCCATTGCCGGCCGATGCTTTGCGCTGATCATTTGCAAAGAGTTGACACCAGCGCACCAAGCAACTAGTGTGCCATGGGTGTTGGAAGATCCAGCCAGCATGCTTCCGATTGCTCGCCCTCTTCCCCTGGCACGACTCGAGCTATAACCCTACACGACTCCCGGGCTCCACTGGAAGCCGTTTGACGACCCCAAGATCTCTCCTCGCAAGTACATCAGGTACATCTTGTCCTCTTGCGTTTTTGGCTTCCAACTGTACATATGATCGACATGCATCGTCATGGTTTGCCATCCTCTGTCACTATGGACATCAGAGATACTCAAAAGGTCCTCTTGCCTGGTCCACCATCTCCAGGCTCACGAAACCCGAATGTGCCCAACTTCTCGAGGATTCTAACAATACGCGCTCAAGGCTCAAATTCACCGGTCAAGAAGCAAAAGAAGCCCGCACCAGCAGTCATGAGAAACCCATCCAAGTTGTCAGGCGTGAAGAGATGGGATGCTCGATCTCACAAGTCTGCTGATTGGGACGGCCTTCGTCGTGTAAGTCTCTTGTCGCGTAATGTGGATGAATTTGTACTGACGCATTGGGCANNGGATCAAGAACTTTGGCAACAGGATGGTGACTGCCTTGTGCATCTCTATGGTCAAGGGAAATCAAGGAGGGGTGCCTCTATCAGAACATCCTATGCTCTAGTAGAGGCGACGGCAGGGGAATCCTTCATCAACACATATATGGCTCTGGATTCGATCTCGAGTGGTGAAAGTCTTGATGGCACAACACCAAGCACATCATCAACACACACTCAGTACGAACTGTACATCCCCACACCCGAAGACGCCATGCGGGAAGAGGCCTACCGCTGGCATATCACGACTCGTAATTTCTTTGCCTACATCACAAAGAAGCCACTGGTTGGATCCAAATTAGGGAGAACCTTCGTTGATTTGATGGAACGCATTCAGCTGTTCTGTCCAGACAAGACTAGCAACAACCAGGATTTCTTGTCATATGCTCATCAACAAGGCTATTCGAAATTTGTCAACCGACCGGACTATGCATTGGCTTTCCTCAATTTTGCCGAGGAGTTCAGATTGAGAGATCTTTGGATTGATGCCTTTGCTCATTGTGTTGGCATGAATGATCAACTGGACTTGAGCCCGGAGTTTAGTGATGTGAGCAAAGTAACGAAAGCTTTGATCACAAGATCGTACCTGGAAATGGACTTGCATTTGGGCCGAGTAAGCAAAGCTCTGCGAAATTTCTTGGAAGACGAGCTTGCTCCTACACACTTGGGACTACCGACGCCTGCCCGAAACCACTTAGATCGTTTCCGCTCGTTCTTGCACTCTTACTATGTCAACAAATTCGGATACTGGCCACCGGAAACTGGTCACGTAATGGATAAAGGCCTTCTACGAAGCATGCACCAAGAATTCCAGATGCTCTACAGCTATCTGGTAGACGGCGAATCTTCACCAAGCAGACTGCTTACTGGAGGCATCTGTGTGGTACAGAATGTCAATGCATTCAACTTTCGCCATAAATATGAGCCATTGCCGCATCCCTGCCCTCTTCTACCCGACTACCACAGCCTCGAATACAGAACGTCGTCACAGAAGGGTCTTCGATCACTCAGGTTGACTTCAAAACCCAGCAAGACGGATCAAACCGTCACGGCACGCGCTGCACTATCCACGGCCACAAACAAAATCCCATCTAGCTCAGCACTCGTTCGAAATTACGTATACTTCGAAGGTGAGCTGACCTTCAGGCCAGAGGAAAAGCTTTCGATCGGAGATGCGCGAAAGGTCAGATGGATTGCCATCTACACCATCTTACAAATGCTCACCAATGCGATACGTGCCCCCAAAGAAGTGGTAGAAGCAGATGCCGTGCCTTATCACCTCTGCTTGTTGACTACAGGCATGCCGCCATGGACAGAGGACACGAAGGCTACTGTCCAAGTCTCGCAGGCGAGACCGATCAAGACTGATGGAGCGGGTGCTGAAGAGTCTGCATTCACAATCCACCCTGATTGTAAGGACAACGACTATTTTTCTCACAAATCGTCGCCAAAGCGCTGTGATTCGCATTCTTCTCTCCGGCCTCCGCCGCTACGTATTAACACAACAGGCGCTATGAACCGAAATAGTTCGATCAAAAGTCTACACAGAAGTTTGACGTCCAACTTCTCCTTCCCATCACGACGCACCTCTGTCAGATCTCCGGCCACGTCGAACAACACTTCAAACAATTCCGCTGAGCAGACCGCTTCTTCTGTCTCTGCCGAGTCACCTGCAAGCAAGCGCTTCTCCGGTTACTCGTTCGCGATAAGCGAAGAAGAGTCTCTGGATTACCTCAACCCTCAGCAGCCCGAGTCCACATTGACAGTCCCATTCCACCATCTGCCTGAAGCTCGCACACCAACCCTCGACGCATTCATGTTAGACACTCTTGCGTCACCAGAAGGGCCTTCTACACCCTCAAGCTTCACATCTTCCACCATGTCGCCAACTTCAAGCAACATGTGGGACAGCAGTCCCCACAGCGCGAGTAGCGACGATATGGACGCATCAAGCTGGTACGACCGCCGCAACAGTGCAGGACTCTACAATATGGACCACGAGAGCGTCTGCAGCGACACCAACCGCAAGTCCAGCGGTTCTAGCTGTAGCTGCTCTGGCGCTAGTAGTCCTGCACCCAATCTTTCGACCTTGACTGCGTCTTCTGCAGCAGCCGCAACCGCAAAGTTGCTCAATTCTCATTCTGGCCTGGGTTTGCAATACCAGAACCAGCAGCAGACTGCTCAGATGCCTGCTTGGTGGGGCGCGGCAAGACAACAAGGTCAACCTTTCGGAGTGTCTGTTCCTGAGGAGGTGCCCGAGCACGGCGTCATGGCATTCAGAACATACAGTCACGAGTTCGTAGTCGAGAGAGGAGTGGAGAGCACAGTCGACATTTTCGACGCCATGCGCATGTTGAACTGATCATTTGTTACAAGTCTCTTTTGTATTTGCATATTCATTCAGGGCTAGAGGTCTTGGAAAAGACAGGCAAGGCTATTAACGAATTCAAACGATAGGATACCGCAGCAAATCATGATACCATTTGTTTTCTCTCTACTCGCAATTCTTACACACTCAATTTCCAACTTCATGTGTCTCTTTGCCTCTTCTTTCCTCTCCAATCGCGATGCATGCACTTCTTCCAAATCTCCATGCCAAAAAACCAAATGTCAGTGGCTTGATGTCGATCAAAAAGAGACGATCAGGGTGGCCGTGCGTCATGGCGATCGACAGCGGCGTTATACACCATGCAGATCCCCAAAGATCTTCGGAGCATTTTCCTGGATGATCAGCATGGAGAAGATCTTGCTTGATACGGAGACTGCACTGTACTGTATAGGCAAAGGCATTTGACGTTGTGGACCCTGGAGGTGTTGGCTTTTTTTGCTACGTATGACAGCTGTGGCTATTACCTTTTGTTTGTCGCGGCGAGTCAGTATGTTTTGCTAGAAAGAGAAGATGTGTGACCGTGTGGTAGCCTTGTAGATCCTTTCTAGCATACCCTTCTTTGGTTCATGCCGCTTTGATGATGATGATGTGCAGAGGATGAGTTTGATGTTTGAACCAAGACGATCAAGAGATTGAGTGGAATTGCCCCCACTGACCATGCACACAGCAAGTTGGATGATGAGTAAAGAGTTGAGTCAGTTTGTATTATTCATCCTTTCCGCATACCACTACTCTACAAAGCGACAGTTGCAAGGGGCTGGTCAAAACTGCCTCGCAAATGCGGTCTCTCAATTTTCCCATAGTCCTTCCATCCTCTCCAAACATAGCAACCGAATCTCATCTCTCGTGAAGAAAAAGAAGAGTGAATTTCCCCAAACGCCTTGTTCCGAGCCGTAGCTTAAAGAACCCCTCTCTCAAAGAAATGTAGAAAAGAACACCGTGGAACGCCGCCTCTGATAACGGAGGAGTCAAGGAAAACACACAAAAGCATGACTGCTATTACCACTTGCGCCTCCTCTGGGCCCTGCGCTTCGCATTCGCCTTGTCCTTTTTCTCCCTGTCTGCTCTTTGTTCTTCAGTCATCTGTACTTCTGCCGGAGCATTCTCCTCCTCGTTTGATGTGGTGCTGTGTTCCTCAGCGCGCTTGATTCGTGCCGAGCTCCTGGTTCGGCTCTTGGTGTTATCGTCTGCCTCGACGGAAGCGGCAGATTTGTCGCAAAGTACAGCCACTTCTTCCTCGTCGAGGTCGGTGAGCTCTTCTGACATGGCGTCGCGGCCTGACCAGCGTTCTTCGTGCACCGTTGTGCCATCGATGTCGAAAAGTTCTAGATACCATGGTATTCCGCCGTGGGCCCATGGGTCGTTCGCAACGATAGGAGGTGGTGCAAGTTCTTGGTTGCCATGCTCAATGGTTGCATCGACGTTGTTGTTAGCAACACTTGATGTAGAGTTTGGCGGAGACAAAGGCTGCATCGGCTTGAATATGGCTCCCTTTGCAGGCAAGACTCCTGCGTTGACTGGACCATGAGCGGTGCCGTTGACTTCCACATCTGGTTCGCCTTCAGCATCTTCGTCGTCATCATCCAGCATGTGAACATCCTCATCGGCACGATTGTTAGTGTGACTAGGAGATGCGCCTGCAACCACAGAAACACTCGTGTCCGGTGAGATGTTGTCACCAATCTCTGTAGTTGGCAGTGCACCATTGGTCTGGACCGAGTCCTCGAGAAGTGCGTCAAATTCAGCCCATCTCGGGTTCTCCTCCACCGGTATACACTTCAATTCTGCTTCTCGCGTCGATGCTTTCTCGAGAAATTCTCTGACAGGCTTGATTATCCGTTTGCGGATCTTCTTAAGCTCCTTTTGTTCCGGTGTCAAAGCCCTGTGCTCTGGAGTGTCAACGGGCTCGTCAAGTTGATGCTGCGTGTCGATCACGTCCTGAACTTCGATTACGTTATTCCCAGGACTCGTATTGTCACTGGACAACACTGTCAAGATGTCTTCGGAGAATTCGGCAACTGATATGTATTGTCGTTCAGAGAGTTTTCGCTCGAGCTCTTCAAACCCATCTTTGAAGAAGCCGCTCTTCTCGTCAAGNNTCTGCATAAGGTCAGTTTCTGCTCCTTTCGACGAACAAGAGATGCTTCAGACTTACTTTTGTGCTCGTTGCAGAATTGGTCGAAGCAGAGGAATGATAGGGAAGTAAACGTTGTCAATAAGGCTCTTGAGGACTTCAGTAGTATCGGCAAGGCTCAATTCTTCGCGTTGACGAACGTCGGTAATGAGTGTTTCCAGTCTGTTCACATCCTCACTGAGGATGTCACCGAACTCGATTCGTCTGAGCAAGCGTGGTCTGCCAGCAGCACCCATGCCCGAGAAGTTGCGACGAGTGATTTCCATTGGGGAGAAAGATTCCAGTGACAGTTGGAGACGTTTCAGCAGAGCAGCACCCTTGCGAGCTTCCCTCTTCAGTGTCCAGTACTTGCAAGCTTCGGTAACAAACTCTTTGCGTTTCCTGAGCGAGAATCGTCCGAGGGAGTTGTCCACCGTATTGAAGACAACAGCAGGTACGACAGGCGCGCCCGATGGCAAACGCCAACCAGCTTTCTGGGGCTGGGCTTTCTTACGCTTGTTTGCAGCAACAACGATGGTATCGTCGGCGTGGCCCAATTCGTCTACATTGTCGGCAGTCGAATCTGGCTGGATCGCAGGAGTCGCGGCAACAGCAGTACTGGAGCTGTCTGCCCATTTTCTGTTCTTCATTGTATGTCTGTAGTAGCGCTTGGCTTCTGCGACAGCAGTGTCAACGTCGTGTTCATTGCGCCAATCTTGAGGAACATGTTTGTCGCAGAAAGCCTTGAGTACGGAAGCGTCGATGCCTCCTGAATGGGTAGACTTCATTCTGAGGAATAGTTTGGCCCTTCTCGCACATGTGACATGGAATGCCGAATAGCAGGCCTTGTTGCCACATTGGATACAAGCACCCATGTTCTGTTGGCAGAGATAACATTTGAGCCTCCAGCGACTTTGAGGTACCTTTTCGACGTCTGTGATGGGCTCCATGAAGGTCATGTTGGCAATAGTGATTTCAGGGATCCAAAGAGCACAAAGCAGATGAGACCAGCGCAGCGTACTCGTTTGCTTAAAGGCGCCGTCTACATTGGGACAGAAGACACAAGTGGGAGTGCCACGACCGATTTCCTTGCATTTGCGACAGAACCACTGGCCTTCAGGGATGAAGGGTACTCCATAGCACTCTTGATGAACGGCCAAGTCGCAGCCGTCGCAGAAGATGATAGCATTGGCATTTTCACAGTCACCGTCGTCGCATACAGCACACTTAGTGTCGGGTTCATCAGCTGGTCCGCTGGGCTCTCCGTTGACTGCTGCGGCCGAACTCGAGCGCGGTCTTGTGATTTGGGCATGTCTTGGATTCGGCTTAGGGATCTTTTTCTCGAGAGCGTAGTATTCGCGCTCGATTTGAGTCATGGTAATCTCGAACAGAGCGGGCTTGATGGGCTCGGCCTGATCCTCCTTGCGACGAGCATTGTGCATTTCCAACCATCGCTCGTCCTGTTCGTCCATGTCATACTCGACGTTGAAGACGACAGGCGGACGAGGTTCCTCGGTCTTGTCAGACTTGACGACAAGGCCAGTGATGCTATCGTCGTCGTAGGGGCCTTCGACATGACGGATCAGGATGTGTTTGGGTATATCAAAGCGATCCCCCTCTTGGTAGCCAACATGAGCCATGGACTTGTCGACGTAGTTTCTTTGGTTTGAGCCTTGCTGCTCGTACTGGGCGAACGTGTCGACATTGCGATATGCTGGCTTGGGCAGATTGAGGCGTTCTTTGGGGTTGTGTGTAGGCAGGGGCAAGATACGAGGTGCGGGAGGAGAGCCAAGGCCAGACAGCATGCTCTCAGGTCGTTTCGGTGGTCGGCCAGGCTTGCGCTTGATAGGGGTCTCCATGGGCACGAATGACGCTATCGGAGGAGGCACCTCGTTCTCTATCAGGAGTGTGTCGACATTGCGCCCGTCAACGTGATCGGCCGAGAACAGAGTGAGACCCTGCTCGATATCGAGATTCGGATGGAACTCTTCCCAGCTTCTTTCTTCTCGGGGCTTGTATCCATCACTGGCTTGACTTGCGGCGGCTGCAGCGGCGGCGCTGCTGTAACGAGGTCGGGGGTGGCAATTGGTCGGCGATCGCGGTTTCGATCTCGGTCTCTGCGCGGACGCGTGGAAGGGGGCGGACGGCGGGTATTTCTTGGGCTCGATATGTCCTCATCGTCATCATTCCCGGTCATGTCGGATCGGTGTCGGCGCACAGAAGTAGGAGGGCCGGTTGTTTCGTTGCCTTCTTCGTCGATCCAGCGTCCACCACCTCCAGGGCCGCCGGGGACGTATCTCCTTCGTTTTGAGGGAGGCTCGGAGTCCAGGATCTGCGACGAGGCAGCGCGCGGTCTCGCAGGGGTGCGCGTGGGCCGGCGCGGTGACGATTCGGGGGCAGCCATTTTTATTCGACGCGGCAGTTGCGGCACTGCGAAGGGCGTGTTTGTTGTCGCATGAATCTCGGGATGCCAGCAAACGCGTCCGCTTGATCAAAACACTGCGGCAGCGGCTTCTTTGATGCTTCTTGGTGCTCGTCGTTGACCGTAAGTCGCGTCCTGCCAAGCATGAGGTTCGAGCAACGAGGTTGGGGAAAGCACTTAATTCCGCTTATTGCCGGCCTTCTTGGCGGAATCTTATCAGATCCCGACACGCTGCTTCCATAATTATCAAGGATGGCGCAATCCAGGCTGGCACATGCATCTTCTTGCTTCTGACCACTCACTCTTTTACTCTTTCTATCTTCTTGTTCAAATCGATCCTCGAGTCTGATCTACATGCGGCCTGTATCACACCATCGTTTGGTTGATTAGCTTCTTGTCGGCTTGCTGGTTGCTTTTTTGACTTTCTATCGCTCCGAGCATCCCACCATGTACGCAATCACTGGAGAGGATGTAGCTCGAGCGATTTCATGGCTGCTTGGATGGTCATATTTCACCTCATGGTCGCTATCCTTCTACCCACAACCTCTTCGCTGCTGGAAACATCGCTCCACTCGTGGTATAACCGTTGACTTCCCCTTGCTGAACATTGTTGGTTTCACCAGTTACACCATCTCGACGGCAGCGTTTCTTCTTGCGCCCAAAATCCGCCAGCAGTATGCTCTTCGCCATCCTTTTGCTCCTGAACCCACCGTCCGATTCAATGATTTGATTTTTGCCTTGCATGGCATTATTGTCTGCTTTGTTTTCTACAGCCAGTTCTACCCGAGACTATGGAACTTCGAAGTCGTCAAAGGCCAGCGAGCCAGCTCTACCGCTCTTGGTATCTTTTACGGTAGCATCGTTGGCGTGGCCATAACTACTTTGCTAGTATCCTTGTTCAGAGGTGGAAGAGATACTCCTGACTCTTGGGCCGAGATTGATATCGTGCGTACAATGTCGAATTTTCTCTGTGGAGGCATGTGCTAAATCGATCAACCATCCAGNATATACGCATTCTCTTATGTCAAACTCATCATCACTCTCAGCAAATACGCTCCTCAAGCATGGTATGCACCACAAAACATCAAACACTCTCCGAGCCTAATCTCGCTTCGCAGGTACAACTACAAGATCAAGTCCACAGCAGGCTGGGCCATCGATATGATCTGGCTTGACTTTGCAGGTGGCATCATGTCTCTTCTCCAGTTGGTCATAGACAGCGCATTGGAAGCTGACTGGAGTGGAATCACTGGTAATCCTGCCAAGCTCTTCCTCGCTATCTTTAGTCTCTGCTTTGATACAGTCTTCTTTGTTCAGCACTATATTTTATACAGAGGCAAGGCGTTACCAAAGGAGGATGAAGAGCAGGCTCTTCTCGGATGAGATGTCAAGAAAGGTCTGGAAATTGCTACAGATGAAAACTCAAGGAGCAGGACAGTGTTGATTGTCGAATAGACCAGCGAAGGTTACTGAACAGATAGAAGCTAAGTGCTACCAGATTATAGATCAATCTTGTGTCACAAAGGTGGCCGAGCTGAAGACCGAAGTGATTGTATGGGCACGACCAAACTTCCGAGCGGCACGGCATCAGCTTTGCAAGTGCTCCTGGCGTTCATGAATCGTGATCCGACCGGAGTGTCCATCTCTTTCGAGCCATGGAAGAAAAAGGTTTCCCAAGCAATCGGAAAAGCATAGCTTAGCGCGATTACGCTTTGGCCGTGTGCATGCATCATGCATGGAAGATCCGATGTTGGGAGATCCGAGTTTGTGGAGGCTTCGGCCGACATTCAACGACCACACATGTGCTGGATATCTCAGACTTCTATATCTTTGTTGCTGTGTAGATGACTAGCTTGAGCTGGACTGCTTGAAATTGACAACAGACGCTCGCTGACAGCTGTAAGAATCTCAAGGCCGTCGTTATGGTTTCGGCACAATGGATGCGATGCGGGAACGAAGGTTTGCTTAACGCAGATCGAGCCAAACGTTCATACCTAGATGGCACCGCATGACGGTCTCGGCGCCCGGGGAAGTAAGGTCGAGTATGACGATGACGGGCCTTGATGGTTTGCGCCAGGAACAGAGACCATAATCATGCTGCATACATAGTAGAGATGATGGCCGGTCGCGTTTGCTCGCACCAGTCTCGTGCTCGTAGAAGTTGTTGGTGGAAAAAGGCCTAAAGCGGCACATAGCTGAGATGAGTCCTCCTATCTTTGCTTCGCTGAGGAAGGTACGTATCTAACAAGCTCTTTTGGGAAAGTGATCTAATGCTTGTAACAGNCACCGAATCCTGAACAGAGGGCGTTCGGTGGAAACCCGCAGGACGAAAAAGAGCTCAAGAGCATCCTCGGTGGAAACATTCGAAACCAGAATCAGGATCCTGAGTCCGAGGTCGACGGACATGGTGGAGCGCCCAACGTCGCCGCATGCCGAGCAGGCTGGACGCGAGCCTTTAGTCGAGGACTTTCAAATCGTACAACCCCTGTCGCCCGGCAGAAAGCATCCCGCACGTCTCCCTATACCCATTCGAGTTTCTGCACCCAATGGACATCTTCCAAGTTCGCCTGCCTTTGACCAGGACTACGCGGACGACAGTGACGATTCCTTGGCCCCACCGGACATCGTGAGACCTCTGAGCACTTCACGCGCCATAGTTTCCGATGTTCCCAGGGTCAACCCTCTGCTGTCGCCCGCACAACCACCCACCATCTCGAGTCATCATCGCAGCGCATCCAAGCCGCGGCACAAACCTAGAGATTCAGGATCGTACATTGGAACATCTCATCCGAACACCCCCGACCGCATGTCTCTGGACATGGACTATGTTTCAAAGAACCAAAAGAGATATTCACTCGAATCGGCCGCGCCATCACGAGCGCCTTCGAAAGCACCTTCAATCGCGCCATCAGTATATACTCTACCTCCACTCCAGACTTCGGGGCCCTTGGACGATGAGGTAGATCGTTTGCAGCCTTTGTTGGAAGATGATCCGGCAAACTTCGACCTCGTGGCCGCACCACCAGAAGAAGTCAACAGCACATATCGACTAGACGAGCACGCCCAACAACTTCTCTCACGCGAACATCTGGAAGCAATCTTCGCAGATCGCAAGACTCTGCTAAAGTTTACTGGCTTTCTCAACAGCCATCGTCCTCAAAGCATTCCAATTCTCATCTTCTACATGGATGCTTTGAAAGCTCTACGAGCGATCAAATATGCAAACGCTGTGTCGAGAGCATTGAACCCTGTTTCTGGACTCGAGTTCACCTCTACACCGCCTCAGACTACGCAAAACGATGAGCTGCAGAAAAAAGCCGATCAAGCCTTTGATCTGCTAGTTCGAGAAGACCTGACGGCGTACGTCACATGGACGTGGATCTCAATTGTGAGTACGAGCATCCAAAGAAGAGTAACGGGAACTCTGGCTCCTCACTTGAGAGAAGCGTCTGAGGGGTTGGCCGAAGTGTTTTGCTTGACAGATCCATCACGGAAGGACAACCCAATTGTTTTCGCCTCAGAAGAGTTTGCCCGCACAACACAATACGGAATGGGCTACTCGATCGGTCGCAATTGCCGCTTCCTCCAAGGACCGAGGACAAATCCACACTCGATACGTCGTTTGGCTGAAGCGTGCAAAGTACCCAGAGAACATAGCGAGATCTTTGTCAACTATAGACGCGACGGCAGTCCTTTCATCAACCTACTCATGACAGCACCACTCTATGACTCGAAAGGCACATTGAGGTACTTTATCGGAGCTCAAGTCGATGTATCTGGTTTGCTGAAGGAGATGACGGGTATGGAAGCACTCAAGAAGATGATTAACCGTGACGAAGACGGAGACGGCGAACAGAGTCAAAACGACGAGTTCCAGAGTTTGAGCGAGATGTTCAACACTACGGAGCTGGAGACCGTAAGACAATGCGGAGGCCGTATCCATCGTGCGCAAGTCGATGACGACCGAGAGAATGGTGTGCAATCCAGGCCGCGACTACTAATAACGGAAGAGTCAGACGAGAACATCATTCACTCGAAGGAGATACACAATGACCCAGCTTCTGTTCCCGATGGAGTGCAACAACGCATACCTGAGAATGGCAAGCTGGCAGGCGTATATGAACACTATCTTCTTGTTCGACCATCACCATCGCTACGTATCTTATTCACCTCGCCATCCTTACGCGTACCAGGAATCCTGCAGAGCCCCTTCCTCTCCCGTATTGGCGGTTCACCCCGCGTGCGCTCAGAGCTCGCTCAAGCATTCAGCGAAGGCCGCGGCGTGACGGCAAAGATTCGCTGGTTGACGCGCATAGAAGAAGATGGAGAAGACGAGGGCCGTAGTCGTTGGATTCATTGCACACCCCTTCTCGGCCATGGTGGCGCAGTAGGTGTCTGGATGGTGGTCCTCGTCGACGAAGAAGGCAGTCAGAGTAAACGACGATTCAGGCCCGCGCCTCCAGTGAGTCAAATCATTGGAGGCAAAGAGTTTGATCCGAGAGCAATGAAAGAAAAGGAGGAACGAGAGCGGGCCAGAATTGACATGATCGTCGATGGTGATGCAGAACGGCCTGGCAGTAGTTTTGCCGGTCGACCAGGACTCGTGATGGACACGAGCGTGTATAGTGGTCTGGGAAGTGTTGACGGAACTGACGATTCGTTCCAGATTCGATGATCGTCGGAGGGAAGGTGTACTTACAGTTTAGCTTTACATTGTAGAGGTTACGATACCCCAGAATTAATGCCATGTGTTATGACTTGTCAACAGAGATCTTTCGAAAACCTGGATGATGATAAAGCCTAATAAGAGATGTAGGTATGACTTCTCGTAAATAGTGATCATATCGATCTGTGTATCTTTTGCGGTATGTTGTCGATTGTCGAGGTCGCCCAAGTTGGAATGTCTGCAGCATCCCGCAGAGCAGCGTTTGAGCCTTCGTCTTTTGAGTGCAAAGGCCACTTTTGTTCGTGGATCTCGTCATCAGGTCCTGCCTTTTCACCGCCATGCATCTCTGTGCATGCCTCTCCTGTTCTGCCTCGCTCTCTTAGAAGTGTGCACCTGCCTCTTCTTGCATGCCCTTTCTTCTCTCTTCTTCACGTCTGCCCTACCACACCTCTCCAGGATCAACCCGTATCTCTTCACCACCCTCCCTCACAGTCCCCCTCTTGACATCCCTACTCAACGGCTTGCGCATATCAAACGCATCACTACCGTCATTGTAGTAATCCACAATCCTCCTATACACCGAGTATCCCATTTTCTTGTACAGCTCTATGGCAGCTGTATTCTCCACCCTCACAAAGAGATCCACAAACCATGCGTTTTCGCGATGACCGATGGCTTCGAGGGAGTTGGAGAGGGCGGTCGCATGGCCCAGACGGCGGGAAGAGGGAGATACGGTCAGGCAGGTGATGTGAGCGTGCCAGGGCAGGTAATTGGGGTATTGTTTCGTGTAGGCTGGGTGTGAAGGGTCGTAAGGGACGTGAGGCGCCGCGTAAGGTGAGGCTTCGAGTTTGCCGAGGANCTGTTTCGCTTTCGTCAGTGTCTATGCAAGATGAACACTGAGGATTTGCTCACTGTATCCTTCAATCTCGCCGTGGCGGCCTTCGATCACCATGCACAGTTCGGGCCATTTGGAAAAGTAGTCGAGGTAGAAGCCAATGTTGTAGGTTTCGGTCAGGTGGTCTAGGTTGCAAGGGTTGAATTTCAGCAGGTCTGCTGGCGTCATTGGCCGTACCGAGGACATGGTTGTGGTTGGCGCAAAGGTGCTTTGGAGAGTTTGCGAAGCTTTGAAGGTTGGACCTGCTATTTGATTGCGTCCGTCGGGAAACCAGGACACCCTGACCTTTCAATGCTAAACATCCAACAACATCACTTGTGATAAAACCCTTCTGTTGCACCTGCCTTGAGCCTTTATTGTTGCTGTAGAATGAGTGTCTTCATTGTGCTGATAGTAAAGTGGTATCTAGTCGTCTAATAATCACAAACCCAACCCGACCCTCCCGAAAACGCCTTGACCAAACGTGCTATCATAAAATCACTCCATCGAATGAATACGACTTGCCATGCCCTCACATATCGACCAGATTCTCTTCTTCGGACTCAACCTCGCGGCCTTTGTTGGAAAATCCTTGACCACGCAGAGTTTCATCCATCTGTCCCACAAACCCTTCCATATCCTCTTCAGTGATGCCTTGATCGTAGCCGTCTGCTGTGTCATCTTGCTGACTGCTGACTCTACTGCTGGACTCCAAAGGTAGCCCAAACACCCAGTCGTCGTCTGCCTCAACAGTTTGGCCTTTAGAGTGGGAAATTGTGAATAGGTTTACAGTCGGAAGGCGGTGGTAAGGCATGTAAGACGGATTCGTGTCCTTATCTTGAACCGGAATTCTCACTTTCCTTTTACCCAAGCTGACATTGCTAGATCGTCTCTGGGCAAGTTGGTGGGCTGGTGAAAAGTCCCAAACGCAGAATCCGTGCGGTCCTTCGCGAGCACACCCACCATGAGGCCCATCTGGTTCAAGCAAACCGAGTACCGAGGGTGGTAGCATATCGCTGGACATTGTTGGAAGAGGTTGTGTCCAGAGTGGCGTTTTCTCGACCGCTGGACTGACAATAGTCTTTCTGTGTTGGGTATGACTGACATTTTTGACGGCTAGCAGAGTAAGGACGCCATTGCATAGAGTAGCAATGATTTCCTTGTCCTTGCCATGCTGCCACTGTACACACTTCGGGAAGACGGATTGTTGAGCTGGGTGCAACCGGATCTTGTTGTCTTCGGCATGTCGAATATGATGAGCGCCTTCGGCAGCCATGCCAAACCCCTTGGACAGTCCTTGACGTACAGCTCTTCCCCCTGCATATCTTGCGGCCATTGATGCATTGCCAAGGGTACTGACAATGCCACTTGAACCGTTTCTTGGTCTAGTGGCCAGGCCATGAATGCTCTGCCATCCTGCTTTCATGTTGCTCATGAAACCTCCTGTAGGCGCTTGTACTTCTTCGCGTGGCGAAGATCCCGGAGAAGGTACGTTAGATGGCAACATGACGGTAGGCTTGTACTCCAATGACTGCAGCCCATAAAGATGCACAGTACCCCTGTCGGTGACTATGGCAATGCGGTCTCCGCGCACTGTCCAGATAGCATCGATCACTACCGACGGCGACAGCCTGGGGAATCTCGAAACCAAGCGGACAGTACCAATGGATGACGGATCTGAAACAGCTGCTCTACTATCATTGATACGGGTCAAATCCCAGACCCTCGACTCGTCTCCAACGTGATTAGTAGCAAGTAAAGACAGTCCATTGGGAGAGAAGGAGAGGAAAGAACAGCCGTCGTTGAGCTGGAAGGTACATGAAGAAGTCTGACTTCCCTTCATGTCACGCTCTCCACGTTCGAGCAATCTTTCAAGATCGATGATTGACACAAGAGCTGGCTCTATTGGGGACGTCTGTGGTTCATTGCTGTGAGCATGAGTTGGTGGGAACGCGTTTTGCTCAACTTGGGTCGACGGGGGTGATCCGTAGTAGGCGGGATCGCCGTTTGGATTGGCCGGACCATTGATGTACGTCTTCAATGCTTTGAAGCCTTGTTGAGCACCTTTGTATATTTCTCGAGTAGTAGTTTTGGCAACACGACTGATCAGACTGTCGTTAAATGGTGCATCAACTTCACAATTCAGTAGAGGCGGAGCCGGCGAAGCATGGCTGGCTATACTGACAGCATCGATGTGGTTGATTGATCCAATAGTGCCCTTCAAAGTCATCTGGGACGATGAGATGAGGGGAGGCTTGATAGCTAGCCAGCGACCACTCAACGCATACACAGCTCTCTTTGCAGTCTTGGTTCTCGCAGTTCCCAGATCGCTAGTTATATTCGCGCTCCTGTCATCCGAAGAAGATGCCCTTGTTTTTAGGCTCGACCAGTATTTCGCAAGACAGCAGAATGGCTGCTGGTCTATTGCCGGCTGTTTACTTCTAAGGGCGAACACATGGATTTCACCGCTCGTACCAGAGGTGACAAGAATGAAACGTCCTTCAGCGGCGATACTGAGATTTCCGATGGGTGGAGGAGGCGAGAATCCTTTTGTTGCGACCGATTGATGAGTTCTCTCTGGTCGGGTTTGATAAAGCCTGCTCACAGGTTGCCAGGTTCGCATGGAGTAGATCTCAACAAAGGTGTGATACTCTTTGATGCTGGCAGCAGAAGATGGCTGATCGGGCTCATGGTCGAGCACAGGGCCATGGATAACGCAAGCCACTAGAGGACGTAGATGTTCCAGGGGATCGTCTCGAGCTGTCCATGAAAGAATCTTCGCGTCGATGACACCACCCTGCAGGCCCTCCAGACGGCCAAGTACCTCGGTCTTCTGCCGGTTGACTCTGTGAACCTCCAAACCACCCTCGAATCCGACAACTACGACCGAGCTTGTACCCGAAGAAGACACCCCTTTGGGTGTTTGCCACGTGTCGAACCCGCAGTAGTAACCCCTCGAACCAGCTTGCAAGAACTTGTCTGTGTGAACGGGTCTGCTGAAATCAAACTCGGCTAGCCTTGAGAAATGTCGTTGCGGCATATGCGGAGGCAGGGGCTCATACGGCAGGGTTTGATTTGTGGTTGCGAAGCTCATGGGTTGAGTAGGAGGTGTAGAATGGTAAGGAATGTTGGTCGCATCGGAGAAGCCTCTTGACATGAAGCCTTGGGGCAAACGAATGCCGCCTTGGGGAGATGAAGACAAGGAAGCAGCGTGAAGTGGAGATCCAGCACCAGACAGACGCGAAGGGAGTTTCAGGCCGTCCTGTCCCAGCATGACACCATCTTGTGGGGGAGACGGCTCCATTGTTGGTGCAAATGGATGCAGTTGTTGTTTGGGAGATTGTAGAGCAGGTACCTTAGACAAAGGTGATGCGGTCTTATCGGGCGGAGAGAAGTCGGGGGTTGGAGCAGACAGACGAGAATCTAGAGGAGGACTGGGGGAGCGAGAAGGTGGAGGTGAGGGCGCGATGGGTGCGAGGGTCGGCACGCTGAGAAGCCATGGTCAGCTACGTCTGTTGTACATGCAGGTCGACTACTTACAGATCGGGCGAGAGATGAGGGCCCTCAGACGACGAGTCCTTAGCAAAGTCATCTTCGGCCTCGAGTCTCTGCTTGGCTGCCTTCTTCTTCTGTTTCTTTCGACNNTGGCTTTGTTTCCCTTGGCCTCGTCCGGCGTGTCTTCTGCGTGGAACACCTCGTCGTTGGATGATGGCATATGTGGAGCTTGCGAAGGATGTTGGTAGACCACTCGCAGACCAGGGTCGGCAAGTGGGCGAGACGGCGTTAGGGAGAGCGAGACGGACGAAGCGAAGAGGAGAGGACGACAGCAGCAGCAGCAGCTATGGCGGGTGTTGTCCGGATTCCGGTGAGGATCTGTCTCACACGCAACACGTCAAAGACTGCACGGGATCGAGCGAGACTGCGACAGCGCTGTAGCGGGAGTGAAGGTCAGGTCGTGCTGCCGCCTGCAGGAGGAGCGTGGAGACTACGTGACGCTGTGATCGGCCAAGTCCGAAGCCTGTCTGACCAACAAAGAGATAGTGTCTTGGGTGCAAATAAGAGACAGGACAGTCGCGCAGACTGTCCGAGACGATGCAAAAGGTATACAAGTCGGACAAAGAGGCTGGTTGTGACAGAGTGTTGAGAAGGCGGTCTACAGTCCTACCTTGTTGGCTCTGTTGACGCATCCGGGGCGCGGGGTGTTGGTGGGGCCTTGGCACATCGAGGGGTACCGGACAATGTGACCATCACTCTTACATGTCATTTCGAGAATGACTGATCATATGAACAACTCATCATCTACCTTTTCTGCATCCTACAACCGGATACTCGACATTGCCGTTTCCCATAAAGGTACATAGGACCTTCCCAAAACGGAAAGCATCTCTTGGTAGGCATCGCCTCCAGACTCTATGGACGCTTTCGGTGTCAGAAGATGCCCGTGTTTAGCTTCAGAAGTTGCTGTATCTCACTCAGACGGCGAGGGTAGAGTTTGGGAACATTGTAACTTTGGGCACATGTGAAAGAATGAGTTTCTCTCGAATTGTCTTTAATACCTGATTGAATGGCCCGCGCGAAGGAAGGGACCCAAAACAACAGTAAAAAGCTGTTTGCGCCATCACAACGAAACTCCGCAATTGACACAGGCACCTGCATCTTCTTCGATAACCTGCGGACAAACTTGACCTCGGGCCAGTCACTGGTAAGGTATACAGACCAATAATGGAGAATCAAATACTCAGCGACTATCCTGCGGACTTGGCTGACATGCTTCACGAGTGTTTCGCACACGTGAAACCGGCTGTTGTTGTTTGGTCATTGATGTGTGCCGGAAGGTAGTTTGGTAAGTCTCCTGGCATTCGAAACGATGTCTGATTCCGGACGTCCTTGAGTAATGGGTCTGACAACAGTTCTGCTGTGTAGAACACTCGGCAATCATGAACAAGGAGTGGTCTGCTTGAAGGAAAGAACGAGAATCGAAGGCAACCATGAGTCATGACACCACTTACTACCAATAGAACAGGCTTGTCAGCAAATCTTATGCCGGGGTATGCAAAGGTCGCAAGCACGATGAGCCTACATCTGGTGTAGGGCAGGATGACGAACGTGCAAACAGCCGAGATATATGACTCTGGAGCACATTCCTCTGATGACATACCAGCATTGACCACTGTTAACAAAGCCTCTGCCTGGGAGGACCAGGAACATGCACANNAATCCGGGCCGAGTCGTGTCGGGAAGAGCCCAGCAATCAGAGGCTTGTCGAGAGATGCGACCGGGCAGTATACGAAGTACGAAACGGGGGCAGGTACAGNCTGTCTTCCAGAATCATGGACACAGTCAATATACAGATGGACTAAGCCCTACAGGCNACATGGATATGGACAAGGCGTTGGGTCCCGACACTGGCCGAGGGTCCNCAAAGGCGTGCCGGCGGCGAATTTCTGCTCAGTGCTCAGCTGCGAGGTAGAAACAACCCTCCGACACGTACAGGGCCGTTTGGACCTGACCGAGCGACAGAGTGACGGGCGGCGGCACGATTGCGAGGCGGCCTGAGCGGAATGGAAAAAACAGCGTTGCAATTCGCATCGGCAGTTTTGGCCATTCTGCAGCAGCCAACGGCGGATNNGCGATAGCGAATGGATTGGGTTGCTGGAGTATTGGANAACAGAAGCAGTAACAGACGAGTGGATGCTATTGAAATTCGATCGTCTAGTTCCACCGTCATTGTACGTCCAGTCACCGAGTTGGGCATGGATGGTCGGATGGAAGAAACGTGGAACAATCGANNAGGCCTTGGCGTGACAGAGTGACGTGCGCTTGCCGGTTCTGCGGGCTGGCCAAAGCANTGCACCTCGAAATGCCTGATGCGACGAGGGACAAGGACACAGGCAGGGCACATGGATGGAAGAGGATTGCACGCGAATGCGAGTGGGAGCAANGACAGACAGACGGCGGGATGGACAGCGGCCAACGTTGTAGATGGGATGCAACGGGCGTCATGNGCGGATGCGAGATTACTCAGGCGGACTCGAGGCTTGCCCTGCTGGAGGCTTTGGCTGCCTCTGTCGAGTGGGGAAGAAGCAACCTGGGCACACCTCTTGACGCTTCCAGCTTGACACCGTTAACCCAGACGTTGACTCGTTGCTACCTTACCTTCGATACTCGCTGCCTCTCCTTTTCTCGCATGCTTTGCCTTTCCTCGCGTGACATGCCCACCATATGACAGTGCGCTCTCCGTTTCCTTGCCTCTTGTATCTTTACCAAACTCCACCACCGATAAACCACCAAGACCAACCCATCACGCCGGCCTGACCTTTCCCACATTCCTGGCCGAATTGCATCGCATACACCCCTCGGCCAACCACCGCTCCCGACGGCCACTCGCCAATTGCTGTCCCGCTCCATCTACCGCGACGCGACAATCCAGTCCACCACCCGCCTGTCTGACCTGCTTCTTCGACGCCGAGACACTGCCTTGGACTGTGCCGAATGTGCTGAACTGACCGATTCTCGCGACTTTCCATCGACTGCGCAATGCGATAGAGGCCTCAAGGCCGAACCGAACCGAGTAACCATGACGGGCAATGCATTTGCCGTCGTCTACGTGGACCGCAAGACGCCCGTGACGGGCTTCCTGGACAAGAATCTCGATGGATTGAAACAAGAGAATGACTCCAATGAAGCCCAGCACAACATCCGCACCATCATGGCTGCCTTTGGACAAGGTACGTCCATCTTGCGTATTGTCGCATACCTTCCCCCGTTCTAATTGCGTCGCATAGCCCATATCTGCGCCGATGGCGTGTCCTGCTTGACCACCCTTGCACAACTCGACGAACCGCGCAATCCCAACCCGATAGTCGTGCTTCTCGATATGCCCCACGACGACGAACCTGCTATCCGTAGGACTTCATGGGACTCTAANCCCCCTTCACCATTGGTAGGGAAGCGACCCAAAGTAGAGCGAAACGAACCGAGCGATGTATACGGCGTACACTTGCTGTCATATCTGTCTTCGGAGATCCAACAGCGCGTTCGCTCAAGGCTGGTCATCCCGATCGCTGTTCTTGCTGGCAAGACCGACGTAAGTTTATTGCCATCGTCCACAAGTTTGACAGTGCCTGACAACTACCAGCTGCTGGCTGAACCAACTCGAATGTCCCGCTTTCTGGATGCTGGTGCCATTGATGTGCTGCCGAGTCCTCTCGGAGTCGACCGAGTCCAGGGCTTAGCCGTGCACGCATACCGTACATACAAGGAGATTGCGCGTGAGGAGGCGAGCTTCGTGCTTCAAAAAAGGAACAGGAAGCTTTCATGGGTTGGAATCGACGAAGAACGCCCGTATGCCTACCTACGAGAGGTCATGGTCTCCGGCCTGATGAATGGCATCTGTAATCCTGACTCGGTTGGAGAGTGTATCGATCCAAGGTTTGCACAACGAACATACCAGATTCTCAATTGATCGACTAACAAATAATTTCACAGCGAACTCAAGATTGACAGCGACAGAACAGCTCTCGTGGAGCAGGCAGTAGGTACTTGGGCGTTTTCTGCTCATGACTTCGATTCGGACGAGCTTCTGTACGCTGCCTTGACCATGCTGCAGCATGCCTTGCAAATGCCCGAACTAGAAAAGTGGCGCATATCCACAGGTATGCTTGCAGTTACCTGACACAACTCTTGTCCCTCACCGCTAACTTGGTTCAANGATGATCTTACCATCTTCCTTTTCGCTTGCAGGCACGCTTACAACGATTTTGTTCTATATCACAACTTTCGTCACATTGTCGATGTCCTCCAGGCCGTCTTCTACTTCCTCCTACAAATCGGCATTCTGCCTCCTTATCCTGGCTCACAAGGGCAGGCTCCGAGGACAGATCTTGCGCCGGTGGCGTCTTTGCTACAGCCGTTTGATGCATTGACTCTGCTCATATCCGCCATCGGCCACGACGTCGGTCATCCAGGTGTGAACAACGCTTTTCTGGTCGCATTGAATGCGCCACTCGCTCAGCTCTACAACGATCGCTCAGTCTTGGAGGCATTCCATTGCGCAGCCTACTCGCAGATTCTCCGCAGATACTGGCCACAAGCTTTTGCTGACATTCCCATGCGCAAACTGATGATCAACTCAATCCTGGCTACGGACATGGGTCTCCACTTCAAGTACATGATTGACATGGGCAACCTGCAAGAAAAGCTTACCTCAAATGACGACAGCATAGAGGGCTGGACACCAAAGGCTCTCGAAGAGACTAGAGATCTCGTCTGTGGGCTATTGATGAAATGCGCCGATATAAGCAATGTGGTATGTTTCAATGACGTTGTTGCTCAATCGAACCATTACTGATGTTAATAGGCACGTAAATACGATGTTGCAGCACGATGGGCTGTGATCCTCACAGACGAGTTCTCCAACCAAGGTGCCATGGAGAAGGAGCTTAACCTGCCAACCTGCTTGTTCGGTGGTCCCCCTGATCGCGAGGACTTGGTCAAACTGGCAGAGTCTCAAATTGGGTTCATGAGCATTTTCGCCGGTCCTCTTTTCGAGGGAATTACAGCAATTCTACCAGCCATGGGATTTTCCACTGTTGAGATTGAGTCCAACAGAACCGTCTGGGAGGAAAAGATTCACGTCGAGAAACTGAGAAGAGGAACCATTCTGGCGAGTCCGACTGCTCAGCCTTCGCCACTTCCTCGAACTCCTCTCTCCGTACCCGAGGAGGAATTTGAAGACAGCAAGGAAGACGACATTCCGCCTGAACGAGATTCTCTCTTTGGTCCATCTCGTACGTCACAGACACAAAATGAAGCACAAGCAACGAAGCCTGACAACGTTCGGGCGAACCCAGAACCAGTATCGCCCACATCGCCCGTAAGAGTTCGTCCAACCTCCGCGTCACCTCTCAAAAGCAACAAAAAGAAGACGAGCACTTCGAGTTTCCACGCGCCATATTCTGTCCCATTCCACCAGCACACAAACTCACGTCGCTCTTCAAAGGATGCCGCCCTCGAACAACTGGAACAGTTGCAACTAGGTCAGCTCAGCAGCTTCTCTCGTATCGAAAACCAGAACCATGATGGCGGTCGACGCGGCAGCGGCGACGCCTCNCTGACCACGATTCTCGTCCGCAGCCAAACTGGGCAGAGTAGGCAAGAACCGGACTCTCCAACAAAGCCGCCACCATCGCCTCTCAGGCAGACCACAAGACCATTCCCACCACCTGCTCAGCCTGGTGTTCCTTCTTCGTTGCCTTCGTCTCGCAGCCATGCTACTAGTAACGCAACGGCAACAACCACGACTTGCGCACATTCACCGGGCTCCACGCGGCCCTCTTCAGTAGAAGAAATGGATGGTGGAACTCCCAAAGGAATAGAGCCACCTCCAGTTCTATCAACAGAGAATCCGTTCTTGCACCCCAACTCGAGCCCAGATTTGCATGGCAGAGAACGTATTTCACATTCAGCACCGGATATCAGGAGTATCCCGGAGGTGCGTACGGGAAAAGTGAGTTCGGTATCGCATGTCACAGCAGACGGGGACGATGGCGACGACAATCGCGGTATGTCACAACGACCTTCAGGGATCCGCGAGAGCCGTAGCCGAAGTAGACTGCGAGGACTTCGCTTCTGGAGAAAGAGGTGGAAGAGCCCCGGCCCTGGCGCCGAGATTGACACAGAGCCGTGAGGCAACAGACGCTGCAAGCGATGTCGAAGTCGAAAATCTCCTTTGTTTTGTGGTTCGGCAATGTGCAAGTCACGGAAAGGACGGAATGCTAAAGGCGTTGTCGGAATATACCACTGTCTCACGCGGGACGGCCTTATGATTTACAGACTTGACCGGAAATGGCGTGGGAGAGAAGGGTGGACAGTTTTCTTTGCTCCTTTTGTTGCATCTGTTTATGTCTTCTTACGCTCGCTTTCGGTCTCTTATTTCTAGTTTCGATGTTGGTCCATATATGGACGCAAGGATGAAGTAGTATTATGTGGGTGGCCAGTAAGGAGAGGATGGAGGCCCATAGAGCCGCTATATATAGCTCCAGAAGATAGGAGCGTCATACTTAATACATGATCATTGTTCGCACAGCAATTTGAAAAAAAGACAAGCTGAGTTTGAGCATGGTGGTCATGTACCTTGTACTCGTAGTTCCCAGATTCAGGGGCGTAGGCGAACAATCAAGATGATCGAAGCTTGGACAACACCCTGGCCTCTGGCCTGTCGTTGCTGCCAACGCGGATGTGAACGAGTCAACCGGCCTCCTTCCCTGTTCCAATACGTACGGAGGCACTTTCTATATCTGCAGGACGACGAGGCACCCAATTTGTGTCTGCATCTCTGGCCCCGGAAACATGAAGCACCTGGCTGCACGCCAATAAATCCACACGCATCCCCTGTATTACCACAGCAAGCAGCAGGCAGCAGGCAGAGGCAGCAAGCCGTCACCGACCCAGCCCGCTCGCTCGACTGGTCTTCTCGCACACATAGCATGGCCTCGCCACCCCTCACACCGCTACGGCGATCCTACTCTCACAACAGCAACTCTTCGTCGAACCATCGCCTTTCGACAGCATCGCGCTTCTCCAATGGCAGTCAGGACTTTGCTTCACATCTGGATGCCCCGGCTGANGCATCTGGCATGGGCAATCTTGCCGACGAACTGGACTTTGCCGACTCGGACGACGAAGACTGGGACTACGATGGCGAAGCTGAGCCGGGCGCCGTTCAAGAGACTGGGATAGATCATGTACTGAGCGAAGGAACACAAGACGGCGAAGACCCAAGAGACAGCGGAGTTCACGTTGAACAGAAGATAAACACAGCGCTACCACATCGCAACTTCTCTCGACCAACCTCTCGCGATGCCGAAACCGAGCCGTCAAACGTTTTCTCCCACGAGCTGGAGGATGCCCTGGCCCACATCTCACGCCTCGCCAACCCGGCACAGCATCAAAACCCCGACACCATCTCTCGCACTCTCGTCGCCTTGCAGAACCTGCCCCCTCAGCAATCTCTCGAGGTACACACTCAACGCCTCACTACATCCACCAACAGCCTTTCGTCGCATATCATCCAGCAAACAAAGCACTTTGCTTCCCTTTCTGCTTCTCTGTTCGCTCCTTTTGGCTTCGGTACACCTTTGGACTTTCAGATTATCGACGACGAAGTGGTTCCTGCCATCAGTCAAGTCATCCAAGACTTACCGGCACCGGATTCGCGCGCTTTGCACACTCTATCCCGTCTCGACCGCGAAACCACCGATCTAATACAAACACTCGCTGCCCTGTCCGATTCTTTGCAGATGGGTCGTCAGACTACTGCCAGTGCTGCGCGTCACTTGAGAAACACCCAGCTCATGGTCTCTGAGATGCGTCGTGAAAGCGATCTAGCAGATCAGGCACAATGGCTCATCGAAAAGGAAGATTGGGACCATCGTCTTGCTGAAAGACATTGCGCCGCTGAATGCCGCGATGTCGTTGGCGGTTTTGAGCAAGTCTTTGAGGGGTTAAGACGAGGTTTGGAAGAAAAGATTGCAGCTTGATTTACTTGTTTGGGTATTTGTTTTTCTTGGACCGAGCACTATGGAGGGCATACTGAGCATCGCGGCGTTCGAATTGAATGCAATTAGGGAAAGACACGGGTCATGCATGGAAGGGCGTCATGGATCTGCTCACCAAGCAGTGAGGAGTTACTCAGATTATGGGAGGTAGGCAAACATGGCCAGCTGGTTTGATCACATGGTAGAGATTAGACGGCAGATTCGCAAGACGGAAACACTTACATACCCATATGCTTGTTTGAAAGCAACTTTTTCTCTTCGCCTTTGTCTCGCAACCAAGCAACGCGTACCAGTCCATCAGGCAAACACACCCAACACTTTTTGGTTTGCTTCACTTCTTTCCAAGCTTCACTTTCATTTTCACTTTCATTTTCACTTTCGTTCCCAGTCAAGTCAACAATATCTTACAGTATCCGCTCATGCACTTGTTTCCAGCCTCACACATCTTCTATTCGGTCAACATCACGTCCCTTTCACCACCTTCAAGCATGTCAAGTGAGCAAGATCGAATCGAAGACCCATACATCCTCAGCTGCGACATGTCTTCTTCATCAACCAACGAGCCCACAGCCCAGAAACGCAAGATGAGCCACTGTGACCGCCTCGACGACGGCACACCACCAATCCACACCGAGCCTGACCCGAGCCACTCGCCCTCAGACGCAGAAGACGTAAAAGTCGCCTACAATGGACCTGCCACCATTCACGTGGTGATGCTGCGCGTGAGTGCCGAAAGTTCTGCGCGCCCAATGCCACAAGCTGCGTTTTTCGGTCGCGACAAGGCGCTTGCGTTTTCCACGCGCATCTTGTTACAGTGGTGTGATGCACACTATGATGATTATGTGTGGAGAGGACCGGAAATCTTGAGGGCGGGGTTGGTTGACAGGTATGCTGCGTATCATGCGCAGACTGGACAGCAGCTTGCTGTTGCGGATGTGATCAGGGTGAGTATCTTTGATGCCAAGGAGACGGAGGTTGTTCTCAAGAAGGAAGACAAGAAGGAAGACAAGAAGGAAGACAAGAAGGAAGAGGAAACGGATGAAGACGATGAGGGAAGCGAGAAGAGTAAGGAAAGGCTTGATGAGGCACATAATGAGAAATATCAGCAGCAGCTCGAGTATGGATCCGAGGGAGGCTCGGATGACACTGGTAAGCTCCTTGTGGTCGATGCTGACAGCTCAAAAACTGACAACATTACAGAAACGACTCCTACCCACTCGACTCAGTCAGAGAGACAAGAATTCNNGGTAAACACTCACGTACCAATCAGGCGCATGAGTTGAGATACTGATGACCTTACAGATACATCTCCTACTTACTCGGCTCGAGTCGAGAAACGAGAGGTCGACCTTGGTAAGGACCTAAGAATGCCAATCTGGTGGGGCTGAGTGACTGACCATGATACAGACACGATGTCTTTAATGTTGGCTCACAATCATCAAGTCGCGTCTGGAGAGTATGCTATGGAACTGGCTACCAGAACCTTGAATCACGACGAAAGAGATGCTTCAGGTTGGAGCAAGCGTAAAAGTGCTTGGAGCGAGGACCATGAGATGAGAGTGTTCGGTGGACCTACAGAATGAGCTGGCTCATGATACTGGGAGGTTGTTGAGGGAAGAGCAGTCTTTCTTCCGTTGATTTCGAACAGACAAGAGCGGAGCAAAGGGACTCCAGACTGTAACAACAAAGAACACGAGAAATGCTCAGAATCTGTCCAGCCTGCTATTCTTTAATGTGCCTGATATTGACAAGGTGAAGTTTGGAGGATCAAAAGAAAGGTGAATCTCAGGTGATGACCGGTCTTGGCGTGGTCCCGAGCTTTTGTGACAACCGGCTCTCATCAATTGCAAGCAGCATCATCACCCTCAGTCGCGCCCCGCCCTGTATAGACGAGCTCCTCTCTCACGCCCTCTCCCCGATAAACCAATAGACACAATGCGCACTTCCATGCTCCGCACCACCGGCACCGCCGCCGCCGCCCTGCGCTCGTCGGTGCGCGCAACCCAGACCCGCCGTGCCCACGCCATCTCCAACCCTACCCTCGCAAACATTGAGAAGAGATGGGAGGCCATGCCCCCTCAGGAGCAGGCCGACCTCTGGATGGCCCTCAGAGACCGCATGAAGGTCGACTGGACCGAGATGACCCTGCAAGAGAAGAAGGCCGGTATGTCGACTTTTTGTCACCAAGCCCGTACACGTCCGGTTGGCGAGCCCAGACACGTTGGTCAAGCCTGTCAAGCTCGCCAATTGGTAGTCTAGACGGTGGTTCATTCCATTGGGTCCAAACACAGCTCTGACACGTCATTTTCGNNCGCAGCATACTGGATCGCTTTCGGTCCCCACGGTCCCCGCGCTCAAACTCCTCCCGGTGAGGGCAAGCAGGTCTTCTGGTACACCATGGGCGGTCTTGCCGTCACCGCCGTTCTGTTCTTCGGTATCCGCGCCGGCGCCAGAGGCACCCCAAGCACCATGAACAGAGAGTACCAGGAGGCCACCGACGCATACCTCAAGGTTCGTGCTTCTACCGACTCTGATAATGCTGCACGGCAATCTAACCTTCACAACTACAGNGAGAACAACGTCGAGCCCATCACCGGTATCTCTGCCGAGGACTACAAGGGTGGCTTCGCCGTCCAANNAAGCCCTCCCAAGGCCAAGGAGTAAACGCCGTTTCAATCGAAAGGTGTTGTACTGTATTGACGAGGGAGCCAACCAGGCGTGTCGCCAACGCCGTCGTAGTCTTATTTCCGACTGGACGAAGAGAAGGTTACACGTTCAATATTTTTGGAGCCCGCTTTCTAGAAGCAACGACGAAGAAAAGATCCCTTGTACCTCTTTTTTCTTATATTATTCCAGCGTACTTGTACAAAGACTACATTTCCATTTGTTCTCACTCTTTTCTGGACGCCCTCTACTTCTCAATTTTACGTCTCTGCATCTTCGAGAAAGAAGACGATTGCTTTGATCCAGCTCGAGACACAAAGACAAAGTATCTTCACTCAAGTTACATGAACGGTCAGGTATATTACTCTCCGGTTCTCTGGGTAACCTGTAGCTCAAACGGATCAAGCCAAGTAATACCTAGGATACAAAGCAAAGTGACATGTTGTGCGGACATGACAATACCGGCTTTCCAAACAGATAGGGCTTGCAACACGTCCATTCCAGAGGCACTTTATCAAGCCGGACCACCTCGGCACTGTGGAAAGTGAGGCCCAGCTGAGTGCCGGTAAACAGTCGTCTAAATCCAGGTATGCGGCTATCCTTTGATCCGTGCAAAAAGAAGAGGCAGTTCTGTTCCAACCGCAAAGCTGATTGCAGAAAAGGGAAAACGGCAATGCATATTTGACTGTTTCCTTTCAGAACGGGCCGACCGAGAGTTAACCACACAAGAGCAGATACGAGTCTGCAGATGTATTCTGTTGCCAAGATTTTGGATGCTGCATGATGGTAGGGTTGGTTAATGCAGTCTTCACGTGGAATCCTTGGAGGTGAGAGAGGCTGGATGCACGAGCTTTCATGATGTGCATGCGGTGATTTCTGATTGGATGATTGTTAAAATGGGCAAGAAGATGGCTAGCTAGCATCGATACCAAAAGCTGAGATCTGAGCCCAAAGATGTGATTGTGGAAGTCAGAGGCATGAATGCAACGCCGTCCCATGTACTAGAGTGTAGAGGGTCGTTACGATCATGATATACTGTATCAAGAAAGAGAGGCCAAGAGCAGAGGGAGATTGCTCTGTCTGTGCACGCAGACCCTGTTTGTTCCAGCCTCCCAGCCCGTCGGAGAGCTTGCCGCGTCCTGGATGGACTCGACTCGTGTAGTAGGTCTTTTTGAAAGAGATGGAGACGGTCAAGACAAGGTGGGTGTAGAGAAAGGTAACTTGACACGCCATGTGATGGTTGCAGTGTGTTAGTGCGTGACGGCTAGTCTTTATGGCAACCGGTCACGTCGCCGTCGCCGTCGCCGTAGGAGCCAAGTCATTCATAGGTTTCGGTCAAGAGTAGTACGAGGGCAAAGGGTTTATCAAATTTGGTTGTCTGCGGCCTCGCAGCACCAGCACTTTTGACTGTTTCGAAGTCTCCAACGTTTCAACCGTCATACATACAGTCCTACAGAGCCTCGTGCTGCGGGCTTGACTTTCACCTCTGCCTCTCTGGCCTTGCGCTGCTTCTGCGACTGCGACAGCGACGTGGGCTCTGAGGAGATAGCACAATTCTCCATATCGGCGCATCCTTTTGTTCCCTCGTCCCTTCCTTCCTTGCTTGCGTCCTTGCCGTTGCTCCTGCTCCCATGCATAGAGAGCCCGGGCGTCCCACATCATGGACACTGAGGATGGCCACCAATTCATNAAAGGTAAGTGTTTGCACGCAATTGCGAAATCCCTGGTCGCCGACTCACGCATACCTCCTCAGCATCTCGCCTACTTCGTGCGGACGCACGAAAAGGCCCTGGCCAACGCGCTGCAACTGCAGAGGCGCGGATCTCAAAATGTCACCTCCCCTCTTTCCGCCACGGCCATNGAGCCCCCTGCCGCTCCCTCTGCCTCGTCGTCTACCTCTTCGGCAAACACCTTCGCTGCCGCTCTATCGCTTCCTTATCTCAGCTTCACCTCTCAGACCGTCAAACCCGTCAAGTTGACCCTGACTACACATCACCTCTTCTACCTGTTGACTCGATTCGAAGAGCTGGGTATCAATGTCGGGCCCATGACCATCCGCCTTGAGAATATCCATAACGACGTCGCCCCTGGAAACTATGTCTCCTTTCTCTCGGCTCCAAAGTCTCGCGGTCGCGCCTCGGATGCCGATTCGGTTCGATCCTCGTCAAGCGTACGGAGTGTTATGTCCACCATGTCGAGCATGTGGTCGCACTTCAACCTCAGCGGACAGTCGAACAAGGAGGAAAAGCAAAAGGCAGCCGAGCTGGAAGACCTTAAATACCTGTACTCTGCATTCACCAAGATACCATGCCTGCGCCTCTCTCCGGACATTCGCTCCAAACTGATCGCTGGCTATGAAGAGTTTCCCTTTGACACTGCGGTCCCGCTGTTTGCGTTCAAGAATGTGAGCGCTCTGGAGATCTGTGACCTGGACTTTCGCCAACTCTTTGGCTGGGATCGGATGGCCGAGCAGTTGCGCAGTCTTACTGTCAAGCGTGCCAGCATTGACGATCTGGCTGACCTGACTATCAACATTGTCCTGGATGATATGGACAAGCGCCGTCGCAGATCGTCCAAAGCACCCATACCTTCATCCCCGGCTGTAGTATGGCCGTCGGCGAACAATAGTGTCCGGAACGCCGCTGAGTTGGCATCTGCCTCGGTGCCCAATTCGCCAATGGCAGATGGCAGACGACCGTCCATTGGCAGTCCCCAACCCTCGGCTGTGAATATGGCGCGAACTGCATCTTCCGATGGCAAGAGGACCCCTCGCCTGAGGCAGAGGAGTATTTCACCATCAAGACCCGCCAGCTCGCGACACAATTCTTCATATGGCTATGGCCACCATCCACGAAGCGGTACACCCAAGTTTAGACGGGAATCTGGTAGCTCAGGCTCAAGTGTCCATTCAAGCACACCGCGGAATAGTACTTCTAACCTCCTCGCCTTGGGCATCGTCCCTGCGTCTAAGTGGCGCTTCCTGCGTCACCTCAGTCTTGCTGACAACGGCTTGACATTCATAACAACCCATAGTCTTGCTCCACTAGCCCAGACGTTGCACTCGCTCGACCTCTCATCAAACCTCCTTACTGAGATTCCCGAGAGTCTTGCCTCATTGACCAACTTGAGAGCGCTCAACCTCTCCAACTGCATGATCGACAGCTTGCACTCTCTTCTCCGAAATCCGCTTCCCGCCATCACTACTCTGAACCTGAGATCCAATCGGCTTACCTCGCTTGCTGGTATCGAACGCCTATTCTCCCTTGAACGTGTCGACTTGCGCGACAACAAATTGACGGATCCTACTGAGCTTGCACGACTTACAAGGATGCCTGAGATGCAAGACATCTACGTTGCAAAGAATCCATTTGTTCGAACACACTCTAGTTACAGGGTGACAATTTTCAACCTCTTCCGAGCAACACCAGGCTATACTGAAGATGTCAAGATCGATTCTACCGGCCCATCGTACAGCGAGCGGAGGCAATTGGTGGACCGCGCGCCAGAACCACCACAGGCTCCTGTAGCACCTCCTGTACTTGAAGACGAGCGGTCCGATGATGCGTTGAACATGCCGGATCTCGGGGAACAATCACGATATGCAGCTACAGAATTCGCTCGGGGATCAACAAGGTCAGTCAGCAATTACTCGACTGCGTCACAAAGAAGAAAGAAGGGAACACGGAGAATTGTCGAATTATCACACGAGATGGGCTCTGAGCAGTCTACTCAGGCCGATGCACCACCTTCACCACGGGCGGTTGTTAAAGCACCAACTTCACCAGAGGAACAACGGTTTGTGCGGGCGATGTCCTCACCACCTCGATTGCCGCCGTTGGACACGGGAGCTTCGAGCATGTCGATGGAAGGATTTACAACATCGACCGAAGAAGACGAAGATATTGGCGTCAACAGTAATGCTTATCGACAAAAGATTGAGACTTTGAAGAGCGACCTCGGCAATGGCTGGCTGACGGCTTTGAGTGAAGACATGAAGAAAGGTACAGAACGAGAATACAATGCTAGACCGTCAATGGGAGGGCAACGAACGGACAGTCGAGAAGTGACGGTTGGAGGCAGGAGGTTGGGTTGAAGGAATGTCAGTTTTTGATGGCGTTTTTGTTGTTGTATAGCGAATGATGGGATTCTGGACATGGCCCAGCGGGATGATATGATGGGCACCTACAAAGGCATAGCGAAGGCGTACAGGAAAAGGTAGATACCTCATGGGAGAATAACCATTTTATTGTTATCATGTTGTGATGATTGGTGTCGATGGACACGTGATGGGGTTTGTAACAGCAAGCGTGAAAGCCAGAGACTGGACGACGGTGTCTGTTGGACGCAAGACGGCAAGAGGGTATTGCAATGGATAGATTGCACCAGGCTAGGTGTTCTTGGACAGCCAAAAGACGCGCACGTCGCCAGGCAAAGTGGACACTGGGCGGAGATGGACCAAATTGTTTTTTTGGCAGTTGCAAGACTGGAGCAGGGCACGGCCTTCTGGCTTCCGGCTTGGGCTTTGGATCCAACTTCTCCCTGCCGCAGAACGCTGGGACTTCTCTGCCTGTCTACGCATCAAACACACAACGACACAAGTGCTGTCACGACCTCCAACAACCACAAAAAGGTACGTCGACTATTGCACGCCTCTGCCAGTGCCTTGTTCTGCACCCTGCGCCGCCCGCCGTCCATGGCCATGTCGCAGGCTGTCGATGCGAGCGCTCCTTCCTGCCCCGTCTCATCCTCGTCCTCACGCCCGCCAACACCTCGCTGACCACGATCTCTACAAACAGCTGCGCTGAATACGCCTTGATCCCAGAAAATTCTCTTCCAATTTTCATCGCTCGATAATTCCTGTCGCGCTTCTCCCGCAGCCACAGCGCTCTAAACAGCCTGTTTCCACCAACGATCTGGTCTTCAGCCAAACAATCTCCAGCGCCTACATCGATTCTCCTCCGACATTGTCCCTTTGTCGCCCGTTGCTGAACGCGTTTCGTCATCCGACACGGCCAACTCAACACCTCGCCTCCGCACCGGTCAACATCAAGGCTCCATACACCACCTTTGTTGCACCCGAGGTCGCCCCTAACTACATCTGTGCCACACGTGTAGCCCCATCTACCAGCAAAGCATCGGAACATCCATTGAGCGCGAACAAGAGCCCCGGCGCTCGGCGAGAGACTTTTAATTTTCCCCTCCTTCTTCCTGTAGAGCTTTCGTAATGGCGGACCAACAAGACGTCGATCTCGACTCCATCATCGACAGACTCCTCGAGGTCCGCGGTAGCAGACCCGGCAAGCAGGTCCAGCTTCTCGAGACCGAGATCCGCTACCTCTGCACCAGAGCTCGCGAGATTTTCATTTCCCAGCCTATTCTCCTCGAGCTTGAGGCTCCCATCAAGGTAGCCATGTTCTCTCACTCCAATTCTGCTCTTCTCTGACCCTTTCCANNGATCTGTGGTGATATCCACGGCCAATACTACGATCTCCTGCGTCTGTTCGAGTACGGCGGNTTTCCCCCTGAGGCCAACTACCTCTTCCTCGGTGACTACGTCGACCGTGGCAAGCAGTCGCTCGAGACCATCTGCCTGCTTCTCGCCTACAAGATCAAGTACCCCGAGAACTTCTTCATCCTGCGCGGCAACCACGAGTGTGCCTCGATCAACCGCATCTACGGTTTCTACGATGAGTGCAAGAGAAGATACAACATCAAGCTTTGGAAGACCTTCACCGACTGCTTCAACTGCCTGCCTATTGCTGCCATCATTGACGAGAAGATCTTCACCATGCACGGTGGTTTGAGTCCCGACCTCAACTCGATGGAGCAGATCAGACGTGTCATGCGCCCTACTGATGTATGTCCATACGCCTTTTCATTGCCCATTCCGTGCTGACCAGACTGCTCTAGNATTCCCGACTGCGGTCTCCTTTGCGATCTTCTGTGGTCCGATCCCGACAAGGATATCACCGGATGGAGCGAAAACGACCGTGGTGTATCGTTCACCTTCGGACCCGATGTCGTATCGCGTTTCCTGCAAAAGCACGACATGGACCTCATCTGCCGTGCTCACCAAGTCGTCGAAGATGGTTACGAGTTCTTCTCAAAACGCCAGCTCGTAACCTTGTTCAGTGCTCCCAACTACTGTGGAGAGTTTGACAATGCCGGTGCCATGATGAGCGTCGACGAGAGCTTGCTGTGCTCGTTCCAGATTCTCAAGCCAGCAGAGAAGAAGCAGAAGTACGCACCTCCCCAAACCCCTCTCCTTGTTATTACATCCTCAATACTGACTTGAATGCGTACAGCAGGTTCGGCCGCAGATAGTGGGACATTGACGAGAAAAGGCAATCCTGTCCACTAGCAGCACATTACATACAGCGCGGTTATCTTTGCATTCACTTTCCTCTACGCTCCACCGGATCCTCGCCTTTTTATATCATGTCATGGTGATGGTTGCTCTTTGTGCAGTTCTCAATGCCAGCCGTGACGAATGGACAACCCGAGCGGAAACAGAGGAGCCAAGAGGGAGAAGAAAGATGAAGGAGTCTTTGAGAGAGGAAACCGATGATAACATGGCCCCTGGCCCCAAACTGATACAGATACACTTCTTCTCTCCACCCACAGACAGACTCCTCTAGTCGAGAACTCCGCGACTCGGAGCCGAGTCTGCTGTTGGGAGATGGAGGTACAGTTCTGTTGCGCATCTGGGTGGGAAAAAGGACACTTTTTTTTTTTGGAATGACCCCCTCGGTTCATTTTTCTTGTTGCTGTTGCTAATCATACGCGCGCGCTCTCACGTCGTTTTTTGTTATTTTGAATGTCATGGAGCTTTACTCTTTTTTTGTTTTCCTTTTTCTCCAAATCTTTTTACTGACCTGTGGTTCGTCTCTTAGGACTTTCTCCCAGAGCCTGTGATCCACAATGCGCGTATGGCGTATCGGTATTGTCAAAAGTTGTACCACCACGTGAAGGCGATGTAGAGACGGTTAGAGTAAGTATCGATCAAGCTTGGCTTTGTGAGAGATGGGTAAGCACACGCGATATTTGCAAGTTACGAGAAGGCTAGCTTTCGACTTACCTTTTCGAGTGAGAGACATGAGAGTTTGCAAAGGCTTTGCTCGTGTTCATCTTGTTTTCCCCATGTTCTGTTTCTTTTTGTCGTTTTGAGTCTTTGTCTCTTTGTGGTACAGACCTCCTCAAGCTTTGTGGATCATGATCATCCTCTTGTTTACAATCTTGTGTCTTGCTGATCGTGGCTTGCTGCTTAGTCGGCGTTCTTCAGACCACAAATTAAATGAAGAAAAGGAAAAAGAAAAGAATGACCAGGTGGAGGTTTGCCGGTGGGAGCTGCTACTCGTGTGCCGGTCACTTTGAAGGAGTGTTCGTTTTCAAGGTTAAAATGTGCATTTGTTTAATTTTTATAGATGAATTTGGTATCATGCAGAAGAGACTTTTCGCTTTTCTCAATATTACTCCCAAAGCCAGCACTCTTGTACAAACGCCGGATACGCCATGTCCTTTCTCCCTCCTGAAACAAAGAAAAGATGCTATGTGACAAAACAGAAGAAGAAGAAGAGATAGCTTACTGCTCCGTCTGCAAGACCATTTTTTCTCTCTCGCTCCTTCTCTTTGTATCGCCCTTGCTGCTGTGCTTCCTCTCGTTTTCTTCTCTGCGTCTGATGGCCTTGAGCTCTTCGCCCTTGATCTCGGATGCCTTTTTGACTTGCTTGGGCAAATGCCTGTGACGGTGGATCCGCCTGATCTCGGGCATGTGCTTGTATCTCTCCACCAGTGCTCTGTCGTATTCAAGCTGCTGTCTCTGTCTCGCACTCTTGACTCCTTGACGCTCAGAGGCACGCGCGCGCCATAAGCGAATATTGCCGTCGTCACTGCCGGACAGAATGTAATTGTTGTCCGGCGTCCAGGCGGCGGAGAAGACGCGCTGCATGCGCTTCGTGTGGTAAACATCCCTGCTGTGGCCTTCGTTGCGCTTCCAGAGACGCACGCTGCGGTCGTAGGATGCAGAAACCAATTCTTCGCCTGTGGNGGAGAATTCCACGTCCATGACTGCGGCGACGTGGTCTTTGAGGACGTTGAGGGCGCGCTTGAGGTTGCGCATGTCGAAAATGTAAATGTTGTGGTCTTCGTTTGCGACGGCGAGGTTGAAGGCTTCCATGGGGTTCCAGGAGATTGCGTTGGAGGCGAGGGTGAGGACGGATTTGTGCAGCGGGGAAGAAGTGCGCATGTCGTAGAAAATGAGGGAGCGGTCGGTGGCTGTGGAAGCGAGGATGGAGGTTTCGGTCTGGTTGAACTTGAGGGCGGTGATGGTGTCGATGCTGTTGGGCCATTGTAGCGTCTGCAGCGGTGCAGAGTTTGGTCTGTTCAGATCGTAGATGCTGATGACCGAGGAAGCGGCGGCCACGGCGGGTTCGGTGCGGTGCTTTGTGATGGAGGTGAAGGCGGCAGGGCCCAGGTATGTCGACAGCGGTGCGGCGTTCGAGGCCTGGTTGTAGGGGTCGTACATCTTGATGCTCCTGTCGCTGCCGCACGAAAGTAACTTCTTGTCGTGTGTCCAGCACATGCTCTTGACTATGTTCTCGTGCGCTTGTGCCTGCCAGATCTCTTCTCTCGTCGTCAAGTCCCACACCTTGACCACACCGTCACCACTGCCCGAGGCAAATCTCTCGAGCGAGTTGGGGTCCTTGGCCATGGTGTAGACTCCGTCGACGTGACCGCGGCCCAGCTGAGCCAGAAAGGGCTGGGCAAACATGCGGTCCATCTTGGTCGCATTCAGGGCTCTGGTGTACTCGCGTGCTCGTTCGAAAGGGTGTAGTGCCGGGTCCAGGTTGCGAGTCTGGCGCTGCACCGAAGTGCCTGGCGTCTGCTGCTGCGACGCAGTGCGAGTGAGGGCCTTGATTTTCTGTACAGTCGCGTGTCAGTCTGGGTTTTCATCGTGGAGGCAGATGAAGATTGAAGCATGTTCACAGAACAGCCTCGACATCTCCACACGGCCAGCGAGGAAGAATTTACATACCATGATGAAGGCTGCACTGGTCAAGTTCAGTCGCCGAATCTTCAATCTCCAAAAAGTTGTCGCCGCTGCAGTTTCTCCGCATTCTTGGCGCCTTCACATGTTTGACAGGGTCACTCTCGATGTTTGATCAAAATACTCATGTTCTTCATCGTTATTTTTCATGTACTGTTGGCTGTTCTCATCGACGACCTTGGATCTCGCTGTCGCTGGTCTCTGTCGAGACTTCACGCACGAAGCGTTCCCTCTCATCCTCCGAGTCGCAGAGATCAACAAAGCCTTCATCTACGGCCTTGCTTCTTGATCCACTGGCCTTGACTTGCTCAATCACCTCGTAGCCCAATGCCCCTGTCCTCCATGCTGTGCCGCAACTATCACACTCAATCGTCTGAGTTCTCGGGCTGATGGTCGCCATCTTTCCACAGCGGAAGCAATCGATGTCGGCTCGCTCTTTGGCCCAATCCCGGATACGATCTGGAATGCGCTTCGATAACCATGTTTCTGGAGCTTCATAGTCGTCTGGCAGAGGAATGAATCCACAGTCGAGGCCACAAGGCTCTGCTGTCTGGAGACCGGACTTGCGATTTTGCTTCTTACGACGCCTGAAAGATCTCAGCGCTTTGTCTTGGAATCTCTGAGCCTTCTCCCTGTCTGCTTCAGCATCAGGGCGGTATGGACCTTCATAGTTCGGTCCTTGGACTACTTGTCGGAAAGGCATGGTTCCTGCTGGCTTGACCTCGAGTGCTAGAACGTCTAGCATCTTTTGACAGTTCAAGAGTACTGGACCAGGTTCGTCTTGCAGAGGTGCCTCCTCCACGCTGAACTTCGTGGTCTTTCTGTCAAACTTGGCTCCGTCATTGCCAACAGAGAGCAGGTTCAACCGAGTCGCGTCCTCTCCGATCAACAGGTGAGAGAAGTCTGGACTAAATGCGCCGGACATGACGGCTGAGTTGAGGTGAACCACGTCGCGAACATGTTTGTCAGAATCACCCCGGTAGGGGTCCCAGCAAGCCACCACTCCGTCAGACGATCCGGTGTACAACCGATCACGTTCAGTGCCCCAGGATAAGAACCGGATGCCAGTGTCGACTTCCCATCTCCTTCTTTCATGGGGCATAATCGCTAAAGATTCTCCATGTCTAAGAGTATTCAGAGGCAACTGACCGTGTTTGGCATATCGGACGTCCCATATGTAGACTCGGCCTTCGGTACTGCCTACTGCAATCAGATTGTTGTCGTGAGGAGAATACACAACGTCATTGATGTCCCACGCTGGACAGTCGAGTTCCATCGTGTGCTGCGCACGAGTCTGTTGAGGCGAGTACAATCGCACAACCGAGTGTATACTGTGGGCGACATGGCTAATGGGCCTGCTAGCCACAGCAAAGATAGATGAGTTGCTGCTAGGACTTGGGTTCCATGCAAGATCAAAGACATTCCGGTTTGGAGCGTCAGTTTCGATTCTCTGCTGGGTGTTTATATCCCATAATGCAACCTCTCCTTCTTTGTCTCTTCTGTCATCTTCTGCATAGAATACTTCAGCCTCGCGCGAGAAGCCTGCTAACAAGTAGTTCTGATGCTGGTGCGCTGCACCCCATCTTAGTGCTGACGGAGTTTTGTTGCTCTGAACTGTGCTAGAGAGGCCAATAGATCCTGTCAAGGTGTCATCTTCATATGAGAAGACCTTGATTGAGTCAGGGCCTGATGTAGCACAACCAGTAGCAACCAATCCACTATTGCTAATGGAAAGAAAGTCCACGGATGCCGGATGTTCCACACTGTGTACAAGTGTAGTTTCATGCGGGGATTCACCACCTCTAAACCTGTGTAGACGCTGATCAATGCCAGCAGAGTACATGTATTTACTGTCAGGACTGAAAGCTACCACTTGCACAGTGGAAAACAGTTCTTTCCGTTGTCCACTAGGCAGCACGTGATTGATGGCATGGTGCGGTAGCTCCTTGATGTTCTGTGTTGCAACATCTCCCACAATGAGGTTTCGAGGCTTGTTGTAGTCAACAGAATGTACGTCCGTAACAGCGACGGCGCCTGCAGCAAATAAATTGCCGTCTGGCGACCATGCGATTGTCGAAACATCACCGGAGGCGTTGTCCATATAGGCTTGGGCACCCATGCTGCTGTACACAAGATCCCTAACTCCCGCTTGGAACTTTCTTGGCCATTCTCGGCCGTGTCTAGCTCCGAGTTCTCGATGTCGAACGAGATAGTTCAGGGGCTTCACGCTGCGCCTGCAGCGATTCGAATCGTCTTCCACAGCCTCGGCTTCTTCTTTTTCTTCTTGAGACGCTACAGAAGGATCCACGGAGTCTGCTTGAGCTTGTGCTCTGTGCCTGAGTCCTCGAGTGAGACGAGGCAATGATTTATTGAGGAATTGTTGAGTAGAAGAAATCGTGGCAACTGGCTTTGAAGTGCGTTTAGACAGAACTTTGGAGTACCTTGTTTGCATAGAAGGCCACTTCCTTCCAGGAAAAAGGTGTTCAAATTCTTTCCACGGAATACCGACGGCCTCTTTTAAATGTACGACCAAGGCATCTTCCTCCATGGTGAACGGCTGTCCGTATCTGTTGCTGAATGGCGGGATCTTGGATATGTCTGCCGGGAAGGTATACGGTTGTTGGTCGTCTTCGACGGACCCGACAACGCCGTCATCGAGGGGACCGACAGCGTCGTCTTCAAATGGTATTTCATCTGGCTGCTTTGTGGCTGCAGAGAGGCGGGTGCTTCGAACGCGCTTTACTGGTTCTTCATCGTCAAGTTCCACAAGCTTCCTCTTGCCTGCGCGTGGTGAGTTGGAAGAAGAGTCAAGACCTAGTGATCTTGGACTGGCGGCAGCAGCAGTCACGAAGTCGTCTTCACTTGAGGATTCGATTTCAATACAGGTGGTGTGCAGAACAGGCTTCTGTCCGGAAAGCGATTGTTGATGCGACGGTGATGGCACTGGGTTGATCGAAGACGGTGGCATTTTTGGACTCGCACGCAATGCTACTGGCTCTTTGCGTGGTTGTGGAAGTGTATGCGAGGACGAATTTGCTGTTAGAGACGACAATGGTTTTGATAGCATGGCAGGGTTTCTGGAGGAAGGTACGTTGAGTGACGACGATTCTTCGCTTGATAATGGCGGTATGCTGCCGCTAGCGCGGCCATGGTCGGTACCATTCACTTTACCACTTTCCTTTATGGCATCTCTCAACAAATCTCTGGAAGGTGCGTTCACAGACGATGCAAGACTCGGCGCTAAAGCAGATGTTTGCGATTGCCTTGTAGGCTGTGTAGACTGCGACTGCGAGGCTGCGGAACCCAGAGAATGTCTTGCATTGACCGGCACTGGAGTATTTGATCTGAGAGTGTGTAGTTGAGAATCGTGTGGTCGGGGGCCATGCCGCAGGGGAGCCTGACTATGTAGTGCTGGCGAAGGCCTCGGGGTTTGCGGTTGCGATGATGGAACCTGTCTACTAGGGGCTAGTGGCCTTGCGCCAGGTGGGAGGGTTGGTGTCAAGTTCGTCGAAGATGCAAAATTACGAGACTTTGAGAGAGCAGCGAGAAACTCTCTTGTCGAGGGGTTTGTTATCGACACAGGATTGTTGTTGCTAGCTTGCGTGGGCACGAGAGATGCTGGGTGCTGCGCAGGAGAATTAGGTGCAGGCGGATGGGTCCTTCTTAGTTGTGCCAGAGGTTGTGCCAGAGGTTGTTCTACTGCAGGTGGTTGGGATGGACGAGCAGTTCCAGCTTGTACGAAAGGTTGCTTGGGTGGACGAGCAGTTCCAGCTCGTGCGAAGGGTTGCTGGGGTGGACGAGTACTTCCAACTCGTGTAGGAGGTTGTTGAGGCGGTCGATTGCCAGAAGGCGATTGTGAAGCAGTCTTCTTAGCATCATTGTTCCTCGACTCTTGGACGCTGGGTCTGGTGATTGAAGAGTGACCGACATTGGGCTTCTGGGTGATGTTCGACGGGCCTTTGTCATTGGCTTGTTTGCGGAAACCCCAATCAAGGATCTGCACCTCGTCGTCGCTGTCGTCGGAAGGCGTTATGAATCGTGAATCTGAGACGGGTTGCTGTATGTGTCGCATGCTCTGCGACATGGGCGGCGGTGACGGGCTGTCGTCGTTGCTGAAGTCGATGACCACACGGCCTCGTTGCGGCATCGTAACAATAGCAGGATCTGCCAGATGTGCTCCTCATTGCCGTAAAGAAAAAGCCATCTATCAGCTCGCTTCGACGAGTCAAACTGAGTAAAGGTGTTGGTTGTGAATTGCGAGAAGACGCGTTGTGGAGAGATGACGCGCACGCGACAGATCACTTTCAATTATTCTCAATACTGCATATTGATGTAGTGGTCTTGCTTGTGGGACCAGTCGAAGAGGCAGGCAGTTATGTATCTCTTGTACTGCAGTTCAAAGTCCTATTTCCTCCCATGGGCTCACATCATTCAAGATGCATCCATCTATCAATTGTCTTCTGCTTTCACACAGTCTTCTTAGACGACCATTTCCTTCTCTGACTCTCGCTACCATTGGAAGCGGGTCATTAGTGTCACTGTGACCTTGTCCTTCCCTTTCTGCTTCGAGTCTGGTAGATGATGCAGTGGCTGCTAGCACTTCTTCACCGTTCAGGCCTTGCACATTCGAGGGATTCGAGGCATCATCGTTCATTCCATCTGCTTCCACCTCTCTGATCGCTGTATAGCGAGGAAGATCGTGCAGCGTATCGCAAAGCTTAGACATCGCGTCTTGTCATCCTATCGACAAGCCGCAGCTTCACGAACTCATACCAGTAGCTTTTCCAATCCTTCTCTTGAGCGACTCTATCGTGTCTTGTGTTGTCTTGCCCTTCTCTTTCTCATCTCGGTTGATGCGAACAACTGCTGCAGACCCTCCAATGAACAAGGCAAAGACTGGGTCGAGGTNTCCTGTCGGATCCCATCAGTCACCAATGTTCTTCGTGCAGCCAGGGCGGGACACTACTGACTTGGAGATGATGTAGGCGTAGCGTGGGGCAGACATGGTGATTGGTCTGGGGTGACCGTATCTTGACGTATCGCTGCTAAGAGAAGATCTTGATGCTGAAGATAATGGCACACAGTAGTATGGTGCTTCGCAAGGTTTCTGGATGCAGTTGGACTGGACTTGACGGAGTTCTGCAGACGGTCAGTTTGGCTTCGGGACCGGCCCGTTCGAACTGTCGCATGACGCGCTAAGTCACGAAACCGGAGATAAGGCCCATATCGCCCAGATAAGGCAGGTACATTCATCACCCTGATGGACATCGTCACCTCCATGTGTTGATGATCTGCCTATCTCGGACGCGTTTTGGTTGAGTGACAATAAAAGAGAGTCCAATGTTGCCGCAGAGCGAGTCTCACGTCTACTATCACAATCACAAGTAATGATATATCACAGCGAGGTGAGCAGGTTCATGGTGTGTTATAAGGGCTTTCATTCAAAGCATGTGCGTATAAGCAGCTAAACGGAGGACGGGGTTGTTTGAGCGGTCGTGGTTCTTGATGAGCTCTGTCGAGATGACGAGCTACTGCATTGTCCTGCTTGTTCCGTCGCTGCGATTGCAATCCTCCCTCAAATCATCCTTCTCCATCGTGGTTCCCAAAGACTCCGAAACTCCTGGTGATCCGTGTAAGGATATCGTCGTGGCATTATGGTAAGAAAAGAGAGTCGAGGGTGCTTCAAGCGGCTTCGCCGAAGGTGTTCTCGCCCGAGTAGCTGCATGCTGTGTAAGCTCTTGTCTTGTAATGATGAAATCGAGTCACATACGTGATGTAGAGGAAACCGTCCTCGTCCTTGTGCTCTTCGTAGATGCTGCTCATGAGGGCGGCGGTTGGGGGCAGAACCTCGTCGACGAAGATGAAGATGGCCTTCTCAGGCGAAAGCTTGATGCGCTTACGGATCACGTAGACGAACTGTCCGACGGTGAGATCGCTGGGGACCAGGTACTTCTTCTTGTCGATGGTGGCGATGTCCGACTTCTCAACCTTCTCGCAGATGACNNCTGTGTTGCCACGACGTCAGTGTTGACTCCAGCGTCGCGACGGATGGGGGACAAGGCTTACAGGGATACGGTCTGTGTACTTCTGGCGGATGCGCTCGGCTTCGGNCCTACAGAGGGTCAGTATCGCGATAGTTTTTGAGACCGTGGTGATGGCGGAGCAACGCACCTTGCGCTTCTCGAAGCTGTGATGGCGTGTTAGTCGTGACGTTCCTTGACCGCCTTGATGCTAGGCAACGACTTACGGGTGCTCGTCCTTGAACTTGGATCTCATTTTGATGGTTTGTGGTGGAGTGTTTGTGGTGAGGATGTAGCTGGCTGAAGTCGAAGGGATGTAAAGTCGCTAGGTTTGTGAAGGTGTTGGCGAAGAAGGGAAGGAGGAGGGATAGTCAGGCGCAGGCTGCGATGACCAATGAGTCGGATGCGGGGTGGAGCACAGACGGAGCGAACGGTCGGTCACAAGCGTCAAGCTCCGTGTCTTATCTCCAACACAAAGACACCTGCCGCAAGTGAAAGAATGACTCAACGAACGCATCAGTGAGGACAAAGGCACGTATGAACATGGCTTGTGTAGGATGATGCAAGAAGGAGAAAATCACACGACATGATCGGTATAGGTATCATCTGTTGAACTCCATCATGCACCGCAACGCCATGGTAACCCCAGATAGCCTCGAGATAGCCTCCAAACAAACTCCTCATAATACCTCCTCCTGATTCGCATCACCCCATCCGTCACTCCTCAGCTACAATGTTGCGGTAGGGAAGTAGTACTGATCCCAGAGGAACTCATAATCTTCGATGATACCACCAGCCATGTCAAGCAGTGGTTTGTTTCGCAGCTTGTTGGTCACTGAGTGAATCCACGCNNTCTGTTTCGTTCGTGTCAGTAGAGTCAGAGTCTCATATGGCAAGGCGGTGTGAACATACTTGGTGAAGGTCTCGTAAAATGCACCTCTCATGAGCCACCATCCAAGGCTCCAGCCCCTTCTCTTCAGTTCTTCTTTCTCTAATGCGGTCAATGCTCGGAGACCACCGGCTCTTCGTTCTTGGAGATCCTTCTTGGCTAGTTGGCGTGCGCCATACTCTATCGTGACGCCCAAGACCCAAGGCTGCCAGCTCTTCTTGTTCTTCGTCGCCCAATAATGCATTGCTGCAGCATAGATGACTGGTCGGAGAATGTAGAGAACCTCTGCCAATTCACCCATACCGTTGACCCGATGTAACAAGGCCTTTGGTGGCTTGATGTCGTCCGCTGTCAGAGCTTTGGACAATAGATAACCTGATATGTCGGACGAGGACGGCAGCGTTGGTAGCGAAAGTCCAGTCCTGGGCATTGTCCATTGTGTCTCTTCAGACTTTTCAGACGGTGGTGACTCTAGTCCGCTTGCGTCCTTCTCTTCCAAGGTGCTTGGATCTGCCTCACGTTCGGGCAAGGGTGGATTCAACAAGGGCCGGGAGTTGGTCAGGCGCATGAGAAGTAGTCTGCACAGCGCCTTGACGCTCTCGAGCAGAACGACTACTTTCCATCTCGCCTTTTCGCCCCTTCTCTTTGCAGCCATCTCGCACAGTAGCTCCGTGTATTGCACCACCTGCAGAAGCATGGCTAATCGTTTATATGCTGGTGATTTTTGTGCCCAGAACCGAGTATAGCGAGTATGTGGTGATGGATGGGGTCGTTGAAGCGCCGGTAAACGCTGCAGCGCGCGTGCGAGGAGGGAGTCATGGTATATGGAAAGAAGTTGTACGCTCGAATGCACTATGCGCCTGGTTCAGTTCTTGTAACAATATCAGGGGAACAGCTGGTTCTTCATACAGGATTCGGATGCAATTTCGGTGTCGCGGAAACGACNCTGACACATGTCAGCCTTTGGTTTCATGGATCAACGAGCATCAGTACCTGGTAGAATATAGGTCAGGGAGCGCAAAGCACCCTCGATCTGGCCAACGGCACTGGCATTCTTGGTTACAAAGTCGCCATACATGCGCAGATACTTGGGAGGGATAGCAAGCGCTTCCTGTGTCGTATGCGACACTTGCCTATACAACTCCATGGGCTCGGAGCAGATCTCACATCAGTGATCTGTTTCAGGAGAAAAACAGGGAGCTGGTATGCGACGGCCGACGCGGTGATGCGCTCTGTGGAGAAGCCTCGGCATACCCCAGCCTTGGCCCTGGATCATCGAACCCTCAAGCTGTTCTACAAGCAAACTCATCCTGCCTTTTCACACTCCCACACCGACGCGTTAGCTGCTCGAGGTACTGTCGTTCATGGACTATCAAAACATGTACTCGTCTTTCGGGGACGAGTCTGCTGCTCAGAATCCCTCGGACAATCCTGCCAGCTCAACCCCCAATTTCATGCAATTTGTGCTATCGTCTTTTCCTAATCTCGCCCATCCTGGTCCCGCTCACCAACCAAACTCTTCCGCGGCGACTGCTCAGAGACCGTTCCTAACGTAAGTCTATACAGTCCACGCGTTTCTAAAGTCCAGCCATGGTGATTTGTGACAAGGNCCTGCCAACTCCAACAACCAAATCACACAAAGCCCTGTGCACCAACCTTCCCCGACCGCGTCCAATGAACGTTCCACTACCACTTGGACCGAAGCAGAATGGCAGAAAGTCTACAGGTAAACCAAATCTGACAACAATCCTTAGAATACTATATTCATCTATTATCACAGCAACACACCCGATGGCGTTGCCGAACTACGTGCACGATGGGAGGCCGACTTGAGCCGTACTGAACTACCTCCTCCGCCACCTGAAGTGCATGCTACCAAACAAGAAGGCATTGATGTCAGGTTTCATCTCGACCCAAGTCATAATCGACCATGCTAACGATCAACCAGNGCTGTAAAGAACTTTGCAAAGGATCATGGTTATGTTCTGGTCATCGGTCATTCATACAAGGACAAGGTGAGCATTTTTGTTTTATTCTGTTACAACTCATTCTTCTCCATCCTAGGCCTGATGTGTTCTGACACCCCTTGCCCTGCTTTAGTTTGCTGCAGTACTGTTTTAAACAAGTATCCCAATTATGCTCTTACAATTGACTAACTTGAGCTCCCANNGAATGGCGAAACAAACAAGGTCTTGTTGACCTGTGAAATGGGCGGTTACTTTCGCGACCATTTCAAAAAGAATCCAGGAACCAGAGTGCGTAACCGCATGAGTCGAAAGACTGGGTGTCCAATGAAGATTCTCATCTCCAAGCGACGTTTCTCTGACGAGTGGGTAACGGTCATCAAGGATCACAAGCACAACCACGGTGCCTACAGGGCCAAGGTGACACTTACTGCTTCGAAAATGCCCGAACTAGAGGATGCTTTGCATGAATGGCACATGGCCGAGATTGCAAGGGGCGAGGCGGTGCACGGAAACACACTCAAAGCCAGGGCACTGGCAATGTATGCCGAGATGCCACAATATCGCGGCAAGTCTCCGCCAAACCTCGACAGAGACTGGCTCGATCAATACCGTATGCGCTACAATCTGCCCGGCAAGGTAACGAGGCCACCGATACCAGGCATTGTTAGAGGTCCCAACAACCCAGAGCCTACACCAATCAATGTCGAAGATCAAATTCCTCTGGAGCCTCCAGCTTTTGCCGACTTGGAAGGAATCTTTCCATTGGAGCAGAACCTCTTCTGGCCCACCAAGCAGTTTGTCCAGGAGTACATGTCCCGCTACGACGCCTCGCACGACTTCAAGCACGTCACACGAGTCTTTGCCCTATCAAGACGCATTCTGGAACAGGAGACACAGTCGTTCCAAGGAGTTTCGTACGATCCACAAGCCGTTCTCCTTGCTGCTATGCTGCACGACGTCGGTGATCACAAATATCACAAACCTGGTGAGAATCCAGAGAATCAGATTGCGGAACACCTTCTGGAGCATGGAGCAAATCCCGAGCTTGCGATGAAGGTTCAACTTATCGCTAAGAATGTATCATTCTCCAATGAGGTCAAGAACCCGCGTATGATGAAAGCGGTGCTAGACCAGCATCCGGAGCTGGCCATTGTACAAGATGCCGACAGGCTGGATGCGATTGGTGCGGTGGGTATTGGAAGGTGCTTTGCTTTCGGTGCAGTAAAGCAGTCAGACAGGGGATTGGATGGAAGCATAGAGCATTTCGTCGAGAAGCTCGAGAGGCTTGAGAATATGATGAAGGTTGGTGCTTTGCCTAGAGATATTGTGTTACACGACTGACAAGACACANNGACACATTCCGGACGCGAGCTGGCTAGAGAAAGAACACAGCGACTACAGATCTTCAGACAATGGTGGGATGAGGAGACGTCGATGCAGATTTGAGACGCTCAAAAGGATACGGTCAGGTGGAAGGAGGCGTCTTTGAGGCTGTGGTTTGCATCAGATACCCGTTAGCATTAGTATGCAGTGTACACCGACAGAAGCATTTCCTATGGCTTCTCTCGTGTGAAAAGAATGAATGATTTTATGTACGAAGCCACAGAGTTGTTCGGCGCGTACAAAGTGAAGAGGATGGCAAGCTCCCAAACAAACGCCAAGAGTTCGGAGATGGTCCAGATGGGAGCTTCGTTGCGTTGCCATCGTCAGTCGTCAGTCGTCATCGCTCTTAATCGCATCCACGCATTCCAACTCACTCGCCTGCCTGTAATTCATCTCGTACATCTCTCCGACGACATTGCACATACATTACGCCATGCCGTCAACTACCGCAGAAACACTCTCGCTCGTCAACAGGAATGTGTCAGTAGCGCCATTAGTGTTGCTCTCGGCGACAGATCACTATGCTCGTTCAGCAAAGGGCACACGCAAGCGAGTCGTCGGTGTGCTGCTGGGGCAGAATGATGGAAAGAATGTGAGGGTGTCAAACAGTTTCGCTGGTACGTTGCCACTGCTCTGCCATGCGCACGACTTACTGACAGTCGCCTCTCANGTGCCGTTCGAGGAGGATGAAAAGGACCCATCTGTGTGGTTCCTTGACCACAACTACATCGAATCCATGAACGACATGTTCAAGAAGGTCAACGCCCGCGAGAAGCTGATTGGATGGTACCACACTGGCCCCAAGTTGCGCGCCTCGGATTTGGAGATCAACGAGCTGTTCAAGCGCTATACACCCAACCCTCTTCTCGTCATTATCGACGTTCAGCCCAAGGATGTCGGCGTACCAACTGATGCATACTTTGCCGTTGATGAGATCAAGGATGTACGTTTGCGCCGAGAGTCATCCACTCTCTCCACAAGACTTACACACATCGCANNGGACGGAACCACCACCGCAAAGACGTTTGTTCACACACCCTCAACCATCGAAGCAGAAGAAGCAGAAGAAATTGGAGTTGAGCACCTGCTCCGTGATATCCGTGATGTCGCCGTCGGCACTCTCTCGACTCGCGTGACATCGCAGTTGCAGTCGCTGCAAGGCCTGCATCACCGTCTGCAAGACATTGGCAGATACCTCGACAAAGTCGTTGACGAAGAACTCCCTGTCAACCACGCAATCCTCGGCAATCTCCAAGACGTCTTCAACCTTCTTCCCAATCTCTCCACACCCAAGACCGCAGGCGCCATCGGCCTTGCTGGCCCCCAAGCAGCCGGCGACTCCGAGCTTGCCCGTGCCATGAGCATCAAGACCAACGACCAGCTTATGTCCATCTACCTCGGCAGTTTGATCCGCGCCATCACCGCCTTCCACGATCTCATCGAGAATAAGGTCCAGAACAAGCAGCAAGCTGATGACAAGGAGCAAAAGAAGGAGGAGGACAAGACACAAGAGACCATCAAGAAGACCGAGAACCTCATGTTGAATGGCGATGCTCCTGCAGAGCAGCAAGGAAAGGACGACAAGTCTAAGAGCCCCAAGGACGACAAGAAGACGGGATGAAGGACATGAGAACGCATACAGGACATGAAAACATGATGTGTTTTACTTGGTGTCGCTGCGGCTTCGTTGACACGAGAGAGCCAGCGGCGACATCTTGCATGCATTGGGCGTTTGTAATATACGGGAGGAGGGAGGGATACTATCAGAGGACGCATCTGACGCCGGTCGAGCAAAACAACCCCGGGCGTCTTCTTGTCGCAAGGCTTCCAGATAACATGATATGAAAAGCAAATACGCCAATGACTGACCATCTCGTGAAGACTTTGTGCACATATCTCTCTGCTCAACTCTCGGGCTTCTAGCCACCCCACCCTGCAGCCCACCCTGCAAGCTCTTCCACGCTGACCTCCCTCGTCTTGACATAACCCCCGAACGGTCCTCCTCTCTCTGCCAACACGCAAGCTAGTAGATGCTTACACATCGGCACGTCCTTGCCCAAAGACAAGCCACCAACCATCCACTCTTGATCGTCTGCTTCCACAGTTGCATCTTCATCTTCCTCTTGCTCTTCGCTATCAGTAGACGCAGCCGCCGGAAAAGCAGAGAATACAAAGGCAGGACATGAGCAACTCCAACTTGATGTCCTTACTTCGTAATGTGTAGTCGATGCCACCGGATCCCTGAAGCGCGAATTCGACGAGGTTTGTTGTGCTGAACGGACGTAGTAGACTGCATTTTTATGATCTTTTTTCGTCTTGCCACTATCCTTTCCATCGTCTAGAGTAGTAGAGTTGCCTTGGTCCGTGTTCGTGTCTGGCACTTGTTGTGTATCCGTGTCCTGGTTTGGCTCTCGAGATTGTTCTGGGATCGGTGGCGGGACATTGGATTCTGAGATTGGAAGTAGTCGGACGACTAGTTCGCGGTCCAGGAGATCCAGGGCTGACAGCAATTCGTTTGGAAATAGTACATGGAGGGTTAGGAGGACTGATCGATCCGCTGCGGTTGCTTGTTTGAGAGGGTTGGGTATTGGTGTGGTTGCGGTTGTGGTTGTGGTTGATGATGTGTTGAGTGATATGATGAGAGATGTTATGAACGCGCGAGATTGTGGTGGAGTCATGGTTTCTTGAAGGTACCGAAACAGGTTTCGATGAGTTCTTTGCTGAAAGATTATGTTGTTTGATGTTTATGATTGGGTGTTCTGAACATGAATCATGGTCAGAAATCGGTAAAGTCATGTTCAATGAGGTCGGATTCATTTGGACCGCTCAATCGAGCTCCGTGTAGCACCTAAGGATAGACACACGTCACGGGGTGTAGGAGAGTATAGTAACGTTGGAAGCACACGTTTATTGCTAGTCTATAGAGGTAAGGAGGCATGTAGTTGGAGGACGAGTCCTGTGAGCAGGGTTGCTCCCTCAGCACATTGACTTGGCACCTGCCACCTGCGATGTGAGAAATTGCATGAAGACAATCTCGAAGACAAACGCAGAGATGGGTTCTACAAGACGATTGCTAATCCATGTTCGTCATGCGAAGCACAAACGCTGTGAAACACCTCACTGGAGATGTTCCTGTCCATCGTAAATTGCTTCTACGATAATATGCGATTGTGACCGGATCATCTGGCAAAAAGCAGGTTAGCAACCGGTCACCTAGACACCCTGTATAGCTCGGTCAAGCTACATCGGCCGTATACATCGCTTTGGGCTGGGTAGGCGATACAAGGTTAGCACGTAGCCGAGTTGTCCAGATGACAGGCGAGCAACCACATGCTACAGTGGTTCGCTCGCTGTACATGCACACGAGGTCCACGATAAAAGTATGGACGGCCCGCCGCCGGCGCAGGGCACGGATCTGCATGATCTGCAGCAACGACATGTCAGTTGAGGGACCGTAACAACATCTTGCTTCGTCCTCAGCAAAACATGGCGTTTGACAAGGCCAATTGCTGGACAGCAGGTCGTGTTTTGCTTCTTCTCGACCCTGGCGGCGTTCGCTGTCGCTGCCCATACTCAACACGACCAAAAACACGGCTATCCGATGATTACTCGCATCCGCTGCAGTCATGAGCCGAAGACCTGCATGGGCCCTGCTGTCTGCTGCAAAGAACCGTGCAGATGATCACGACTGGACCGTGATTGCTCTCGAAGCAGTGTAATATATAGCAAGTCACACATCGGTTGAATATCCTCCTTCAGGATCTCGTGAACGAGAGCACCCACCGGCACGAGATTGTTTCAGAAGATGTGTTCATCGGTTGGGGGTCTAGCCTATTGTCAATCGACCCGGCCAGAGTTCTCAAACACAGGCTGTGGATGTAGGTAGCATATTATACCTTGCTACTATGCGTCTCGGTGGTCACAACTCAATTTGGTGCTCTAGTCAAGACAGGAATCTCTTTGCATACGTGCGTATCGACGAAAAGGTCACCAACTGACAGAATAGTAGCCTGTAGACTGCCGTGTGACCGTAGTTGATAGGAGAAGAGGCGGAAGCGGGTGGCCGTAAGATGAGGGGTACCTTTCTCTCAGGCGTGGGGTGCGCCACAATCGCGCCGTTGCTGCATCAAGATACCTAAAGATACCAAAGTCAATTCCTGAAGGCTTTGACTTTCACATGTCAGAGTTGCTCGCGAGAATGACTCCATGATGCATGAGCTCATGGGTCAGTCGGCCACCCAATGCTTGATAATGGAGGGTCAATTGACGATGAAGGCATCATTCGTTTTATGCGCACCCACGCTTGAAAGCCTCGAACGGGGCATTGAACTGCTGACGGCCCTAGCTGGAGTAGGAATACAATCCGGATTCAGGCATTGAAGTCACTTACATGGTGGGGTCTTCAAGAGGGGGGGATGTTGGTCTCGCCCGATGTAGGTGGAATTCCGCTCGGGCGAATGCGTGATTGATGATTGAACTGATGTCCTCTCCGCCTGATAAGCGGACAAATACTACCTAGGCGCTTGCCTACATCTGCCCCTCTCGACCAATCTCGATTGAGCAAAGGAGGAGGAGGCGCCGAGGCGGTGCGCTCAATCGCGTGTAGTTCGTCTCTGACCGAGCGCTGTAGGTAGCCCCATGCTTTTCTAAGCGGATTGTTGCCCAATGGGCGGGATCAATGGGCTGATACAATTGACGTCATTCCTTGCGGTTGTCATACCTCGAATGGTTTCAGACAGCGTAATGGCCAAGCCGTCGACTGGGGATCAAAAACAAGCGGCAAGAGAGGGGGTTTTGTGTTGGGCCAGCGCAGCGATAGGGAGACAGAGTTCGACAGCAATCGCAGCATCATCGTCGGTGAACGAGATTCGCAGAGCCGCAGACGGAAAAGGCTTGGTGCAGGGTCCGAGGCGGAGTCGAGCCGAAACCCAAGAGGATGACTCAAACTTGGAATCACGACAACACAACCAACGCTTTGCGCCGCAAAAAGTAGCAACGGACCGGACTGCCAGAGGAGCAACATGGTAGTCGTCCGCCAGGTGGGCGGTGGTTGATTCGGTGCATCGCACTCGCAAACTAGCGCGGCCGCTCATTCGTGGGCCAATTGCTCTCTGCTGGGCGGCCATTTGCCTTCTCTTATTCGAGCAGCTTCGATGTTCCGCGTTATTCCTTTGCCGCATCCATTCGTCAGCAGACCCTAGGTAGGTACTGCTGCCTGTTCGCTTTTGCATGACCATGTCTTACCCGGACATATCATTCGCATTCACCCCCTTCCCCGTGTCTTCACAAGACTTGCTCCTTGCAACCCATTCGTATCAACCACGGTCGCATCTTTCTCATTACCTCTCCATTGGCCATCCTCGCGTGCTGATCCCCTCAAACTTCCTTGATAAGACTGGTCAGCAGTCCTCGAGCCATTGACTCAGCAGGCAGCGACTTTTAGGTGTAAAGCTTAAACTGCAGTCAATTGCGTCGGATTTAGACTTACCTTGCTCCGAGGACATAATTACCTACTCACCCTTCGCCACTATTCTTTCTTCTCTCACTTCTGTCCTTCTTTTACAAAGAACATCTCTTCTTCTAGTCTAGCAGGAACCCATCGGTACAATTGTCAGAGCATTGGCTTCCAATTTCCCATCAATGGGTTCTGCTGCATTCAACTCACAGTATTCCTACTTGAGAGAGATGCAACAATCCACGACTATCCAACCGGACACAATGGCCTCAGACATGACCAAGGGTAAGGCACCCGCCACCAGTGTCTATCCTTCTCCAGCAGACGAGATCAACCCCACATTCGATTCACCAGCCTTCAACGAACAACATGTCGCTCCATCAGTGCAAAGGGAGAAGATTACACTGCCACCCATCAAAAGTCTTGTCAACCAGATGCTATCGCCGTCGACATCCCCGCAATTGCCGGTCGCATATTACAGAACTCCCGTTGATACCTGTTTGCCATCGCCGAACAAGTTTGGTAGGGGCCAAGATGCTCCTCTGTTCCCGGACCAGCCAACGACCTCTAGTGAAGGTTCGAGACCGCAGCCTCTGTTTGGTCATCCTGCCCTCCCCGTTCAGCCTGCCATTCTCTCTGAGCGAGACCAGCAGCGATTTGCCCCTCCAGAGCAACGCAGTCTCGGTGAAATCACGATGCCACAACCACGTTCTGATGTGCTTCCTCGCCCTGTCCCGATCGAGCCTCCTGTTCAACGTCAACCTATCTTACATCCTCGCCCTTTGTATGGGCCTGCGCAAAGCGGCCTCAACAGTCTCAGCAATGCTAAGAGCAGCCCTTCCATCAGACCATCATACCCACCTGGTAGGAAACCAAAGCAGAGACAGACCGTATTCGACATTCACATGGGAAGACCAATCCCTCCAGACATCCCAAGATATGGAAGCAACGACCTCTGGGCCAGGCAGTCTCGTGATCCCGCCACATATGTCACGCCAATGCGTGATGAATGGACCCAGTACTTCGAGGCTAGAAGGGCCACTCTACTCCGACCGACTCTCCCAGTAGCAGCACCTACTGGTGTTTTCACTGATCTGGAGCGAACATCAACAACTGACGCTGTCATGTTTGTCACAAGAAACGGAACCACATCCGGACCTAGAGGGCACCAGGAGAAGCGTAGAGCTGATAGTGGACTTGAAATGTCCCCGCCAAAGCGCACGAGAAAGACTTCGGCTAGTAAAGCACCTCTGAAGCCTTCGATCTCGCCTCGCGAGGCACCATTGGATGTGCCTGACAAGAAGTTCCGCCGCCGTACGAATGATGCAAACAAAGCGAAAGCGCCAGCAGACAAAGTTGTACGCGACTTCAAGATCTATCCTGACTACTGCCCGGACTTGTCGACTCTGGACAGTGATCAGGTGAACTTCCCCAACATCGAGTGGAAGGCCACGCCTCAGGATGTAAGCGGTCATGAAGATTGCCACCGCCTCCTTCATGCCAAGGAGATTCCGATCGTTTCGAAACTTGTCTTGACTCCCTCGGATTACGTGTACATCAAACGTCGCTTCTTTTTCCATCGTCTTGAGTATGCGAGAAAGGGCCAATCTTTCAACATCAATGCCGCTCAACTCGCTTGCAAAGGAGCGGACGTGCACGGCATTACAGGCATCGACGTCAACAAGACCAGTCGCTTGCACAAAGCATTTGATAAAGTCGGCTGGCTTGACGAGAAACACATGCAGAAGTATCTGTGAAGCCCTCCACACCCCAGACCGACTTTACGGTGACCTTGTTCCTCTTTTCTATTCGACAGGTTTATGATATCCCGGGCTTCTCTTACTGTTATTTTTCCTCTCTCTTCTTTACTCCTCTCTTTATTTCTTTTTGTTTCGGATGGATTCACGAATGTCTATGCACTCTGATGATATGGGACTGGACGGGAAGGGGCATAGGGCCAGGATATGGCAGGCGTTTTGACTTTCTTTACTCAGGATCACTCTACTCGGCAGTATAAGGTGTTACAGGTACCATGATACCAATAGGATTTTCGGGTGGAGCATTCTAGATAGCGCCAGAAGCAATGCAGCTCACAGTTGGATATACAGTCATGATGAGATTCTTATTTGCATGTGAAGAATTAGGCAAGGCGCAACGAGAAGCTGAAGCCAAACGTCAGCCAAAAATACTCAGGGGGCGCAGCCGGAAGAGAGCGGAGAGCGGCTCAAACAGAGGCCGACGCTTTGGTGAGCAGTGAGCACGGATGCAGCCTTGCGACGCGACCCTTGGAGCGTGGGACGGAGAGGCTAAAGTGCATGTGAATTATTGTTGCTCCTGCATCATCCTCGACTCGCCCGTCGCAAACACCCATGGATACGGACTCGATACACTCGCAGGAGGGCCAGGCAGGGCAGGATGCCAAGAAGGAAAAGAGCAGGAGACCGCCCAGTAGGTCGACTTGCACCAGCGACAAACAGGCATTGACCATGACAACATANGACACGGCCTTCCGACAGCAGCGCTTGAAGGCGTGGCAGCCCATCCTCACCCCCAAGACGGTGCTACCGCTGTTCTTCGCCGTCGGAGTCATCTTCGCCCCGCTGGGAGGCCTGCTGCTATGGGCGAGCTCGCAGGTCCAGGAGTTCTCCATCGAGTACCAGCACTGCACACGCGATGCCACCAGCGAATTCACCACCATTCCCTCCGACTACGTCGACAGCCACTTCAAGAACGCCACCACTCCCTCGCAAGCTCCCCAATGGCGTACCTTCAACCAGACTATTCCCTACCACAATGGCGCCGTCGAGGTTGAAACGCCCGTCTGCCAGCTGCGCTTCTGGATCCCTGACGACCTGGCCCCGCCCGTCCTCCTCTACTACCAACTCACAAACTTCTACCAGAACCACCGTCGCTACGTCAAGTCGCTCGACTCGGACCAGCTCAAGGGCAACTTTGTTGATAACGACACCATCTCCAACAGCGACTGTGACCCTCTGCGTCTCGATGCCTCGGGTAAGGCCTACTATCCTTGCGGCCTGATCGCAAACTCGCTTTTCAACGACAGCTTCGTCACCCCACGCCTGCTGAACGATCGCAACGATGCCGAGCCCGTCAACTACACCATGGTCAACAAGGGCATCGCGTGGTCCAGTGATGGCGAGCTATACAAGAAGACTGCCTATACTGCCGACCAGGTGAGCCCTCCACCCAACTGGCGCGTCATGTACCCCGAGTACAACGAATCAATCCCTATCCCGAACATCCATGATTGGGAGGAGTTCCACGTATGGATGCGTACCGCCGGTCTACCTTCCTTCAGCAAATTGGCTCTGCGTAACGACACTGCTGCCATGCAGAGTGGCCAGTACGAGATGGAAATCTATGACNNTGTGAGTAACGCCTGCCTGTCGTATCTCACGCTCTGCTAATTTGTCCCTCAAGACTTCCCCGTTACCCTTTATGGCGGCACAAAATCAATCCTCCTAAGTACTCGCACCATCATGGGCGGCCGCAATCCTTTCCTCGGCATTGCATACATTGTAGTGGCCGGTGTCTGTATTGTTCTGGGTGCATTGTTCACTGCAACCCACTTGATCAAGNNCCCAGGTATGTTACCTTTTCAAACCACTTTGCATCTGTATGCTAACTTTGAATCCAGAAAACTTGGTGACCACACCTACTTGAGTTGGAACAACGACCAACCTAGTACTGCCACCACTACTGGCAGGGCCTAGGGTTGGATGCCTCCGTTTGATGCTGTTCATGTGTGTATGCCTTTGAGCTCTCTTACTGTAAATGGCGTTTGGAAGGGGAACCTGGTAGGCCGGATCTTCACTTGTTTTGTTACCCTCCGAGTCAAAAACAACTCAATCAACTGCTTTACATTGTTCCAACATTCCCTCACTTTTGCACTCAATATCCTACTGCTAGCAGCCTTCGTCTCACACATTCCACTCAGCCGCGATATCATCATAGTGAAGCAGCAAGACATGAGGAATCTACATCACTGAACAGACTTGAACCATGACCCCAATTGATCGTTTTGCGTATCTGAAAGTGTCTGCTTCCGAAGAAGTCCCACTGAAGGCTCTGATGGAAATCGATCAAGGGTCAACAGACTATCACTGAATATAGAACTCAATGGACTATGCGTTGCGGTGGTTTGAGGGCGTGGTCAGAGGCGAAGTAAGGAAGCATTAAACCCTGATGGCGGTGGCGCGCGCTTGGACCACCGGTCCATGGACAGGGTCTCGAAGGAAGCAGCCCTGTGAACCACGATCTCTCAAAAATTATCATCAAAGGACACACAAATCTCATCATCTCAGCCGTCAAATGTTGAGATAGGATAGCCTACCAAAGATGGAGACCGATGCCTCAAAGCGCCGCTCGGTTCGTCAAGCCATAACTCGAAAAAGAAGTTTGTACATGGACCCGGACACGGATGACGACTTCGACATTGCCGATGCTCGGGAATCCGCCAGCGAGCATCTCCAATCTCCAGAACCTGAGCAGAAACGACCAAAGATAGCGAAGAGGCCAACGAGCAAACCATCTCCACGAGAAACCAGGTCAGCGGCCAAGAAACCTGGTCACAAAAAGTCGCCACCCAAAAGGAAGACCAAACATGCTTCCAAGCCAACAAAACAAGCTGCACCTGTTGTGCCTCTTATTCCAAGTGATGGAGTAATACCTAAGTGGGAGACACTTCCATACGAGATTCTGTTGCAGGTATTCAGTTATGCTTTCGCTGCCGAACTCGAGCATGAAACAGGTGGCGTTGCGAGTCGAAGGGTCAACCATCCGAACACATGGATCATGAGGACGGCTCGAAAGGTCTGTCGAGCCTTTTCAGAACCAGCTTTGACAGCGTTCTACCGAGCTCCAAGTCTTTTGGCAGCAAGATGGCTGGAAGATTTCTCAACCATCATCAAGCAGCCCAATGACCAGCACTTGTACTCGTACAATATGAAAGTCACCAGCTTAGAAGTGTCTGCTAAGAATCTGGAGTCCTTTGCCAAAACCCCTTCATCGTCCTTTGCTGAGACCGTATCAAAGCTGCCGCGACTTTCTTCGTTGACCATCACGCATCCCTTGGACGAACCACCGTATGAATATGAAAGCAGATTTCCTCGTTGGAAGTATCCTCTGGAACTGTTCAATACACTCGACGAGAAGAATAATCATCTGGAGTGTTGGAGATGGAATACTCATCTTACGGAACAGCAAGACGGTAAACCGGAGTTCCAAGGNGTAAGCAGACAAGATGGTATATGCCTCAAACTTTAGTACTGACACCTCAACAGGTTCACTGAGTTCATAGCCCAGGCCCATCAAAGACCTGCCTTCCAAAGCCTGCGTCATATGACCATCTCGCATCTTCCACCGAGAGCAGCAGCACTTGATGCCGAGGAGGAGGATGCTGCAGATCTCGCTTTTGGCAAGATCTTTGTTAATCTGCCCAACCTGGAGACGTTGTCCTTCGAAAGTTGCGATCGTCTCTCTGAGCCCATGTTACTTCAACTACCAACCACTCTCAAGATCGTCAAGTTCATCAACTGTATGCCTCTTGATTCGGATATGCTGGGCAGCTTCCTCGGTAGTCATGGTCATTCGTATGTTACATTTTCAACCCACACGTTCCCAAAGGCATTGCTAACAGTTCGGCAGNNGATTAAGGAGCTGGTCCTCGACCACAACCCATTCCTCGACCTCGCATTTTTCACCGGTTTGCGCACAACTTGCCCACAGCTCAAGTCTTTGAAGATGGATTTGTATGACCACAGAGAGAATTACTTCCGTCATTTCGGAGAACCAAAGTATGAGAATCTGTTACTCGAGGACGAAACTCCAACTTGGCCTTCCACTCTCCAAACCTTGGAGCTTGTTCATCTGCAGAAATGGTAAGTCTCGAAACTCTCTTGTCTGCACACGAATAACACTGATATGTTTTCAGGNGGTGCCAATGCCGCGCAGAACCTCTTCCGCTCGCTAGTCGAATCTGCCGAAGCTTTACCAGATCTTCGAAGGTTGGTTCTGCAAGCTCACATCAACATTTCTTGGCGAGACAGAGCAGCTTTCAGAGACCAGTGGATTGAACGTCTTTGCCGAGTATACCAGCGCTATCCTCAAAACCCCGACTCAAAGTTCGCATCACTCAAAGCTTTCGGGCAATGGAAGGAAGCACAGGCTGCTAGTGCTGCAGCCAAGTCGCGTCGCTCACTAAGCCATGTTGAGATTGTTGTACGCAAGCCTTCGTTGGTCTCTCAGACTTCTCAAGCTTCAGATGACGAGCCTCTGGCCACACGTCGCGCCAGGCGTGTTGTCAAACCAGCCTGTCCACCACCACTTCCTATCCCGCCAGCCGAGATCAAGGGCCGTGGTCGCCGTAAGCGTGGTCGTAGAGGCTCTGACGCCATCTCGGTCGCTTCTGATGACAACACCAAAGGGGGCGAAGATTGGCGGCACACACCCGAACGCTTCATTCAAGGACTTTGCACTGTCGTCGATGTTCGTATTGACAATCAACGACCACGTGAAGAGCAGTTCAACGAGTCACATTTCCTGGACTCCGAGGCCAGCGGTGATGAAGAATGGACAGAAGGCGCAGAAGCCGATGAGGACGGATATGCTTGGTAGATTTTTTTGTTGTAAATGTTGATTTGTATGGCGGCGTACTGGGAGGAAACAAGGGAACTAAATTGCTGAGATACCAAGGTGGTTTCAAATGGGTGGGAAATTGGCGTTGCTGTTGCTATGAAGGACCAAGTCATTCGGCCTATGCTCACTATATCTCAGCCAATGCTACAATGAATGTTCAATGCCTCCTGCAAGCTACGGTTTGTTTGATGCGTAGACACTGGTGTATACTTTTATATTGGCATAAGATTTGAGCAAAAATCCATCGCTGCTGTAGCTCAGTGGTAGAGCGTGGGATTGCAGTTTCTGCAATTATCCTAAGGTCCGTTGTTCGACCCAGCGTAGCAGCTTTGCTTTTGCCCCTTGCATCTGCAGCAGAGAGCTGTTATCAAGGGTTGTGGTAAACTAGAAAGACGTGAAGCCTGAGGCTTCTTTTGCGGTAAGCTTTGATCTCGTCGACTCTAGAACGAATGCGTGGACTCGAACTGATGAAGGGATTGGTCGAATCTGGATGGCGTCTCTTTGCTTTGATCATTTGTCAACAGTCTTTTGAACTGCCAAAAGAGAAAAAGGGGGCTGGCCGTTTCTTTGTTAGTGGACCGGACCAAAAGGAAGCTGCTACGCTGGGTCGAACAACGGACCTTAGGATAATTGCAGAAACTGCAATCCCACGCTCTACCACTGAGCTACAGCAGCTTGTGTAGCATAACTTTGTAATGGCCAATAAGAATCATCGTCACCACTGACTCACATCTCGAACCAAAGGCAGCAACGATCCTGTTCAACGTCACCAAGCAGGCCAGTCGCAAACAACCACAGAATCAAAAGAGTCACACGCACAATTGCGCAAGAAGCAACGTCTACCACTTCTTGAACTCTCTACACCGACAACATACCCAACTTCATGGCACGATAGCCCTCCCCATCGCACAAACTCCACTCCTCGATTCACAATGGCGTCTAGGTATACACTTACCCCTCTACACACCTTACAGTAGACACCCAAGACTAACAAGCCGCCCACACACACAGATTCCACCAACGCGACACCAACCGCTCCTCCCTCTTCTCTGGCTACGACCAACGCTCGCGCCCAACCTCCACATCCCCAAACCCATACACGGCAAGCAACGGCTACAGCATCCCTTCATCCTCCAACAACAACACATTCGCCGCCTACCCAGGCAACAGCAGCACAGAAAGAGGCGGCTCGAGCGCGAGTTTCCGCACCGCGACACCAGACAAACGTGGTGCATATAGCGATGCCGTGCTCTCGGAGCTGGAATCGCAGAATGACGAGCAGGTTTCCGAGATGAGTAAGAAGGTCGGCATGTTGAAAGATGTGAGTTGTGCATGTGTGATGAAAGGAAGAGGGACAAGGACGAAAATGCTGACGGTGGTGCTACTATAGCTTACCCTGCGTATTGGCGACGAGATTCGTGATTCGACTGCGTTGGCCGAAAAGATGAATGATCAGTTCTCGAATACGAGTAACAAGCTCAAGGGCACTATGAACCGTATGCTGCGTATGGCGCAGAGTACCGGTGTGGGTTGGAAGGTGTGGCTCATCTTCTTTGCCTTTGTCGTGGCTTTGTTCTGGTATGTCTGGCTGTTCTAGGCAATGGACACGAAGCTTCTGGAAAACATGCTTTGGTTTTGTTGTTGTTTTTAGCGAAGGCGTTTCTTGGAGGGTTTTATACGCTCTGTACAGAACCACGATGATGGGATGTGAGAAGGAAGGAAGGAAAGAATTGTAATATAACGATAATGGGGTATCTCCGCTGTAACGAGTAAAGAGAAAAATGCAGATAAAGCTCATGGAGACCAAAGCGATCATCTGTTGGCTCTGTGGCCGGCAGACCTCAGGCGGCCGGCGGGTGCAGGACTGCTGGTGACAAAGGAGCTGTCGAGGAGGGAGCTCACGTCTCTGCTCAACAGACTGCTGCGACTGCGTTGCATGACTGCTCCAACGATCTCGCTCTGCTCCTCTTCCTGCTGTTCCAATTGACTCTGCTCTTCCTCCTCTTCTTCTTCTTCATCGTCATCTTCGTCGTCGTCCGAGTCTTCGAGCTCGCTGTCAGTGTGTTGATAGCTGCCAGCCTCTGGCACACTGTCATCCAAATCTCTTTCAATGCCCAGATCAAGCTCATCTTGAGCCACACCCGTCAGCTCCGCCTCTTGCAAATGACGATACCTCTCTTGCTCCCTCGACTCCTCGTCCAAAGCAGCAATACTGGTATCCGCAAACATGCTCTCCTCATTGAACGTAATGTCCTCTGCGACAGGAATCTCACTGTGCACACGTGACAGCATCTCGGACTGCAATTCACTCTGCATATCCTCCTCTTCCTCTTCATCTTCCTCCTCTTCATCCTCATCCGAATCAGTAATATCCTCATCTTCCTCGTCTTCCCCATCAGCATCGGGAATCTCCTCATCCAAATCCCTCTCTCGCTCTTCCTCTGCTTCTTGCTCCGCTTCCGCAGCAACAGCCCTATTCCTCGCTTCCTCGGCCTCTTGCTGCGCCTGCATATCCATCATCATTTGTTCTCTCCTCTGCAACGCTTCTTGCTCTTCCCTCTCTGCTTTTTCTTCAGTCTCCGCTTGCAGTGTTTTCGCCACGCCAGGCGGCTTTATCCAGCCGGCCCCGAAACGTCGGATGTTGTGTTTGCGGTGCGAGATGGCTTGTTCGTCGGCGAGTAGCTGGGCGAGCGATTGTCGGGTTGGCGCTGCGGTTTGTTGAGAGGTTTGGCGGCGAGTCTGTTGGGCTGCGTTGGTATCGCTGGCGCCTGGGTTGTCTGTTGGTTGTGGGCGGAGGTGGGNGGACAGGAAGAAGGAGTATTNCCTGGTTCAATTGTAAGCATGTGAATCTTCGCGGTCACGGACGCGTGGTCTCACATTTTGAGGCGCGAGTAGTGGTAGTGACAGCATCTTTGCGTTTGTGTTTACGGTCTTGTTCGGTGTTTGGTGCGAACCAAAAGACGGAGTGTTTTGACATGTGCTTTCCCCACATCCTTTGGGAGCCTCACCCTCAAAACGCATCATCAACTGTCAGAGCATAGCACAAGGGACAGGAGCATCATTGACTTTCGCACCATGGACTTGGGAGAATAAGGGCATCATAGATTACATTCCATTACTTTTGATTATCAGAGCAGCTTCTTCAGTCTACTCCTTTCCTCCTCTCGGCGTGAGCCAGGCCATGCTCGTTGTCGTTCCTTCTACTGCTATTATCAGGCCATCATGGTCTCATGCGCAATCCCTGTATGCCGTGAGGCTGCCATCGACAATGAGTCTCCGCCTAGCCAAGGTATCATCATCCGTAAAGTCATCAGATATTGCAGCGTTAAAGCGTCGTGCTGAAGCGAGGCCTCGGGCATCTTCCAGCTCCGATCCTTAGTAGATTGGCATTACAAGTCAGTCCATTGAGGAACTATTGCAGGCCATGCACAGCGAACTTCTTGATGTCGTTGATCTGGCGGGAAAGACCAGAGACAATGCGCAAGACAGGATCCTGTTGATTGTTCTCGGCGATCGACATGTAAGCTCCCTGCATGCGCTGCTGGAGAACATCCATGATCTTGGGTGCCACCTCTCTGATCTCGGCATCGTTGAGATTGATGGTAGACAAGACAGTGCTGAGCCAAGAAAGACGCTCGTCAATGTGCTGATCGAACGACGAAGTGAGGGCAGCAGAGACGGACAGAGAGACCAATGGGCTGAGTCTCTGCAGGTATTGAGGGTTGATGCGGACAAAGAGTTTGTCGAAAAGCTCGCCCTGGCGTTCAGATTGAAGCCACTGGATGGTTCCCTCTTCGTATCTGCCCTGCGTCATCAGGGCTGTTATGCCATCCAACTCGGGATCTTCGATTGAAGGCACAACATCGGCTTCGGTAGAGACAGCAGAACGTGCCGAGTTGTCGCCGGCAATCTGGCGCTGGAGCTTGAGAATCTGCTCCTGGAAGGCCGACTGTCCAGCAGCCATCTCATGGATTGTCTTTGAGAGTCCAAGAACTAAGTCCGAAAGTTGCTCGAGCTTGGCATTGTCCTTCTGGCGCTGTACCTCGGCATCACGAAGCTGCTCGGTGAAGCGGCGTTCGACATCTGCGACGGCCTTCTTAGTTGAGGTCTGGGCAAGGTTTGTGAAGGTAGGAACGATCGAGTTGCGCAGAACAGTAGCGAATGACTGCTCAACCTGAGGGCAAAGCTTGGAGGCGGTCTGCTCAGAGATGACGCGCTGAAGCTCCTTGTCCTGCAGGGCAGCTGCGATGGCGGGAGCCAAAGAAGCCTTAAGCTCGCCTGGCACAATCTTGGCAACATGCTGAGAGACTGCTGAGGTGAGCTTCTCGTTCAACAAGGTCGAACTTGTCTCAACGATAGCAGGAACAACGCTGCTGGTGATGTTGGTGGCGATGATCTTGTGAAGAGTCTTCTCCACGTTGTCGGTCAAAGTGCTAGACACAAGACGAAGCACAGCATCCTGCTTGGCAGCGGCAGCAGCGTCCTGGATACGCTTGTCATCATCGAGTCTACGGTACAGCGAGTCAATCTCTCTGGACAAGACATCGCTAACAGCCTTGTTGATAGTCTCAGCGTCAACAGAAACAGCAGTCTCGGTAGTCTTTGCAGACTTTTCGATAGGTGCAGGTGAAGGTGTGGCAGCCGCAGTGGGCTCCTTAGTGGAAGGAGCAGCCTCGGTAGCTGAAACCTTGGGACGAGCGGCCAGAGCGTACGAGGCGGGAGTGAGAATGGCAGGGTTAGTGGCAGTCTCGACAATGCTCTGTTCAGGAACGGCCTTCTTCGGCTTCTCGGCCTTGAGGGCACCATTAACCACAGGCTCCTGCCTGGTGGCAGGCTTTGTAGCAGCTGTGGCGGCGGGCTTAACAGGCTCAGACTTCTGGGGAGAAGGAGGTGCGACGGCCTTTGCGGACTTTGCAGGCGCCTCTGCTGTAGTTGCGTTGGGAGAGATGCTGGCAACCGAGATAAGGCCCGAGGCCTCGGCATCGACAGGGTGGAGGACCTTGTTGTCACGGCTCCAGCCCAAGTCCTCGTGCTTGATGTTCATGCAAGTGACACCCTTGGAGTGCATGGCATAGAGCTCAAAGAGTACGTCGCTGGAGGCCTCGGAAGCGACAGGGGTGTGAAGCATGTCCACGCTGCGCAATTGACCCTTGGAAGCGAAAGACAGCTCGCGAATACCGCTCATGATAGCAGTCGACTCAGGACGAGGCAGATTGGGGTCCTGCTCAGCAAGCATGGTCGTGTATCGGGCTTGATCCATGCTAGGGATGTTGTAGCGAGGAGCCGATAGGTGGATGAAGTAGATCGAGTTACGTGTAGGGTGGCCAAGAGCGATGATGCCAGTCTTAGGGTGGTAGGAGATGCTGCAGATGGCATCAGAATCCTTGTCGTGAGGGAAGTAGAGCTCCTGGACAGGCTTGTTGAGGCCAAGATCCCAGAGCTGAAGAATGTGGTTTTGCTTCAAGCCAACAAGCAGGTAGCGGAGAGCAACGCCCTTAACGCATGGCCTCTCCTTGTCAACGAACATGATGGAGGAAGGAGTGGCCTTCTCAGCAGGAAGAGTCGTCGTCAAAGTGAGCAGAGGATCCTTGCGCTCCAGAGCGGGACGCTTGCCAGAAGAAGCCGTTTCACGGGCTTGTTGTGCCATGTCACGGATATCCCAGAACTTGATGCGTCCGCTCTTGTCCAGCGATGCCAACAGACTGTCGTCACCGCTGAAGGCGAAGTCCTTACCAGCCTTGCCGGTAGAGATCTTCAAACAACGCTCTTGCAAGTACTTGTCGTTGTCGACGACGCGGGTCTTCTTGTCGGTGTACTGGTTCTGACGGGCAACGAAAGGCGAGATGATGTAGATGGACTTGCCTCTCGAGATGGCGAAGAAGTCTGCGTTGCGCGAGCTCATCTTGGCTCTGGTCTTAACAGGGCTGCCAGAGGTGTTGTCATCTTGAACGGGCACAGGAGGCAGCACAAAGCCTTGTGACTCAAGGTCCAGGTCGTCGAATGAATCGCCCTCGACCTTGTTAATGCTGGTCCAGAAGACAGAGCCATTAACTCCGGTAGCGAGGACTGTCTCAATATCCTTGTGAGCACCACTGGCTGTGCAGATTTGGACGTTGAAGACACGCTCGGCAGTGGAGCGGAAGACCTGCTTGTCCTTACCAGAGTCCTGGCGGATCACACGGAAGCCGCCACTCTTAGACATGGCATAGACAATGTGGTTGGGCGAAGCAGTGACGAGCGCGCGATCGATCTGCTCGAACTCCTTCTTCAGACGAGCAATGTCCATGAGCGAATCGGAACGCATAGCAGTGGCCTGGCTGTCCTTGTTGATAGTGATGGAGACAAACGGTCTCATGGGGAAGTTGTAAACGCGAACAGCGTAAATCTTGCTGTCCTTACCAGACTCGTCGGCATCAGCGCTCTCCCAGCTGTCAGCGANCCTCCTCAGTAGCCTTGGTCTGCTCTTTCGAGGCAGAAGCTGTGGCACTGTCGGCTTGGGCAAGTGCTTTTTCAACTTGCTTGTCGACCTTCTCGCCAACGCCGCTGAGAGTTTCGGNNCCACACTTTGGTGAGCATCGGCCGAGGGCTGGGCTGGACGAGGAGAAGGAGATGGTGATGGAAGAGAAGATGTGATCTTGCGGTTCTTTGCATTGGGAGGACCGTTGTCCGTGTCTTCAGGTTGGGAGACATCGCGTTGATGTTTGGGACCCTCGGTCTTAAGGGCGGGCTGGGGCGACGAAGCAGTCATCTGCTCGAAGGGATTGACGTAAGTGAAGACTGGCTTCTTTGCTGGAGGGCCTTCGAATGGGGTGGTCTCGCGGGATCCGACGCTACCGAAGAGGCGGACGGAGGGGTCTTGGGGGTCAACAGCGTCCATGGTAGGAAAAGGAACGGGCTCATGGATGACTGTCTCAGGGACTTGAGCAGGCTGCACGGCCGGGGAAGAGAGACCAGCGGCGGAAGCGTTCTTGGGTCTGTTCAGAAGACCGAGGAGGAAGTTCTGAGCATCTCCAAGAGGCTGCTGAGCCTTTTGGTCGGGCTGAGGCGAAGGCATCGAGATACGCAGAGAAGAGGCGCTCGATGGCTTCTGGTTGAAGGAGGCGACAAGATCTGAAGCCGAGCCAGAGCGAGACTGTTGCTGTGCAGAGTGGAGCTGAGGCGATGGGTTCTGAGCAGCAATGTTCTGCAGAGAGGCCAAAGGACTCATGGCAGAGGCAAGCTGGTTTGAGTTGAACTTGAGCAAGTTCAAGAGATCGTTGGACTTTGAGTCACCAGGAGCAGGCGTGAGACTTGGACTCATGATTGCTGAAGGGTGTTGGGGGTTGGGAGTGTGGATAGCAGGAGAGAACAAGGGCGATGAAACAGAGGGCTGTTGGTACTGGTGGGAAGGAGTGTTGTTACTGGTGGCCCAGATCGAAGGGTGAGACTGTTGTTGCTGGTTCTGCTGGTCGCTGGAAGCAGCAGCTGGGCTCTTCAGACGGCTGAAGAGTTCTTGCAGGTCGGCCATATTGGGTGGTTGATGATAGGTTCGGACCAGTGGCGTGGTGAAAGCAGAAGGTGGTACACGTGTGAAAGTGAAAGCGAGAGGTGCGGGTGAGGCGGATCAAACTCAAGCGCTGCGCGGGTATCAAAGCAAAGAGACGCGGTGAATGAGAAAGAAGAAGGAAGAGGGCGGAAGCGTATTGTGGTGTTTGCCAGCGAGTGAAGCTGTCTTGTTCGGCGCGACGACGTTGTCGATGTCTGTCTTGGAGGCGATCACTGCAAATTCCGTATTCGCGAGAGAAGCAGCGTCATCGAATGGCGTGGACCCACCCACTCGGTTCCTTCCTCTTCCTTCCCCACAGCCCGACGACTTGAGCTATAACAATGCAGTGTGCACTAAGATATGCCCAAAGGGAGCTGACTCAATAGCTACGTCTCGCAGACCATTCTTCGTTCCTCACGGGTACTTTCACCATTGTAGCATTACAAGCTTTAGCACATGAGGGGACGACATATCCAAGCATTGCCCGTGCCTCGACTTTCGTAAGCATGGGCTGGAAGGACATTCTGCGTCCTATACGAGATGGTTTGCGAGACAATTTGCCGTCCAAAAAGCCCCACCAGAATCCCGAGAACGAGAATCGACGCCGTGAAGATACCCTTAGAGGCTTTACCTACTTTGACTCGTTCTGCGACATCGATGGCTGGCGACCTGAGCAAGCATATTCCTTTCAAAGAGCAAACACTCCTCTGCTTTCAAGGCCAACTTTCAAATCTGACCAAGGCCAAGCTAAAATCACTCTCATACATGACTACTCTGGAAACTACCAGCAGTATGAAGACATTCATGGCCCACCTGTGGACCAACCGTCGTACAGCTGTGAATATCTGCAAGCTATTGACACCTTTGTATACTTCTCTCATAAGGTTTGTGACGATAATCTTGATCGATGTTATTAAACTAAACCACTTNNCAAGCTGGTGTGCATACCNCCTCCATCCTGGACGAATGTTCTCCACCGTAATGGTGTCAAATCGCTCGGTACATTTCTTGTAGAGCCACAGTCAAGAGATATATCCAAGATGGTGCAACGGACTTCGTCAAGGGCACAAGGGTGGAACTATACCTTGGCAGATCAGCTAACACGCATTGCTAATTACTATGGGTTTGACGGTTGGTTGATCAATATTGAGAAGACTTTTCCTATCGCCGACTGGAGTCTCTCAAAGCTCGAGGGCTTTCTGGAGCAACTAAGATCATCCTTCGATGACGGATGTGTTATTTGGTATGATTCACTCACAAGCAATAACAGAATCGACTACCAGAATGCATTGACGGGGCAGAATGCCTTGCTCGCCAAAGCTGCCGGCTCTATACTCACAAATTATGCATGGTCACCGGATACGGCCGCTGCCTCCAAAGCCCTTGCATTGCAGAATGGCATTAATCCTGTAAACATTCTCTACGGCATTGACGTCTGGGCGCAAAGTTCAGAGCGCTCTGTCCGGGAGACGTGGCCTAGAGATATAGGCGGTGGTACCGGCACTGGTCTAGGTGTCGCGAAACTAGCTGAGTTGGGTCTCAGTGCTGGCATCTTTGGCCCAGCTTGGCCATATGAGCATTTTACTTGCCTATCGGATTCCAAGGCTGTCGAGAACTCTATGTGGACAGGAGTCGCTCTGCCAGAGACATTACGCTGTGGCTGCTCCTCGAAAAACCGACATTCCATCCAAGGCTACATGACCTATCCAATATTGCGTAATGCACAAGAGTTTCCGGCTGGTTCAGACACTTTCTTCTATACCGACTTTAGCCAAGCGTTCGAAGCAACCACCAATTCAGATCAAGTTGCCGACAAGAGCGAAGTACGTGCGAGCCTTGCCTCGCAGTCTATATTGCCTCGACCAAGTATACATCCCAACGTTCAGCAAGATATCTACAGTCAGATTGAGTCGTGCCCTTCCAGATTGTCTTTGTATATGCCTACCTTGGGCAAGACTGCATCCGCACAAAGAGCATTGAGGCTCTTCAAACTCAGCATGCCGGCGTCAGAGGGACTTGTCATTACCATTCAGTACCGCAAACCAAAGACACCTAGTTCGTTGCTTGTGTGGCTCAACCTTGAAGGCTTGAACGTAGAAATACCCATTGTAGAGCAACGGGAACGGGTGACCGAAGAGCTTCAGGCCAACAAGTCAGGCACATGTCTCACCGGAATATCGTTGCGAGTGAAAGGGCACATTGAGACGATGACCAGCACTCTGGTTGTTGCAATCATGTCTATCTGCGTCCGTCGCAGAAGCAAGGCTGGCAGAAAGTGCACGATATCCGACGCGACACTAACCGAAGTAGATGCGACCATGTCATGTCTCTCTTGGAAGTTTGATGATGAAGTGTGGAATGCTAGGCGCGAAGACGACGGACTTCCTTACAGTGATGTTACAGGGCCTTTTAGCTTCTTTGTGATCGAGGTTGATGGGCAGGAAGTGAGAAGAGCATATGCGTTGGACTACCTGCTGCGAGAGGTCGGTGACGAGTTAGCAATCCGAATCACAGGTATGGGGTTCGATGGCGAGGTGCTTTGCGTATACACGAGCAGTTTGCGGAAGCGACAACGGCAGGGGTCAACAGAGAGCTGGCAGTTGGTGTAACACATAGCCTGGAGATGGACCAATTGCAGAGGCTGTCGAAAAGCCTTCAGACTCGATGATTGCCTATACATGTATATATATGTATATTGTCAGCTGGAGTGAGGAGTTGTTCTCCTGAAACGGCCTCCGTGAAGGGGAAAGGGCGATGACGGCGCACGGACGCGTTTGAACAACGTGTCAAAGCTGTTGTTAAATGCTAGGAGCACTCGCATCCAACAAGTTGCATCTCCCTCTTTTGCTGTTCTTGCTGGCAATCTGTTCTCTGCTGTCGCATACCCTCACACAGCGCCTTCATAGCCTCGAGGCAACCTTTGCTCAATCCCGTCAGCCTCAGCCAGCCGATCGAATTCGGTTGCAGCAATGATGAACATCTTTCGCATTCTGGGTGGGTTCACTGTAGTTATGTGTTGCTTGCCAATGCAATGTGCTAATCGACATGGCCAGGCGACTTGTCGCATCTGTTCTCCATCCTGATCCTGCTGCACAAGATGAAGACGTCCAGTGTACGTCCACCTCGCTTTTACCAACCTCTCCAATCCTGACCACGTCTACAGAGCGCATCCGGCATCTCGTTCAAGTCGCAATTCCTCTACCTCGTCGTATATGTCACCCGATACCTCGGTACGTCCTCCCGCCTCGAGAAACACACGAACCGCATACTGAGCCCTTTCCTACANGACCTTCTTTGGAGAAACCCATTCGATAGCTTGTGGAACACGACTTTCAAGCTCGTCTTCATTGGAACCTCTGCCTACATCATCTACTTGATGCTCAACGACTACAAGCCCACCCACGATCCCAACCTCGACACCTTCAGAGTTCAGTACCTGGTCGCAGGAAGTGCCGTCTTGGGCATCCTATTCCCCTACAAGTACCAATTTACCGAGGTACCAACCACTCGGTCAACATGTCTTCCCACTCTTCTGACNACAACGCAGATGCTTTGGGCCTTTTCCATCTGGCTGGAAGCTGTCGCCATCCTTCCCCAGTTGTTCATGCTCCAGAGAACCGGCGAGGCAGAGACCATCACCACCCACTATTTGTTCGCTCTGGGTGCTTACAGAGCCCTCTACATCCCCAACTGGATCTACCGCTGGATCACTGAGAGCCACTTCGAGCCTATTTCGGTCATCGCAGGTCTTGTTCAGACCATTCTGTACTCCGACTTCTTCTACATCTACTACACCAAGTACGCTATGGCCACCCATTGTCTCGAGAGCGTTCGCTAACCGTCACTCTAGNNGGTCTTCCAGGGTAAGAAATTCAACCTGCCCGTGTAGACGATCATGCGTACAATCGGAGTTCACATTTACGCCTTTGTTTGGGATGCATGGACAGGCGCCTGCGATGAGCCTCAATTTTCAGGACATCTTCATAGCCATGACTAGATCAAAATTCGAATGCAAAAGTCACAACCCAGGGGTAGGTCGCCGATTCACATCGAGTTCCGTCAAATCTGGTGACAGTCGGCTGAAAATTGGACATCCCCTCTGCTCTACCGAGTCGCCGGCGGCTATGACACTGGACAATTGACTTGATGTTTAAGGATCAGGTTCGAGGCACTGATGTTCCTAGAAGCTCAGAATCAGGGAGACAACGTAAGCAAAATGCAAGCCACTCGCTGACCCGTGAACGCGCGTGTACCCACCTTCATCACGACACTCTTTCATTGGTCTTCGAATATCGCGCACGGCAAACGGCAATCGCGTCCCTACTTTGCATTTGGGGTTAAGTAGAATTCAGGAATCGAACCTCACTCAGATACGGCCACCTCAAGCACAGCTCCCAACTTTCTCCCTTCACAACTCATTCTCAAGTCTATACAATGCTCGTGTACATCNNTTTTCTCGCAGCGCTGCCCCTTGCAGCTGCACTCATAATTCCTCGCCTAAATGGCACCTATAGTGTAGGCACGCAAATCACTGAACTTGTGGATGACAGTCGCCTCATCAATGGAACCTATCGGCGCATCATGACCACCTCATTCTTTCCAGTCGGATACCATGCAGACTGTGTGCCATACTTGGCTCAATACATGCCCAAACTCACCGCCGACTATAATGCCGTGACCTACAGCGCCTCACTGGGCTTGACGATCCCCAACGCTACGTTTGAGCAATTGCAACTCCAAGTCTGCAATACGACATGCGACAAAGGAAGACTCACTGACAGGGCATGGCCACTCACGCTCTTCTCTCCCGGTCTGGGTGCTTCACGCCAACTCTACAGCGCTTTGGCCGAGCAGCTCGTCGCCACGGGTTATATCGTCGTCACCGTCGACACGCCCTTGCAGGCAGACATCATCGAGTACACCGATGGCTCGTTTCTGCTCGCGCCGGGTATAGGCACTGATGCCCAACTCGAAGCCGCACTCCCAGATCGAGTCAAAGACATCATCTTCGTCAAGAACAAAATGCTGACTGGTGTGGGTCTGCCATCCTCTGTCAAGCCAGATCCCCATCGCATCGCTGCCTGGGGCCACTCTTTTGGAGGCGCTGCAGCAGCTCAAGTGCCACTTGAAGATCCGTCTTTCCGAGCCGGCATCAATTTCGATGGCAAGCTCTATGGCTCTGTGGCCACCTCTGGTCTTGGACAGCCTTTTCTCTTCTTCTCACACTCCATCCAACCAGACTCGGGCGTAATAAGTTCTTGGCAATCCTTCTTGCAAGCCTCACCTACGTTCAACAAGTTTGAATTGCGCTTGAATGGTTCTGTGCATTTGACGTTTTCGGATGCTCCGCTTCTGGCTGATCTTTCCGGTATCGTCGAGTTGCCTGGAGCTGGGACTTTGATTGGGCTGTTGGATGGTAGGAGGGTGCTTGTTATTCTCGCTGCGTATGCGGACGCGTTTTTCGGGTATGCATTCAGAGGGGCGGTAAAGGTGCCAGAGCTGCTTAGAGGCCCCAATTCTGGATTTCCGGAAGTGGAGTTTGTGGGTTGACCCGCTTTGAATCTGATCGGGGAGATCAATCTTGTGTAAGAAGGAATATTGTTGTCGTTTCTCGTTAATTTACAATCTTTTTCGCCCGTCCTCGATAGCCTAACATTGAGCCTTTGAACAGGAAAACAAGGAACTTAACACTGGTTGTCCACAAAGCCGCCGACTCTCCTTATGGCTCTCCGTACGCAATGAGACGAGATGAAGAGGGGCAATTGTCCATACGCCTCCCACTCGGTACCATCTTCTGCAGGCGCGTCGAAGTAATTAAACCTCCAGGCAGTCGTGGCACCGCAGTTTTGGAATTCGCGATTCAGAGCGGCGCCGTTGTCGCTGTTTGAAAAACCTCCTCCGCTGATGGTGACAGAGTAATAAGGGCGGAAGGGCTTGATGGGAGCTTTGCAGGTGCCGAGGGGAACTGCAGGCGGTGGCGGACGGGATTGTGTAGGCGAGATTTTGTATGAGATGTTGTTGTTGTCCGAGATGCTGCCGCCGTGCTTCCAATTCATTTTGTTGTTGTTGTCGTCTGGGAGGCTGCAGCCGTTGCNTGTGAGATTGGGAGTCGATTGTTAGAAGTGCTGCAAATATAAATCATTGCGTGCGAGGAGATAGACTTACTTGATGACGCTCATGTAATGGACGCACTCGTCTTGGAAGACCTGATAATTGCGCTGGCCCTTTGGCCATTGCGTGGATAGCTCGACGCGATCAGGCGTGCCGTCGTTGTAAATCTGTGAAAAGATTGAGTCCGACTCTGCAATATTCTGCCCTGCTGACTTTGTGCAGAAATCGCCGATGTTGGAGGCCAAAGTGCCTTGGTCGATATAGTTGTTGGTGTCGATGCTGTTGCATTGCTGACCGCCAGCCTGACCGCCATCCCATATCCTTCTTACCACGAGAGGCTCGATCTTCAGGGTGGCATTCAGCTTGGTGTTTGTGTACTCAATCAAGCCGCCATGTTTGTCGCTGCTCTGCCCGGATTGAGGGACATTGCAGCCGTCTGTCATGATATCGAGCCACGTTGAGCAACCATGCTCACTGATGACGGCGGCGCCGTCGCCCTCCCAACTTATGGACACATTCATGTAGTCAAAGTCTGAACCGAAGGTTGCACTAGTCAGCTCGCCCTTTGATCCCCTCGTGTGGTGCGGATCTGTGCAAAGTTTAGCCCCTTTATAGCAGTCCAAACAGATGGACCTTTTACCTGCACAGAAATCTTTGACGGCCGAGATCATGGCATCACGGCCAGCCCAAGTGTCGGTCGAGTCTTGACTGCAGGCGGCGCCTGGTAAGTCAGGCCAGCCATCGCCTGTGGTGCTGGATCTCATTGGTGGTATTGAACCGATGCCTATTCAAAGTATCATGTTAGCCTGACTGCTATATTCGAAGTTACGTGAGAACACCGAGTTCATATCTCGCACAATTCTCTTCTTCCAACGCTAGGATTNCTGCAATGTGTTCTTACCTAAACGTTGAGCATTATCTGCTGCCATCTGATACAAGATCATGTTTGCGATCAACGCGTGTCCGCCTTGGGTTGGGTGGAATACCCTCGCGGTTTCGTCGCTAACGAACAGCTTCTTGATGTTGATGGTCTTCACAGCTTTGTTGCCTAACAAAATATGCGTCTGATTGGCAATTACAGTGCCCATGGAAGATCCGTTATTGAAGGCCGTAGTATTCGCGAAATGCATCTTCGTGTGTCCAGCTATAAAAGATGGAAGATCGTTGGCATTTCCGAGAGAAACCTTGGCTCCGAGCGCAGGACCTTGGCTGATGTTGCNGTGACGGAGAAGAATCGGAGTCAAAGTTTTGCGTGACATTCCAAGATACCGTCATGTTCTCGCTGCGGTCCATCAGTCTGACCAAGCCAGATCGTAACAGCGATGTGGTGCGTTTTGGAAGGCTCGACTCTGCATCGCTGACCTCGTTCTCGAGCTCGAGGTTTCCGTTGTCGTCTTGTACAGCAGCATACCCATCTTGCCCATCATTGACACTTTNNCGTCAATCGCTTTCTGCACCAAGGCGCCATACATACCACCGAGAGTGTCGTTAACGGGGCTAATGCCGTCTTCCTCGATAAGACTCCGCTTAAGTTCGTCGTGAACAATGTCAGGGAGCTCCAACCATGGCGAGTCGTTTGAGTCCATTTGGTAAAAGAACAGATCCTCTAGATTAGCTCCGCGACCACTAGCCTCATCTTGACTGGGCTGACAGTATCTGCCTCTTGTGACACCAACGTCGTTGTCATAGTCGATAAAATGGACTTGAGGGCCTGCGCGCTGAACTGCGGAGGAAAGTGCGGTGTTCATCGCTTCTACCAGGGAATTCATCTTCTCTCGGCGATCCTTGGTAAGATATTCTCTGGTAAACAGGTTGAGCCACATATGCCAGGAAACAGTATCACAAGAATTGTCAGTAGCGTCGAAGAACTTTGCGTAGCCGGCGTAATNATCTGTGTTTTGTCAGAACAAAAAGCAGTAGTCATCATCGGGATTAGAATCAACCACGAACATATTGCCGTCTGGCGTCAACTTCGATTTGACGAGCTCGATAAGCGCATCCAATTTGGCAGCGAATTGGTCGCCCTCAATTATAGACCGCGAGGCTTCGAGTACGCTCTCGCAGTTGGGGTGACTAAATCCTGCATAGAAACTATAAACGCATGAGTTCAGGATATCGGAGAGTTTTGCGTCATTGCCTCCCTATTGGTGTGTCAGTGACCTTCCAACTGATCAACCATCTCGACAACTTACTGCAGACATAATAACAAACTCCTGACCATTGGAGAGCGCTTTGGCTTGTTTTGAGATATCGTCCACGACTGCTCCGCTACATGCGGTATACGTGAAGTCCAGCTTACTGCGGTCCACTCCTAGCTGGAGTGATACCAGGCTTGCATAGGAACCGTCATACCGAGAGCAACTCCAATTCTCTTCGTTGCCCGCTCCGATACCAGCAGTATATCTGTAGAGACATTAGTGCTATGCTTCTGGATAAACAAAGCTCTAGATAGGGTCTTACGAGTCGCCGATCGCGGCTCCTTTTGTGTAGAAAGAAAGGTCAAACGGGTCTTCATCGTCTGCAGCAGATACCGATGCCAGAAGTGTAGAAAAGAAGAAGCAATATATGCTCAGAAGGACCAAGAACATCGCCATAATCGGATGTCGTGTGTTCCCGAGCACCTTCGAGAGAGTCTGGCCAGATGCTAATGAAGCACTGGAGAAGACGATCGATATGCCCCTGTGGCTGCCTTCTCGATATAAATGGGCTACATGCAGACATGCTTGCAGATCAGAATCATGCTTCTGTGATACTGACGCTGTCCAAGATACATGATGGCTGAGATTACAGTGTAGGTTTCAGGAGTGATGGCGCGACATGCAAGCTGCGTTGCTGGTGTTCGAGCTTTCATCTTGTCATGGTATATCACGTCTCTATCGAAAGTCACCCCATATCCTCAAAAGAATAGCTGGGCGCCTGAAGGTCGAAAAACAAAAGGTGCAACACTTTTAGATTGGAAGGATAAAGAACCAACATGTCATGTTCTGCTTGACGCACCAGTTCCTTCGCGTGCTTTGCGGACGCGGGTGTCTCCTTGGCGGAGGATTTCCAGGGTCCAACAAAACCACCATGACTCGGACTGAGTGCTTCAATTCATGCCCTCAACAGCATGTAGAAAAGTCAACGTACCACTTACAGCATTGCAACAGCGATGGATCTGTCTTGGTTCTTGAAATTCAGTCACATTGTCGAGACCTTCCCGCCCTTCGGACACTAAAGCAATAGCTGTTGGATTTCCATACCCACGTATATCTGACTTGGGGCGTGTATCTGCACTTCTGGATAGTGCCTAGAGTGCATGCATGGGAAATTGACTCGAGAGCTAAACATTGACCACAGGCTACAGCGCCTACTTCATACCTGGCGGTAGGATGTCTCACAAACCCCTTTCCTATCACATACCGAACGATCAATGCTGCCCTTCACGTTTCATTAGTGGAGGCACAGTGCTCCATTCTCTCACCCTTCCAATCTGACAAGGCTTTCCATCTATGGGCCATGTCGTTTCGGCGTGATTCTATCGTTCCTTCGCTCTTCTACCCTGGCCTGAAATGTTCCTTGTCCTGTGTTTCATGCACGCCCATTCCAGGATGATTGAAAAGCCTCGTTGATGCCATGCATCCTCGTGCTGGCATCCAACTTACAGTCTTTCGTTGAACAGTCGTCGTTCTTTTTCTTGTTCTTCTCGAGATTGTTTTCTTTGCTACCGTATACTTTGGGCAAGGCCTATCTATCATGGGCCGCTTTGGTTGTTTGAGCTCTCTGGTTGTCTTCTTTGCGCTTGCACTTGCCATACGACCAGAACAACTAGGTAAGACCTCTGGCTCTGTCTCTTTCACGGCGACATGTAACCAGAGTGCAGGCCAACAGATCCCATCGAAAATGACATGTCGAACACGCGGCTAATATACGACAGATATCCAGCTGAACGAATCTCTCTTCTATGGCTCGCCTAAGATGATTAGCTACGGCGTCGTTGTCCAGATCGCCGGTCTAAGCGATTGGGAAGACAAACACATCCTCGACATGGCCTTTGTTGCGTATCAGAAATTTCTTACCCAATTTGGAGAAGACCTCACCAATAGAAGATATACGAACCCTAGTCTAAAAGATAGAGACCGACCGGCAGTCACTACTACGATGGTCATCGACAACACTGCTTATATCTCAACCTCACTCAAAGGCAAGGGTTCTTACATTTATGATCCAGCCTTGTCTGCCGTCAAAACCGATCATCCATGTGACGGCCCTGTGCTTGATGGACTCCGCCGTTGTCAAGAGAGATCGATCGACGTCGCTGGCGCAACGCGTATGCATCGCACGTCGGCCAAATGCGGTGAGTGGATAGTGTGTAGGCCTCGTCATTATCTGACCTTTTGAGCAGGAGAGTACATGGCGGCGTTAGCNTTTTGTATTGATACCCGACAACAGAGGGATCTGTCCGACGCGAAAATTGTGACCATCACTACAAATGCAAAGGGCGAGATTGCAACTATTCCGCCTTGCGAGAAAACCAATTCGGAAAACCACGTANNAGTGTCTACTTGGTCGAGACTTTTTGGCGGCATGAAGCTCAAGCTCATATATCATCGTGCAATCGAAATATGCTGATGGTGAACGCAGCTGCCCAACGATTGGGGTTGCAACGAGTTCGCGCAGGAGGTGAACATGCATGTCATCACCGGAGACAGCGGGCGAGAGGCCAAGGAGGTAGCTGACGAAGATATCCAACAGCCGAGCGAGCAAACTCGATACCCCTGAGTAAGCGTGTAGATTGTAAAGCCAGCTTGATCTCGCCTCCTCCGTATGCTATGACATGTACTGGGTGTATTTTTACGGATGTGCATTACTGCTGAGAGAACTGGTGAATCCTAGGTTGTGTATCCTTGGATGGCAAGAGCCAGGTCGTCGGCGTCGCGACCGATGGTGAGATCCCCTTCTCCTCGCGCCAAACAAAGAATATCGCACATATAACTCCAAGGCTCCTGATGCATATCACCGTCGTATTCGTCCCCGGNGGGAACCCCGAACCTCAAATCCAGCGGCACACCCTGATGGACCGCTTCGTCCTTGGTGGTAAGGCTCATGAGAAAATAATGAAAACGGAAGTGCTCCTCTCTTGTCTCTTCTGAGGCTGCTCGAAGTTCGGCGTACATTGCATCCCTGAGCTCCGGATAATCGAAAGCGAGCAAGATTCTGTGTATGAAATACCAAGAAGCTGGTGACGTAGAAAATGTCAAGGGCGTTTTACGGACCGAATTTGGAGGACCGACGTAGGCGGAGCAGGCTGCATAGGCGCTGGCGCAGAATTCGGCGTTGCGCATCAAATTTGGCAACCAGAGGTGGAGTGGCGGTTGTTCTTCGTCACCGAGTGAGTTGCCGAGACGCGTCTCAGTAATTGCGAAGTCGATGGCTTGATCAGCTGCTGGAATCGTCGACTTGATGATGTCTTGAACAATCTGATCCGTGTGTTGAAGCCATATCGAATGCAACTGTTTGTTGACACTTGAGAAGCGCATTGCTGTTGGGACAGTTGGGCACGCCGCAAAGATGTGAATGAGCAACTCGCTGGGAAGTGAGAGAAACTCGGGCATGTTGTTTCAAGGGTACGAGTGAGGACGTGTTGTGTGAATTGGGCGACGGAGATGGAAAAACAGAAATGTAGAGTCGGCCATCGCTCGAATTATTATTGACACAATCATACCTGCTAGTGGTGGAAGAGGATCAATGGTGAAACCGTAAGGCACCACAGAATCAAACCAGACAACTGATTCACCACCGAAGATCTACCGACATCAGGAGATGAACGAATTCCATCAAGTGTTTGCTGAGAGGAAATGATTTCTTGGATACTTGACATGACTCTAGCATGGATTGTTCTGTATATTTGGCGACTATTTGTGTGGAAAGCTTCTCCTACCTTGATGGCATAGCATCCGTCTTTATGGGTAGGTTATAAACCATCAAAACAAAGTAACCAGCACGTACGGCCACAGTCAGCTGAAAACTGGGCATCCCGTCCGCTCTGCCATACATAAGCAGTTGAACGGCAGATTAGTACTACGGTGGGTGACCACGTGGGAATCCCTGCTGCTGTACGTTTTGTATCCTTTGCTCATCCATCCGGAACATACATCTCTCCAACCCGCCAACATCAGTCCATTTCGTACCACCAACACATTCCCAGCAAGTGACGGTGCAGACTCCTTCGCTAAGCACGAGAAACCCATCACTTCTCTCTCCTATCCATAACTATCTGTGATGTCTGTCAACCATCTAACATCTCTTCTTTTACACCATAGACGGCCTCGCGAACTAGACCTTTTCTCAGATCATCTCACGGCCGTTGAAGACATACGAGGCCGGAGATGCATGTATATGCTAAGGCGCAACACTGACTCCACCCCACGTCGTTCCTTGACAACCGTGTTCATGTTTGATTCATTTTCAGCGGTATCAGAGTGACTATCGTCTTCTGCCAGTCACATATCCATTCTTACATGCTTGTCGAGCATTGGCGGAGATATCGTCAGGTGAATCCTGAGGAAAGCACGATTGCTTTTCTAGGACAAGAGTCGACGGAATCGTGCCTTCCAATGTCAATTGTCCCCGAGTTTAGTCAATCGTGCACAAACCCGACACTGTAAGGTCCGCTTTAGCTGTGAGCGGAAGAACATTGTCTGCTCGATGCATCCACCCACCATATGTCTTACAAAGGTGTTCTGACGACGTTCGTCAACTTTCTCCTCAGCGACTTGCAGAGGTTCGCTCGCTTGCGCATTGGATCTAGTTTGAGTAGAATTCGAATTTGTATACACATCGGCGCCTTATATATCCATCATTAATCCCGATTACTCGTCGGGGTTCGACATGAGAACTCTATCCCATAATCACGTTAGGCTCTCATAAACAACCTTCGACAATGCCAGCATTCTTCTCTCGAGATTTCACTCCGACGATGCCTCAGACTCCAAGCTGGCGATGGCGTTGAATGCGGCCTGGATGGCACAGAGGCCTATTCACGGGAACGTTAGCTTAAGGCTGAGATCTAAAAATCGTTTGATGATCAGCGTGTCTGCCACTTACCGTCATTCGCATTAGCCATATCTCCATTTATCATGTCCTGCTCAACGATCTGGATGTCCGCTTGCGCAGTCTGCAAGTACGAGATCACGTCCGACGCCGACCCGGGGACAACGGGTGGGGGATAGTTGCAGTTTGGAGGAGCCAACGCCGCGAGCTGCTTGTATGCGCCCTCGAAGTCCGTGGCGCCAACCTTGATGTTGAGATCCACGATGTCGTTGATCACGTCGTTGAGACTCTGCTCGAAAGCCAGGATTGTGCTGGCGGTAGCTCCGGAGAGAGCAGGGATTGGAGTTGCGAAAACTGGAAGAGTGAGGCCGAGGGCAGCCACGAAGGCGGTCGAGAAGTGCATCTTGCTGTAGCTGAGGGAGTTTGAAGGGTGGTAGAAGTACAGGTTGATTGATTTGTGAGGTGAGACTTGTCCCAAGATATCTGATGGAAGATAGACAAAGCGAGAGAATGGCGCGCGCATTGGATGTACTTATAATCGACCTCCAGAGTGCTATTGACCGTAGCATTGCCATAGTAACATATATCGAGCCACCAGGTTACAGTCGTCTAACGCGTCAGTGTACGCTGTGCTCTAGAGATTCAGAGTGACATTGTGGCTAAGCACTCAGCTCCAAAGCCATCACACTCCTGCGCGATTCCCGATGGAATACGTGCTGACTGCATGACTGACCAAGGCGGACCACATGCCAAAGTGGGAACCAGAGGCATACGAACTCTGGGTGGCTGCCATAGGGCTGGCTGACTAGACGAGCTCTGTGAAGGCTGCGGGGTTCGTTGCAGCAGCCCCTTCGCAGCCGACGAGCTGAAAACAATAATAGCAAAGCTAAGCTTCGAAAGCTTTCGATGCATCTAAACCAATCCGTATGTGGTCGTAGACTTCCACGTGGTACAGGTACAGGTACACGCATGTTCCGACCCATCACCCAAGGTACCAACAGAAGTGTCGACAAAGCTTGAGAAGCTTGCTTGAGAAGCTTGACATACTTGACATGCTTCACATGAACGCCGCAGAGGTCTCCTTACAAGGCGGGCATGGAGAGTCACGGCTAGCATACAACGCGGGGGTCTTCGACATTCCTCTCTATGATGCTTTTGAGTCGAGCCGCTGGATAAGCCTCACCAGAATCGCCAGAATCGATGTGTAGGCTCATGAGCCAGCGATAGTCAGCAGGAGTACAAAGATGCAGCATCAACGTTACATAGCGGTGGCCTGCTTGTCAGAAGCTTGGGAGTGTAGAGGTGGTGCAAAGCCTGCGGCTGATGAGTGCATACTGATGTGTTCGGAGCTGAAAGAAGGTACAAGATACTCGTTCATCGCTATGCCAACGCAGGAGCCGACCACGGGGTAGAATCAAGTGCTGCGACTTGGTCACTGAGCATGTATCTCTCCTCCCATTCGGTGCTGCTCCTCGAGGAATCAGTAGAGTAGATATGATTAAGAGGTGGCCATCACATCAAAGCAACGTAAGAATGTGTGTGACTGCAGTAAAGAGGGCACTCGGCAGAACTGCCGAAGCATCTGATAAGATCAAGCTAGAGTTTGCACCATGCGACCGTGCTCAGACCACGTGCATCACATGCGAGAAGCGATTACGTCAAACCGTTGGAATTTTCTGAATTGATGGCGCTTGGCGACAAAAATGTACGTAAATGGGAGAGAAGCTGCTCTGATGCAAGGCACGATGCGATGAGTCGACGAGATTGTACCGGAGGCGACCTGTCTCGCAAGCTTTCTTTGTTCAGTTTTGCGCGTCTCGCATTCACCCCTTGCATCTCACTGTCAACATGAAGTCGCCCATCCCGGACTACCTCAACCATGTGCTCGAGAAGGCGCGACCGAACGAGGGAGGAGCTGCCGCCGACTACATCGAGACGCTGGCCAGGGCAGACACGTCCAAGATGGCAGTCGCCCTGGCCATGGTCGACGGCAACGTTTACTCTGCAGGAGACGACAAGATCGAGTTCTCCATCCAGTCCATCTCCAAATCTTTTGTCTACGCCATCGCCATCGAGGATGCCGGACTGGACCAAGTGCTGAAGAAGATCGGAGTCGAGCCTTCGGGTGACAGATTCAACCAACTGTCGCTTGAGCGCAGCACGAACCGACCCATGAACCCCATGATCAACGCTGGCGCCATTACCGCTCACTCCCTCGTCGTCTCGCCCACCGCAACTCTGCACGAGCGAACCGAACGCATCTTGAAAGTCCTCTCCAGGCTGGCTGGTCGCGAGTTGCATGTCGATGAGGAGGTCTACAAAGCCGAGCTGAAGGACGCCGACAGGAACATGGCTATAGGATACATGCTCAAGGCTGCTGGCATCATCACATGCGACCCAAGGGAGGCTGTAAAAGGATACATTCGTCAATGCGCCATCAACGTCAACGTCCAAGACTTGGCCATGATGTCCGCTGTGCTGTCCAATGGCGGCGTCCATCCCGTCACTGAAGAGCAAATCATACCACACACAAGTGTCCGTCAGGTCCTGTCTGTCATGACGACCTGCGGCATGTACGACGCTGCCGGTGATTGGGTCTCCAACGTCGGCTTCCCAGCAAAGAGTGGTGTCGCCGGTGCTATCATCGGTGCTCTGCCCGGTCAGGTCGGTCTTGCCACATTCTCNCCCAAGATCGACGCACGCGGCAACAGCGTGCGTGGTGTAGCCATGTGTGAACAACTCTCGCGTGACATGGGACTTCACATGATGGATGTCAGTCACGTCGCCCGATCGACCGTTCAAACCTCGGTATCCACACTCGTCCCTGGCGAGAATGACAAGCACGAACCACACAACTTGAACTGCGACCGCAAAGTGGTTGTCTTCAAGCTACGAGGTGCCGTACGCTTCCCTGGTGCAGAANNAAGATTGACAAGAGCATTAGCGTACGAGTTAGGAAAGCCCGACCCATCTGATCCTGGATCTGGATGCCATGCTAACGCTTGCGCCATTGTCTTCTCCTTCCGCGAGGTCTTTTCACTAAACTTCATCGCCCGAAGATTGATTCACGAAAACATAACACGCCTCTTGGGAGAACGAAGAGTCTTGGTCATCATCGACCCTACAAGTGTACTCGAATGGGACCCCACAAAAGCAAAGAACGATAGACATCCAAAGGTTGTCGACAACGATACGGAGGCACGAGACTACATTGGAGGAACGGGCTGTCAAGCCGTCTCTGAAGATCCAGAATGGTAGATACCCACACGAAGTTATGACCGGTCAAAGCGCTTTCTCTTCGATACACTAAATACAATTCTTGCATAATGAACTTCTGGGTAACAGGCGTCTGGCACCATTGCATGACCTAGCAATATGTGAACACTGGGAGACACACCGCGCACTCATCCGATTCTGATACCATGGATACCTGCAAGCGACACTATTCATCAAGCTAGATTTGGGGCTTAGTTATTACTTCTATCAAAATTTCTTTCATAACAAACATCATCTCTCATAAGGATTGCCTTGTTAACCATCTAAGACGAGGAAGTCTCATCAAAGGGCTCAGCATCATCAGTAGGGTTACCAGTTCCATCATCAGTAGGCACTTCCTGGTCAGCAAAGGCCAAAAACACAGCCTCCCAATGATCCTCGAATTGCACCATGAAACTACCATCACTAAACACATCATTGGAAAAGCTTCCAGTGTTGCCTTGGTTCATGTGGATATCGTGGATACCGGACTCGCCATTGGAGTCATTGTAGCCTTGGCCCCAGAGGTAGACTTTGGCTTTTTGGTTGATGGCTTGGGTGAGGATGGGCTCGAGTTTGTCTTCGATGGTGTTGTTGCCCGAGGCGGGGAGAATGGTGCCAGCGTTCAGGTCTAGGAGAGCGGGTGTGGTGCGGATGAAGTCGAGGGCGTACTTGGAGTGCTCGCCATTTGTGGGCTTGAGGACTGTTTGGCCCAGAGGCAGGGAGGCGAGTTGTTGGGTGATGGGGTGTTGGAAGTTGTTGTTTACCCAGTAGACGAGACGGGAGTCCTTGCTTGTGGACTTGACATTGATGTCTGCTTCGGGAGAGTTGGTGCCGTCGCTGAGTTTTAGGGTGATGTGGGGGCTTTTGGGGTCCTGCTCGGGGGTCTGGGCGACATAGGAGACGGGGTTGGCGACCCAGATGCTGTAGTTTTTGAGCGAGTGGCTGCTGTTGCTACCTCCCTGGTTGCTTCCTCCCTGATTGTTGCCTGAGCGGCGCTCGCTGTCACGAGATTTGTGCTCTCTGTGGCCGCCGTGGTGGTGTCCGTGGTGGGGCATCTTGTGGTATCTGAATGTAAAGCAGAGGATAGTAATTAGACCTTGTCAATACGGTAACTTTTGATTGAAAAGAGTAGAGAAGATGGTGATACAGCAGCAGGGGAACAGCCCTCTTTTGAGTTCGACCACAAAGCATTGCTTCCACCTACGTTGCTACGCAGCTTGCTTACCAGTCCTTACAGGTTTCTGAGGGGGTGGACGCGTCGTCAAAGGCGCAGCAGGCAGAGGCAAGACACCATGGGTCTGGTTTATCTGAAGCACGAGCTGAAGCTATTGGTCGTCGGCAGTGCGTCATGTCACCCCTGCAGGGAAGGTTGTCGCAAACGTGCAGTTCGGTCGTGGTTGCTGCGGATGCCGAGCCGCTTCACGATCCACCGCCCCGGCCCGTTGCTTGTTTCGGATGCTTGGTTACCTTGAGGATGCTTGGAACTTGATAAGCCTCTTTGGTTGACAATCTAGCGTTAGTTTGCACAGGGATATGTTCTACTGGAACATGAGATATGCTGACTGTGATCAGGGGTGCCACCTATTGTACCGAAGAGGGTCATGTTGTTTTTCTTCAAAACATCCATCATAATCATCGTCATGAACCTCCTCAGCCACCATGTATCGAACAGCCGACAAGGAAATGATCATCCAAGATATAGGAATCATCACCTACCAACTGCTCTCAATACCACAAAATGTGAGTTCGCAATAGCAGATACGGACGTCATTCGTAAATCGTGGTTAGCATCGGAGCCACTTCCGTAGTAACCCAAGACTCGAGATGAGAAAGATCGGAGATAAGCATGCTGTAGCTCTGAAATGTCATTGGGGAAGCGACGTAACTCATTAGACCTTCTTGATTACTGAGGCTTCAAGTAAACCGAATTAGAGACAATCTCGCAAGGCAACATTGCTAATATATGAATGAGAGCTATCTACCAGCCAAAATATCAGCAGCAATCTTCTCTGCTAATGCATATATCGTAGCTTGAGGATGACCTGGAGGCAAGAAAGGGAATGCGCTCGCATCGACCACCCTTAATCTATCCACTCCGATAACTCTTGCTTGCGAATCAACAACAGCCATACTGTCGTTTCTTTGACCCATCTTGCAGGTACAGCTGGCATGCCAGTTGAATCCAATATTCTTCTGCAAATAGCTGAGAATGTCTGCGTCTGAGGAGTTGAAAGGCAAGTCTTGTGGACCTGGTAACAGTTCTTCTCCGATGAGGATGGGCTCGAGGGCGGTAGTGTTGAAAAACTGTCTTCCACGTTTGAATGCTGCAATGGCGACTTGTTGATCAGTGGGATGAGTGAGCCAGTTCGGGTTGATCAGTGGAGCATCGGCCATATCTGCACTTTGTAGCGTGATGTTACCACGCGACAGGGGTGTGAGTAGTACCGGTTGGATGTATCCTACATCAATTACGTTCTCTGGAGTAGAAAACGACGATGTGCCGAAAGGAGCAGAGGAGATTTCATATTCTACCTCCGGCCAGTCCGAGGGGAACGTGGAGAGGTCCTTGAGTGTTGAGTCTGTGAAAGCCGATCTTGATGAGTTTGGCAGTTTTTCCCAACCCAGGAGGTCGGATTGATCGTTGGTCAGAATACCCGTGTGGTTGGGGCTCAGGTAGTCCTGTCTTGCTTGTTCGGCAGCAGCAGAATTCATGAGACTACCGTAAGTCTCAACGTCGACTTGTTGTCCTACACTGAGCACAACATGGTCCCACATATTCCGTCCTACGCCCTGTCGATCTGCTACGACTGAGATGTTGAACTTGGCCAACTCATCAACTGGACCAATGCCCGATACCATCAACAATTGAGGAGATTGGAAGGCACCTGCAGAGAGAACAACCTCCTTACTAGCGCTAAGCATGAAAGATTCGGGAGATGGACCACTCTGTACTCGAACACCAGTGGCAGTCTTGTTCTGATCGAACAAGATCTGCTTCGCCAGGGTATGAGTGTAAACCTTCAAGTTTGACATGTTGCTGCGAAGTGCCGTGTCCAAAANAGAGGTCTGCGAAGAGCTTCGAGTCTGGTCCTTGGGATTGAGTGTAAGAGGACTGTATTGAGCTCCCATCAGATCGCCGTTGATCAGGTCGTGCAACTCTCCGACGCCAATTTCTGCGAGACCTTGCTTCGCCCATGATGAGAGCGGAGTTGCCCAGTGTGGAAAAGAGACTTGGAGGGGACCTGTACCGGTCTCGTTCGTTATCAATGGTACAGAAGCATTTGCTGCTCGGAAAGTCATGTCCGGATTGGTGTATTTGATCGATGTCTGATAATGTGGTATGAAGTTGTCCCAGAGATAGCTGGAGTCGTTCACGCTATCCGCCCATGCTTGAAGAGAACCAAAGGTAGGCCGATTATAGTTCATAGCATTCTCAGCAGAACTGTTTACCGCGTCAGTTGTGTAACATTGGACACTCAACACCACTTACCAGCCTCCCAGCATCTTTCCTCTTCCATAGTGGAACCCTTGGCCTTGAGCTCCTGCTTGGGGTGTGGTTAAGAAGCCCCAATCTACTAGAGGTGCATTCCACTGAGACTCTGGTGCGACCTCGTTGTAGTCTTGGTTGTATGCCGGTATAACAGACACATTTCCGTTCTCTTGTTCGTAAAATCCACCTGCTTCAACGACGGCCACGGAGTGATTCGCTTCGGCTAGGCGATAGGCTATAGCCAGACCACCAGTACCTCCGCCAATTACTACGTAGTCGAATGTCACATTCTGTGCTGGCCTGCCGAAATAATTGGCTGCAAGTGGTGCCGCTTGAGCTAGGAGAAGATGGGTGCCCAAGGCAAGACTGACGGTGCCTTTCATGGTGAGTTTATTGAACAAAGCTATTCAGAAATAAGTAGCGCTTTTGTACTTGCGTTCATCGAGCATGCCGAGCATTCAAGATGTCATGTCCATGCGTGGAGGAACCTAATTCAAAAAGATCCCACTTTTATCTACGTCAGACCGTTAGCATTGGTATAGACACAGACTCCTCGGAGCCGTACAGATCTGTAGATTCATGGTGAATAGTTTATATAGAAAGGAAACATCACCGAGTGCTTTACAATACAAGGTCATGACCATATACACAATTCAGAAGTGGTCGGTGTACGTGAGAGGTGGCTGGCGGTTCTATGACGCCAAATCGAGGGTGGTTGGGGCTTGACTCGTGTGCATTTGATCGACTGAAGGAACGATCCGATCTATTGTGCATTGCCCGAAAATGGCAATTGAACAATATAGCAAGGAAAGAAAGTGCGAAAGGTGGTGTAAAAGGAAGTTTATGTCCATCTCAAAACTCGACCTTGTAATCCCAAACTTCCTCCACAAATTTGGCTGGCGCTCTTCGACTTCGGTCAACCTTCAAATCGAACACATCCAACCTTTGATATCCACCAACAATATCGTGATACTGTTTGCCCTCTATACATTCTTCCATGTCCATGTTTGTGTAGAGGATATCTTCTCGGTCCTGCAAGTAATCTGTCTCTTGCTGTTCCCCTGTCGTCGCATCGACCGTAAATCCAGGCTTCAGCATGCCGGTAGGATCAAGGAACATAGTAGCTGCCCGCTGAGAAAGTTGTAATGTTTGTCTGACGCCAGCTTCATTACTGGCACCCTTTGCAACAATGTCAATTGCCTTGTCGTCCAAGAACGCAGCATTGATGATGCCGAAACACTTTGCTTCGAAGCAATGCGCAGCTGCTCTTGTCCTGTTGGCAGCCAAGTTATCATAGTTCTTTCCCTTTCTCGCGACCACATCTGGCTGCAAAGCCCTCGTAGGCCACACAGCAGGCCAGGTCGAGATGTGAATCTGCTCTCCCTCTGCCATCAAAGCATACCGCGCTAAAGGATTCGTATTTTCACCACAAATCAGGTTTCCAATCTTTCCGTACGGCGTCTCGCTCACCCTCAGTCCATGCCCGTCCCCAGAACTCCAGGTCAGCTTTTCGAAAAAAGTAGGTTGCAGTTTCCGATGGTGATTCAGTATCTCGCCATTGCTCCCAATCAACACATTGGAGTTCCAAAGTGTTGCACTGCTATACCTCGCTTTCTCCGATATTCCGACACTGATCATGATATCCAGTTTCTGAGCCGTAGCGCGAAGAGATTCAATCTCTGGGCCATCGACATAGACAGATTCTGCAACCATGCGCTTGAAGAGATCATGGTTCTCGGTAGGTGCGCGTATGGCGCTCCAGATGGGAAACGCAGCGATGTAGGTTTCGGGGAAGACTACCAAGTTGGCCTTGTTGGCGTGCGCTTGTTGGACGAAACTGATGGCTTTTTGGGTTGTTTTGGAGGCGGAGAGAAAGACGGGAGAGACATGGCATGCTGCCGCCCTGAGGATCTTGGTGCTCATGATTGATACTCGAAGTCTGTTTATATCGTGGTAGAGTAGCCATGCGAAGATGGCAGATGAAAAGAAGTGTTCAGGACGATAAGCTGGATTATGCCTCAAATGGATTTGACACCGAATGATCGGAGATCGAACTATTGGCTCGACGGTGTATATTATTGATATGCACCTGGTCGACCAAGAGGATGCTATAGATCTATGCGGGTAGAGCGGTTGTAACGGAGGACCGACCTCGGCGACCAGAGCGGGGAAGGTGCGAATTGGCTTTCACACGATCGTTGCATAGACACAGTTTTTGGTTGCTTCTGATAGGTGGCAGATGGTATCAAGGCTGTGAAGCACTTTCTCTAAATTAGTTGTAGATACGGAGAGCAAAGAAACAAATCTTCCTTTTATTAACATCAACGTTCTACTCGCCCTTGTAGCCTTCAGTCAAGACAACTGGACCAGTGTACACCTTTCTTCCTCTAACTACCCAGTCGGCAATAGCACAAAGCAGGACGACCATGAACATGAGCACCGACCAGTTGAAGTCAGCAGCAGCCTTAGAAGTGGTTTGGGGCCAGAACATCCAGAAGAACACGTAGGTTGAGTACAAGACGGCGAAAGTGTTGATAGGCACACCCCAGCGGCCAAGAGACCATCTGCATTTGGGCAGGAGCTCCGGGTTTGTGACACGACGGTATAGGACACATCCGATACTGACGACATAGGTGATCATCAGAGAGGTAAGGTTGAGCGAGACAATCGCGTTGAAAGCAGCGTCAGAGCCAATGTTGATGAACGAGAGGATGATGGTGAACGCAGTTGTAGCGGTGACCGAGTTGATTGGGATTTCGAGCTTGGGGTCGACCTTTGCAATCCAGTTGCTGAAGGGCAGGCCTTGATCACGAGCAAAAGACCAGGTTTGACGAGATGTTGACAAGTTGTAGGACAATGTACCCGCATAGATCAGGATGATGACAATAGCCGAAAGGGTGTTGAAAGCGGGCTTGCTAAAGGCTTTGGTGAAGACGTACATGTACGGGTAGCCTGAGCCGTTGCTGGCATCGTCGACGGCACCTGCAAGATCGACGACGCTGAACATGTATGTGATCAGGAAAACAAGACCCAGAGCACCGTTCAGGAAGTATGACCAGACCATTGCTCTGGGCACGTTTCTTCCAGCATCCTTGACCTCTGCGATTTGGTCAGCTTTGGTACAACGCAGTTTTTGAATTCGACCAGACTTACCTTCCGAGACGTGAGCGGCTGCATCGGAACAGATACAGGCATACACTGCTGAAACTTGACCAACCATCAAGGAAAGACCCATGGAGCTCCAGCCGCCAGAGTTGGTGAAAGTCCCAAAGACATCTGATGCCTTGTTTCTAGGAGCAAGGACCCAGATCATCACGATGATTACCAGGAAGCCAAAGACGTGAACAATCATCATGATGTTCTGGAAGACAGGCATCGCTTTAGATCCCCAGACGTTGGTAGCCCATACCACGAGGGCGATGGCGATAACAAACAGGGTACCTTGCCAGTTTCTAAATACGTAGTTGGGATCATTCTCAAAGATCAGCGACTGAATGAGGGTTCCGACCAGATACGGTCCAGATGCTGTGCCAGCTTGCCAAGAGAGGGTAGACATCCAGCCTCCGAGGAAACTCAGGATCTTCTGTTGTGAGGGAGGAGCAAATTCCGAGATCCAGTGATATTGACCGCCAGCCTGTTTTAAGTCAGTACAATGTGTAGGAGCATAAAGAGCGTCATGGATTCATACAGTCGGACACATGGAAGCCATCTCGGCCAGCGAAAAGACGACAAAGGTGAAACCGAAAAAGGTCCAAATGTAGGACCACACCAGGCCTGCGATACCACCATTGACCATTCCTTGTGTAGTGGCAGTCAAGAGGACCTCCCAAGTTCCCTGTAGGATAATTGTAAAAGCAATGGTCGAGAGAGTGCGGAAGTTTCTTCTCAATTCCTGCTTCTTGCCCATACGCTTCATCTCTCGCGCATCGGTACGGGTGAAGCCCTCATCATTCTGGGCGTTGCGAAGATGACCGTGGTAATCAAGCTCGGCATCGTCGTCAATGCCATCAAAACTGCGGACTTCTCGCGTTCCAGATGCAAGACCGGACTTGGTGGTAGCCTCGGGCATGACACTAGCCGAAGAGGTGGATGCAATGGTGTTGTCCATGGTGTCGTTACTGCCGGGACGTGCTTGGGCAACAGTCATGGTTATCAAGGCTCGAGAAAAGTCGGCCGGAAGGGAGCACCGCTGCTTTGAAGAAGTCGGCAACAGACCTTGGCGGGGCGTGAAAGGTCTGAAGTTATTGTAAAACGATAGAGGGTCGCGGACGGCCCGTGCGATATGTATGCGAATCTTGATCACCCTAGAGGCTGGGCAGCGTGCGAATGGGGGTGTGGATCGTCTGCCGAACGTTGAATAGACGAACGCCCGGAGGTGGACGCGGTTCAAGCGTTTTCTTGCTAGATTGTGGTTATACCTAGGTATAAGATATTGCTCCTGGTCTTCCATTGTCAAAGACCAGGCAGCGCAGCTAAAGCTTTACCAGCGAGGACCGTTCCAAGACTGATGACTGCTAGTCATGGATGCCGGGCTCTTGAAGGATTTCCTCAGCGTGCCGAGCGAAGGATCAGCTTCGTGCATAGAAAGCACGGAAGGTGCAGGCCTATGAGACGTCGGCGGCGAAACAATCTCGCTATTAAAGTTCGAGATAGGTCGAAGCCACAGAATGGGAGCTTGGAGTCAAGGATCCACAAGCGATATAGACGCCTGGACTTGGACATTTTGTGGAAACAACAAAGACCCTGATATTGTAATATATTAAGCGCATTGAGCCGAGTTTGCCCTGGGTCTCAGTGCCGACGGGTGCAGCATGGCCAACGACTCAACGTTGACGGCTCAACCGAGCGAGCGGTTCTAGAAAAGAATTGCAAGTTACGGACGTTAGAGAGCGGTTGGCAGGTTGACGAGTAAGGAAGGTGACTCTAGGCAGGAATAGGGAAGCAAAAGCTGTGTCAAGGAAGCTTTGATGGCGTTGTGGATGAAACTAGAAGGCGCGGTAGGATTTTGAGGCGTATGCAAAATTTCCGGACGATTGGCTAGCCATGTGAGTACAGTATGCGGACGGGAGGACAAGGTGGATTCCACCAGGCGAGGGGTGTTAGAATGGTGGAACATGGTGTGAGCGGTGGATTCTCAGTCGTAGTCGCAAGCAGAAGGGCACACGACGATCAATCGTCAATTGGTTTCGAAAAGTTATACAAAGTGGCATGAGGTTCGGGCGGTCAGCTTGGACGACGGCCCAGGGCGAGATGTGCCCGTGAACCACTGGGCAGTTGGGGAAGCGAGTAGCAGAACTGGAGGTCGAAGCACAAGCGCGTCTATCTAGAAAGAGCACAAAAAATCAAAACCAGTCGTCCACAGAATACCATCAATGGCCATCCAACCATAGAGATAGGGCTGGTGACTCTGCAAAGTCTCTCGGGAGGAACGAGTTTAGGCACGAGATGCAGCAGTCGAAGGATCGGATTATTCTTGGTGCAGAAGGAGCGGCCGGTCAAAGCTTCGGCTCATGGCGAGAAGGGCCGGTCAAGGGTCCCTAACAAGAGACATCAGGCCCTCCTTGAGCAAACAATCCATCACTTACACCATGTTGCAGTCAGACGCCGACAACTACTTCCAGACCTCGTGAGCGACAGCCAGACCCGTGATAAGAGAAGGAACCGTCCGCTGAGACTCGGTGACAAGGGACTCGGTCGCCGAACAGAAACGCAGACAGGCCAAGGCCGACAACAAGAATGGCAGCCCCGTCGCCCTGACCTCCAAGATCCTCGCCATCCATGCCGACCCACAAGATCCGGATGCCGTCTACATTGCCGAAGCTGCTGGTACCGCGAGACGTGTCGCCCTCGAAGTACGTACCAGCCAACCCTTTGCGAACAGAAAAAGTCACTGACACGGCAATCAGACTGGCGAAAAGTCATCCGTCTACACAGGCGCCGCTGCTCCCCTGACATCTCTCACCACCCTGAGATCACCATCGGCCGAGCCCATCCTCTTCGCCGCATGCTGGGACAAGACAATCCACTCTTGGAACCTCAAAACTCGCAAGCCCCTTCGCCGCTACGCGGGCCACTCTGACTTTGTGAAATGCGTCCTCGCAACTGAGCTGTCTGGAATTCCCGTACTGCTGTCAGGCTCTGCGGACTCCACCATTATCGTATGGAATGTCGAGACGGGCAGAAAGATTCACACACTCAAGGGACACGCCCGTGCCGTGCTCGATCTGACTCTCGACCCCGCGGCAACCACAAAAGATGAACTCTGCCTCTTCAGTGCCGATACTGTGCGCGATATCCGCAGTTGGAAGATTACTCTCGACAGTGCTAGTGACATGCTGCCAACACCACTGCGACCCCACGAGACTTCAGTGAACCGCTTACGATTCGAGGACTCGCTCGTGGTAGATGCCGACGATGCCGACGCTGATGCAGACCTCTGGACCGCGTCCTCAGACAAGACTGCTCAGAGACTGGTTCGCTCACGCGATTGGGCCACGGATACCACATTGCCTCATCCCGACTTTGTACGAGACATTGTCATTGATCAGCAAGCTGGTTGGGTTGTCACTGCATGTCGTGACGAAGAAGTGCGTGTTTGGAACTCCGCCTCTGGAGAACTGGCCTGTGTTTTCAGTGGCCATTTCAACGAGGTCACTGGCCTTGCCTTGATGCCTCCTGCTCAGGGCAGTAGAGCCAGCCGTGTCGTCAGTGTCAGCATTGACGGCACGCTTAGAGTCTGGTCTCTCGATCCTGCAGAAATGAAGAAGGCCAAGGAGGAGTACGAGCGTCAGCAGAATGGCATCGAGGTCGAAGAGGAACCTGAGGTTAAGAAGGAGAGCATGCTGACGGCAGAAGAAGAGGCCGAACTGGCTGAGTTGATGGACTCTGATGACGAGTAGACACTTGAGAACGTATAAAATTCATTACTGTACAGCCCAAAACCCAGGCGACTCCTATCAAGAAACCTTCATGATAATCAAAGTTCCTCTTCTTCATCAGCCAAACCAACCAATCTTCGTTCTGCAAGCGCAGAAATCTTTTCGCCCAAGACGTCCCGCTCGAATCTCGCTGCAATTTTGACGGCCGCCTCGAGCATCTTGCCCGATCTGTCTCTCATCAGGCTGACCATTTCTAGTGCCTTCATACCTCGCTCCTCGCCCTCTCTGCACTCGGCAGCCAGCAACTGCAAGAGCACCTTGTCGACGTCAAGCTCACGCTGTGCAGCCTCCGTCTTTTGCGCATGTGTAGCATGCGTGTTGTTGACCAAGTCATCCTGCAGACTCAACAATACCGAATTGCGCACATACTGCTCCTCCAACTTTTGCACATCACTCTCTTCACTCTCATCTTGATTCTCCTCATCACGAGCCGTGACTGGGATTTTGAACTCAAAGTCCGAGAGCAGTGGACGAGGGAAGTAGGGGTACTTTTCTCCTCCTTTGAGAATGATGCAGTGGAACTTGTCCATGGCTACTGCGACTGGCCAGTAAGCTTCTTCCTTGCGTCCAGAGGCCAGACGGTCAAGTTGATTGGTATCGAGCAGGGGCACCCATTTCGCTTGACCCGGTGTTCGCCAGTGTAGACATACTAGCAATACACCTTCTGAATCGTAGATGCAGGGGTCGCCTCTGTCGGACCAGAAGACGGATTGCAGTTCTGATTGCTCGGGGAGAGGGATGATGTCTTCTGACTGGCAGACTTCGTCTCGTTTGACATTTTCGATTGTGTAGACGAGCTTGGCTGTACCATCACCGCCGATTGGGCCGTTGCCGATTGTGAGTATGTAGTCGCGCCAGGAGGCACATGCCACGGCTGGAGTGCTCTTCTGTCTATACACTCTGAAAGGCAGACCGTACAGTGTGTAGACTCTAACATATCCTTTCGAGGTCGTGACGACCACAAAGCTGGTGCTCAGACTCAAAGATGTGACTTCTTCTCCGGCGGGTAATTGTGTTCGCCAGTCTGTTCTCGATGTCCATGTTTCGTGAGGGCGGAAATAGACGAGACTGGGATGTTGGTCTGAGGCCGGGCACGAGAACGCTGCACCGTGCTCACCAAGACAGGCCTTGTCGTACAGGAAAGGGTCGGTAAAGTGGAAGTCGCGGTGTGCAGCACGATCGTAGAACTCCACAGTCACGGTGTGGTGGGTATCCTGGTCGACTGTCCAGATAAAGCCGGTGAGATTCAGACACAGGTAACGACGATTGCCTCTCCAAGGGGTACTACCCGGCTGGAAAGCATCGTGTAGACGAGGCTGCCATCTAGCACTGCCGTGTTGCTGAGGTCTCTTCGATGGGGGATATGCAAGCTGGTCTCCAGGACGCTTACCGTTGCCATTGACTTCCTCGACGTATCCTGCGCCATCGTCGTCTACAATGAAGGCATCTCCATTCTCAGATAATCCATCGTCTCCTAGAATGTCATCGAGTGAGTCGGGTGTTCCTGCTCTACGCTGAGCTCCAGGTCTGGTACCACCATTCACGAGCGTTCTCGTTGCACCTTCAGGGGCAGACTCGTTCAGGAACGGCGCTGGCACCAGTGTCTTTTGCAGCAAAGATTCATGCTCTTCCGGTATGATCCCGGCATGCATATACAGCTCTCCGTCGTTAGTGGTGTACGATAGGAGATTATCAGTGGGATGCCAGGTAAGAGCCAGAACGGGCTCACGGTCGCTCTCGAACTTGACCACAGGCTGCTGCGTCTTTGTGTTCCACAGAACGATGCTTAGATCCTCGCTAGCTGTAGCGAGTAGCGCGCCGTTTGGTGACCAAGATGCAGCAGTAATATCTCCTCGTCCGTCGACCTTGAAATTCTTCTGGTTTGACCAGTTGCTCCTTGAAACGACTTGTATCGTCTTGGTAGGGGTAGGTACACACAGTGCTCTTCCATCAGGATGCCATGTGACCTTTGAACTGGCCTGAGAGTCTGTCTCCATGATCTTGATCAGACCATCAAGTCGTTTGACAAGTTTCGGTTCTTCTGAACTCAGTGAGTAGACGTATACCATTCCGTCAGAGCAGGAGACGGCCAGAGTAGAGCCACTGTGGTCGAATGAGACGTGCTTGACAGGTCTCGTTTGGTCTCTGAGATACATGACCCGCGTCATATCGTATGTGTTTACAATTTTGACAACCAGTTNCACTATGGCTACAATCAGTATCGCACTCCATAAGCTAATGATTGGAACAACGTACTCCGAGGCTACCGCAGCCCACAGTCCATCAGGAGAGATGGAGATATCCCTGACAGGAAGCGTGCTTCGAACCAGAACTTCCTCCAGGGAGTGCGTGAACAAGGAGTATTTGCACACACTACCGTCCTCCGAGCCGGTCAAGAAGAAATCGTTGGTTGCAGCTACAGCTGTATGAGAGTCTTGAACGACATCGATATTGACAGGCTCAGCATCGGATCCAGTAGTAAAGATGCGAATAACATTGTTCAACCCGACTGTAATCAACTTGCTGCCGTTTGGTGTGTATGCTAGATAAGTTGGTCCAGGAGCATCTGCAGATGTGTTAGTAAAGGGTGTTAGCTAATTTGTAAAATCAAGCATCTTACGAGCTGGTCTGGCACGAGGTTTGGAAGCCATATCGATGTATTGGTGAGTGTCAGTGAAAAGATGCTATCATCTGGGTAGTTCCAAGATGGACGCGACAGAAAGTGATTGAGGACGCGACAACGCGTGCCACTTAACGAGACCTTAAAGAACGTTAGAGATGCCTCGACGTTACTTAGAGACATATTATGGTCAGACGATAGAGGTCTATTTACGTTGCTGAGGTACTGACACGAGTTATGTAAGCTCCAGTTACCACTAACTACAAGGTGAGTGGTTCGCTAGATATTGAAGAAGCTATTTTTGGTCCTGTTTGTGCAGCATTCAGGTTGCTGGAGTTCTGCATTGAGACCATCTAGAACGTTCTCTATCTCTGCATACCGCCGAGCTCCAAACCGCGGCAACGGCTTGCGCGCAAACATCTGAGCTGTGTTTATCATCAACTCAACTCACCATCTCCCGCATCTCGCAACCACATCCAACATCTTCAATTCTGACCAATCCATCAAAACAAACACAACAATGAGCGACGAGAACAAGACCACTTCCCAGGGCGGTGCCCCCATTCTTAACGACGCCGAACACCAGCAGGTCCACGCCCAGATGGCCNNAGCGGCAAGGGCAAGGCCAAGGCTGTCGAAGATATGGACATGGACGACGACAGCTCTTCTGAGGAAGAAGAACAGGTTGGTCACATCACTTCTTTTCACACCAAGAACGTACGCTAAATGGTATTCACAGGCCGCTCCCGGTAAGGACCACCATCAACAAGCTCTCCACGCGCAGCCGGACTGACAAACCACAGAGGAACACGAGGAGGGTGAAGAAGACAACATGGAGGAGATTGACGAGAGCAACATCCTCTCCGGTGGCAGACGCACTCGCGGCAAGACTATCGATTTCGCCAAGGCTGCCGAAGGCCTCGACGACGACGAAGACGAGGACGAGGACGACGACTTCGAGGACCCCGAGGACATGCAGCAGTAGAGCTGCGCCTCGAAACAGTCCCAGCTGCTGCTTGGAACGCAGTGCGAAAAGTCTTCACCTTCCCTCTTCACGATCATTACTGCCACAGTAGGCATTGGGTATTGCGCAGCTGTGCAAGGCGTCTCGGGCAGGAGGATGGATACCTATTATCAGCATTCACGGAGTCGCGGCGCGCTTGGGCATACCAGACGATCATCGACAAAAACGAACCTTTATGAGCAGTAATTCCTGAGAAGAATATGAAATGGACTTGTAATCCAAGTCTATCATCACACAATTCTCACTATTGTTCAAGCGAACAATCATACAGCGTGCTGCTTTGTGTGTATGTCAGACTAGCACTGAATGGGCCGACTGACTTGGGTTGATGGAGTGAACCTTTCAGCATTTTCCCTCTTTCTTGGAACTTGCTCATGTGCCAACGTCCTACTCGCTGGACAGACTGCCTTGGAGACATTCGTTGGAGTTCGCCTATTTGGCAGGAGCTGTAATCTGAGCAGGGCCGGTATCGGCGGGTGCTTTGAGCGTTGTCACCTGTGAGTGGTCTATTCGCTTCCGTCTCTATTGCCAACCCATCCAGGCTAAGCCAGCCATATATGCACCATTGCTTGTGGTGGGGGCTGTTCCATGGTATTCCGACTGCTCCCGTTTGCAGCACTTTCTTCCTGAACTGACCGAAGTCTGCCCTTCCCCCCCCCCCCCCACGATGGTTGAGGACTCGATACCGGAAAGATCAGGACAGTCATGAAGTTATGAGTCGAAGCAACAGAATTTTGCATGCTCCCGAAAGATCTTGACACTCTTTGATCGACTGCATCTATTAGGGACCCCAGCTTTACCATGCACATGGCACGACGCGGTTAGCGACCGACCTGTGTTCTAAGGGCAGCGATAAGAACTTCTCTGACATGTCGCTGTGACTCTCGCGAACCCTAACGTTGGGTCAAACCAATCAGCATCCGGCTAAAGGAGATGGCCTTGCCGGACAGACTTGGATCGTGCGTCCCGGCCGACGATTGCCGTGTCGAACATCCAATGAGATGGATGTGCTGACCCAGCCACCAGTCAATGGCAGGTCAAGGGTCCGGGGAAATCTTTCGTCTCGTTCGCTGTTGATCAAGCAAATCCGTGTGTGTAGGAGCATGGTAGATACAAGAGACATGGACTGTGAGTCGCTGAATATGACGAGCATATTTCCGTATTGGATTCAACAAAGAGAGACGATCCAACTGTGCTGAGAAAGCTCTGTTTACTCTAGGTGAGATCTTGTTGAGAAGCTGTCACGACCACAGATTTTATATCGAGACAGCTCCTCGCAGGTGGCTATAGAGATAAGAGAGTGACAATCATGGATGCAAGACCTGCTTTGTAACAGACGAGTTGTAGAGCACTACAAATACTTTGATCAGTGGCTGCGTTCGTGTAGAGCGGAAGCACTTATTGCCTTTGCTTGCAAGGCGGCACTAGTTGAATCCCCACCTTTGCGGCCAATTTACAAAAGCGTGGCCGTTCCCTCACCCTCTTCGTCTCGTCTTCACCTCGCATACGCCTGAACTACGCTCTGCACGCAGACCATCAGAGCGCTCTCGACTTAAGTGCAGGTAAGCTTTCTCTCGGCTGCGCGTGCGGATTCCTCGCCCCTCATTCGCCAGAGCCTTTCGCCTTATCAACACCTGCACCACTTTCTTTTGCCTCCCCCCGCAATATTGCACCGTTCTCGTTCTCCAGTGGGCATACTCCGTGCAGCGGAGACGTGATTAGACGGACGATCACTTGTCTGCGCATCATCTGAAACACTCTTTTTCCTCCCCCTCGACCGAGCTCCAGCTTCTCCTTCTCGCCACGACCACGACCTCCTTTGCTTGCCACACTAGCGCATCTCCTGCCATATCAATTGGAAAGCATTTGGCTGATTGTAGATTCCATAGACGATCGCCACCAAAGGTCCCCGCCTGTCTTTTATACCTCCAGGAACTATCGTACTCGGCTCCAGGCCGAAAGCATGGGTCGAGTGTCTTTCGAAGAACCAGTTGAGAACATCATCATCGAGGAAGATGAACCTGTAAACATCTATCCGTATGAGAACACGCCACAGAACAAGTCATGGGCTGGTGCGCTCCCTGTGAAGCAGGGTCTCTACGACCCTGAGCTCGAGAAGGATGCCTGTGGTGTCGGCTTTGCTGCGTAAGTCGCCACATCGTATTGCCAGAGTAGGGTCAATGTCTGACTTCTGAATAGCCACATAAAGGGTGTTGCCAGCCACAAGATCGTCAGCGATGCACGAAACTTGCTCTGCAACATGACACATCGCGGTGCCGTCGGTTCGGATGCGCGTGACGGTGACGGTGCAGGTGTCATGACATCGATCCCTCACAAGTTCTTCGTCAAGGAGTTTGGTAAAGAGCAAGGATTCACACTGCCCAAGCAAGGACAATACGCTGCTGGAAACATCTTCTTCAAGCCCGACACTGAGGTTTTGAAGGAGACATTGAACACATTCGAGGAAGTGGCAGACGAACTTGATCTGCGAGTTTTGGGCTGGCGTGAGGTCCCTCGCGACTCTTCGTTGCTCGGTCCCGCAGCTGCTTCTAGAGAACCTATTATCCTCCAGCCCTTTGTTGTCCTGAAGTCCGCATACGGTGATGCCAGAGCACCCAAGGAGTCCTTTGAGTCCGAATTCGACGAGCCCTACTTCGAGCGCCAGCTCTACGTACTGCGCAAGCGTGTTACTCACGTCATTGGTCTGCACAACTGGTTCTACCTCTGCTCTTTGAGCAACAAGAACATCGTCTACAAGGGACAACTCTCTCCCGTCCAGGTCTACGAGTACTACTTTGATTTGGTCAACGTTGACTACGAGGGTCACTTTGCCCTGGTCCACTCGCGTTTCTCCACAAACACTTTCCCTTCATGGGATAGAGCACAGCCCCTGAGATGGGCAGCCCACAACGGAGAAATCAACACTCTCCGTGGAAACAAGAACTGGATGCGCGCAAGAGAGGGTTTGATGAAGTCTGACCTCTTCGGCGACGAGCTGGAGATGCTTCTGCCCATCATTGAAGATGGCGGTTCTGACTCTGCTGCTTTCGATAACGTTCTCGAGCTCCTCACCATCAACGGTGTTCTGTCTCTGCCCGAGGCAGTCATGCTCATGGTCCCCGAGGCGTGGCAGGGAAACCGTGCCATGGACCCTGCTAAGCAGGCTTTCTACGAGTGGGCAGCCTGTATGATGGAGCCCTGGGATGGACCTGCTCTCTTCACATTCGCCGACGGCAGATACTGCGGTGCCAACCTTGACAGAAACGGTCTCCGTCCTTGCAGATACTACATCACTGATGATGACCGTATTGTCTGTGCTTCTGAAGTCGGTACTATCCCTATCGAGCCCGAAAAGGTTGTTCAGAAGGGCCGTCTTCAGCCTGGCAAGATGCTTCTGGTCGACACTGTCGCTGGTCGCATCGTTGATGATGCCGAGCTGAAGCAGACCGTCTCCAAGCGCAAGGACTTCCAAAGCTGGATCAGTAGCCAGCTTATTACCATGCCAGCTATCTACGATAAGCTTAGCGAGAAGGGTGCCAACCTTGGATTCACTTTGTCCGAGACTAGAGTCCAGGAAGACCCCAGACTGAAGGCCTTCGGCTACTCTCTCGAGCAAGTCAGTCTGTTGCTCGGCCCTATGGCTGCTGACTCCAAGGAAGCCCTCGGATCTATGGGTAATGATGCCCCATTGGCATGTCTTGCACAGCAGCCTCGTCTCCTGTACGAGTACTTCAGACAGCTCTTCGCCCAGGTCACCAATCCTCCTATCGACCCTATCAGAGAAGCAGTTGTCATGTCGCTCGAGGCCTACGTTGGTCCTCAGGGCAACTTGCTCGAGATGAGCCCTTCTCAGTGTCACCGTCTCTTGCTTCCCTCCCCTCTGCTCTCTATCGAGGAGTTCAATGCCCTGAGCCAGATCTCGCAGTTGCACCGTGAGTGGAACGTCCACACCGTCGACATTACCTTCCCCAAGAAGGAGGGTATCCAAGGCTACCTTGAAGCTCTTGACCGCATCTGCGACCAGGCTGCCGAGGCCATCGAGAAGAACGACAGAATCATTGTTCTGTCCGACCGCGCCACCTCAGCTGACCGTGTCGCTGTCTCTGCCGTCCTTGCTACTGGTATGGTCCACCACCATCTTGTTCGCAACAAGTGGCGTTCCCAGGTCGCCCTGGTTGTTGAGACTGCTGAGGCTCGTGAAGTTCACCACATGTGTGTTCTGGTCGGTTATGGCGCTGATGCCATCTGCCCTTACCTCGCAATCGAGTGTATCATGAAGATGGCTCGCGAGGGTCTGATCAGAAAAAAGCTCAGCCCTGAGCAGCTCATTGACAACTACAAGCACTCCTTGGACGGTGGCATCCTGAAGGTCATGTCCAAGATGGGTATCTCCACTCTTCAGAGTTACAAGGGTGCTCAAATCTTCGAAGCTCTTGGTATCGATGACTCCGTGGTCGACCGCTGCTTCACTGGTACTGCCACTCGTATCAAGGGTATGACTTTCGAGCTCATTGCTCAGGACGCCTTTGCCCTCCACGAGAAGGGTTACCCTAGCCGCAACATCTTGGAGATCCCCGGTCTTGCTGAGACTGGTGAGTACCACTGGCGTGACGGCGGTGAGCCCCACGTCAACGACCCAACCTCCATTGCCAACATTCAAGATGCTGTCCGTACAAAGAACGACAAGTCTTACGAGGCTTACTCCAGATCTGAATACGAGCAGATCAAGAACTGCACTCTCCGTGGTCTTCTTGACTTCGACTTCGAGGACCGTGCTTCCGTTCCCATTGATCAGGTCGAGCCTTGGACCGAGATTGTCCGCAGATTCGTCACCGGTGCCATGTCTTACGGATCCATCTCGATGGAGTCGCACTCTACCCTTGCTGTTGCCATGAACAGGTTGGGTGGTAAGTCCAACACCGGAGAGGGTGGTGAAGATCCAGAGCGTAGCTTGCGCATGG